CAGCCTTGACATACAGACCCGCAAGTCTGATCTTGGTTTGGGCATGACAATTGGCCTCAACGTCCAATCGTAAATGTATTATCTCACTCGAATATCTCTTTAAAATGACAACACCTCCCTCATCAAGCAGCGCTCCCCCCGCCACCCCCTCCCCCAGCACAGCACCGGAGTGTCAGCCTAGACTATGAGCTGAAAGTCCTGAGATGCTTACACTCAATTATCACAGGACAAGATCCTTGATTCAACGTTGTGGACGATCGGGTCAAACTCAGATCAAGATCAGTGGACAGTTTGCCACATTCTGCAGCTGAGAGTGCGGCGAAAACACACATGAGATCTGCAGTGTAATTACCCCGAGACGAACAGTCAGGGCACCAGACGTTGTCAAAGGGAAGATTGGTTAGCAGATGGCAACACGAGGCTCATTTATCAAAGACGCAGCCAGTATGTGGGTCTATTTCTGTGCGACAGATTTTGTTTCTGTGAAAACACAGTTAGTGAACGCTAATCCTGGATAAACCTTCTAACTAGATAATGGCTCTGACTAGCCATTCGTGTTTATTTGGGGTGTGTGGGAGGGGGCATGGGGGGGCATTGCAGAACACCATTGGTCACTCACTTCATGACTGTTTGTGGGGCATCGCTGTGCCTGAAATTGGTTGCTGGGTTTTGTCCACAAAAATACACAGTCAATCCACTTTACAGTATGTCCCGTGAAGCACTGAGAGACGTCTCGAGGACATGATAAGGAGTTATATCAAAATCAAGCATTATTATTCAGATTTGTAAACTCAGATGCTCGTTCACTTTGAATCGCTGGTGATAAATGGACCAGATTGTTACCAACAGCAGCCAAATGCTGACAGTGCACAAAACACCACTGAAGCAACGAGAAGGAAATGGGAGAGTGATGAGATGTAATTAACGAGCAGAGCCACCGATGAAATAGTTTTCTGAAGTTATGACCCAGTCACATCTGTACAGCTGTTATGAAAGGAAGGTCTGAATTTAACATGACTCTTAAATAATTCACAGCCAACGATTCAGGGGAAAAAAAATGAGAGCTTTGCAAATTGACATCGCTTTCAACTTCAGAGCCAGGCGAGTTGGCAGGATTATTTTACCTGCCCTGGAATACCAGGGGACGTCTTTGATTCCTCCCCTGGGAGATTGAGAAGGTAACAATAATAAATAAATACTCAACCACACTACAATGTGCTGGCCACATCTCCCAGGCCAGGCTCTGTAGCTGAGGCTTGGATGGTTTCCTCCAGAGAATTTGTGAAACAAATATCAAACAATTTAAATGAGAAATCTGCCTGGCAGCAAATGGGATTCAATTTCATAGCCTAGGGGTGTGCGGAATAATACTGAACAGATCGAAACGTGCCTGCAACAAGGGGGAAAGAGTGTGAGGAGAGCGGGTGGAATTAGATTAGATGGCAAAGAACTTAGTATTATTATTAATAAAAAAAACGGCAATCCTTCAACTCCTCTAAAAGTCCTGGAAATTCAAAAGGTTGTAACATTGTCAATCGATTCAGAAACTGGTCTCCTTTGTACAACTGTTCATAAACACAGAATTATCTCTCTCTCTCTTATACACACAAACACACTCACTCACAGCAGAACCTTTTTTAAAAATATGTTATTCAGAAAAGAAACTCTGGAAGAATATTAGGCAGATTTTCCAGTTAGTGTAAAATTAAGGAACCTTGACCTCAACCCTAACTGAAGTCCTGTAGTGTAGTGGTTAAGCGCTCTGAGACAGTACTCCGCGTTTTGTCCACAAAATACAGTCAGTCCACTTTACAGTATATTCTGTGCTGAATTTTGAGACGTCTCAAGGACATGATAAGGCGCTATATCAAATGCAAGGATTATTATAACCCAAAAAGAAGGGCACAACAGCAAGCATTTGCGAAGCGGGAAGAGTGGGAATACATGAAGTGGTTCACTCGGAGAAAAGTACCAGCGCAGGTTTGATGAACCAAACAGTCTCTCGCTGTCCTGTAACATTTTATGCTTCCAAATCCAATTCCCTTTGAAAGATTACTATAACCAGTCATTTCACTCTCAGAGCAGGCGGATTCTCAGTCGGAGCACTGCAATGGAAGCTGTTTCCCCCCAGGATGTTTAGAGTAATGGAAAGGATGCAAGTCTATTAAGTATAACCTTTGGGAGTCAAACACTGTGCTTGTAATACTACAGTGGTCTAAAGGTTGGGCTGAATACAGGGAAATTAATATTTTTATAGATGTATACATAAAAAATTGTAAGATTAAGTGGAATAATAGCTGAGCAGATTATCAGATTCGCCCACTATATCCACCACTTTACTGTGAAGCACTTTGAGGTGTCTCAATGACATACTAGAGGGTGCTTTATCAAATGCAAGGAATATTATTGCGGTATACAATATTTAATAATAATAATCCTTGCATTTAATGTAGTGCTTTATCACGACTTCAATATGTCTCAAAGCGCTTCACCAAATATACTGTAAAGTGCAGTGACTGTATTTTGTGGGCAAAACATAGCAGCCAATTTCACACAGCAATGTCCCATACACACTCGTGGATGAATAATAATAATAATACACTTCCAAGGAACAATTTCAAGTCCATTGAAAAGTGCCACAGTCTCACAGTCATTGAAGAAAACTCCAACCGAGAGTAAGTGCTGCATGGAATGAACTCCTTGGTTCACGTATGTGGGGAGTGGGGGGGAAAGGTGCAGTAGGAATGCTGCAAACGGCGACTGGAGAAATATTTATTCACTGAGAGCGATCAGAGGTACAGTCAGTGCCAAAAAAATAAAAGAGCATTGGACATGCAGGTTGGAATTGAACTGCCAGGCACACCTCACTGCTGCTTGTGGGCTGAACAGTGAAAGATTGCCACCGGGGGGGAGGGGGCACTCTGTGCATTTACAAGCGAAAAGAATTGGGGCATTGGAATTCTTCATTCACAGACCTGGTTTCACCAAATCCAATTCCCTTTGAAAGATTATTATAACCCGTCATTTCACTAACTAACATGACTGCTTGGAGCAGGCGGATTCTTAAAACTAGGAGACAGATCTTATTATGTTATCCCCCATTCCTGCAGGTACACAGTCACTACACTTAACAGTGTGTGTAGAGACTCTCTCTCTCTCTCTCTCTGCCCCCACCCTACCAAAGGTATCAAGCCAGGATTGTTAAGCACCTTGGGACGTCCTCCTGACATGAAAGGCACTGTATAAACTGTATAAATTTGAATTGTGTGATAACTGTGAAGCGCTTTGAGACATCTCAACATGATAAGGCGCCATCGACTTATTAAAATTGATGTCACGTTGCTCAAAAGTCAAGAAAATTGAATCGATCTCCAAGACACAATTGAGTCACTAGTTTTGAAATGCTGGGGTGACCTTCACGCAGGATACCATTAGCCTGGGAACTCGGTTGAATTCTCAATGGATAGATCTAAAAAAAATGCTTTTAAATGGGTTTTGAAAGAGTTAAATATCATGCCCCCACACCCCCATCCCACCTCTGACTGTTGTAACAGTACTTAACCTGGAACTGTGATCTGAGGTAAAACACCTAATAATTCAAGATAAGCACATTATTTAATTTTCAGCTTAATATGTGTGCAGTCATAAAGCACAGGTATCAAAGCGTGCGTCTCCAAGGCATAATATTGGGCTGCTGCACAGACATCGAGTGACATCTGGCATTTAGCCCAGAAACGACTCAGTCAGTCTCCAATAATGATTAAACAGTCAGATCCTCCGGGCCAAAAGCATCCAGGCATTTCAGAGCTTACAGCAGAGAGAGAGAGAGAGAGCTTCCAAGAAAAGCAGAATCAATAATGGCCTTTCTGTGATGAAAATAGAGATGCATATTGAGGGCTGAGGTCTATTTTTATGACTGCAAACACAAGGTTTAAACATCAAATGTGATTGTTAGCTTCTTTGCTCTAGGAACTTGCAGAGCAGGAGAAACCAATTTATTGCCCCTGAATTCAAAACAAAGGTTACATGGCCACTCTATCCCTAATATTTTGAGAGTGCTGCCGCCTTAACATTCGCACGTTATTTACATCACTTACTGGAACAATGCGTGAGATTAATCAAAGTATGAAAGTGCACAGCGAATAAAACAGCAACAGCAACTTGGATTGGATTTTACAGTTAGTGTAAAATGAAGGAACCTTGACCCCCAACCCCAACTGAAGTCCTGGAGTGTAGTGGTTAAGTGCTCTGAGACTCTACTCCACGTTTCACCCACAAAATACAGTCACTCCACTTTACGGTATATTCTGCGAAGCACTTTGAGACGTCTCAAGGACATGATGAGGCGCAATGTGAAATGCAAGGGTTATTATAACCTAACAAAATGCCGCAACAACAAGCATCTGCGAAGCGCGAAGAGCGGCAATAAATGCTGCACAGACAAATGAGTGACATCCGGCATTTAGCTCAGAAGCGACTCAGTCAGTCTCAGGCCTGACAGCCGTTCTGGGCACTGAAAAGCAAATCAGACTTCAACAACAACAACAACAAGATTCCATTTATTGACTTCAGCGGTGAACAGGTAACGTTTAAGCGCTGTGAGACGCTACCCTGCGTGGAGGGCGCTATATAAGTGCACATTGCTGGTGTTGTGGTGGTCTATACACTGTACTGTACGTGCCCAGTGACACGCAGCAGGTGACTGTACAAGCAAGTGTTTTGCTGAGGACACAAATGAGCATTTCCAAACCAATAATGGCACCAAAAGACGAACAAAAAAACTATCGCGTACAAAACATCTACATGGTTAATAACTGCGGCCTTTTAAACGATTGCGGACGCGACAGTTACAGAATGGCCTTAATTCCAATCAATAAAATAAACAAACAAGTTTTGTCTTTGGGTTACGGATCTCAATCTCTCACAGGAGACGTGAGGGTCAGGCTGACCTCACCCCCATGGTGCACTGCTGACCACTGCCCTCACTCCCATGCTGCTTCACACTGATGAGGACTAAATGGGTGGCAGAGCAGGTGAGGCTGTGTTGCCCACAAGGAGACGGGTCAACTTACTAATCATTGTGACATACAATACAATACAGAGGAGTAACCGACATAGTGTCCCCCCACCCAAAAAAAAAGTCGTCCTATGGATGGATGTATCTGAGCCTCAACTGGCTCGGTGGTACCCGGGTTGCTATGGAGACCCACTTCATGCTTGGTCTGAAAATCACAATCCTTGCAATTGGATATTAGTGCCTCAGCACACCATCAAAATGCCTCAAAGCTCTTCTTCGCAGGAGTTACTATGCAGCGTTAGCGACTGTGTTATTTGTAGGCAAACATAGCAGCCAATATGCACTCAGCAATGTCCCACACACAGCTCGGAGGGGAGTGGGGGAAGGCGATAAGAAATTCACTTAGCTTGTTAAAGCACCTCTGCGCACCGGCCTTGCCTCAGTTAAGATAACTTTGAGATCAATTAACTTGACAAATACAGAGAACGCTTCTATACACGGTATTAACATTTTCCGTGAACAGCACTGTGCTGCCAGTTCATTCGCAATAAAATAACCATCATTTATCTGGATTTATCCCATACTGCGTAATAATTCATTACCGTTGATCTTCCGATAAATGCGCAGTAATAATACCAAGCTGTTAATCTCTTGAGATATCATCATCAAGTATGAAGGACAATGGAGAGGCGCTGATAGAAAAAGCGGTATAAAACTCTCTGCATAAAAATCCATTTGCCTAAAACCAGTATCCTTCAGCTTGAGGTGCACACTCCTCCTCCCAAGAAAATCTGGCAATTCTCTGATATGAAAATGTAATGCAAGTGGTGTCCTCAAGCCATTTCATTCACGTTGATCGGCAAAGGTCATGTGCCCAGTAAATTTTCATGTTATTTCCTTTCAGTTTTGAGAGTGTCAGGCTATTTCTGTTGTATTGACTTGTGATTGCCCCGTAGCTCCGATCGCCATGAAGCTGATGGATGTGAAGCTGAAAGATCTGAATGCCTGGGTGTTGAGCCGAAGCAAGAATCCGATCCATATCTTTGCAGCAATCTGCAGAGGTGAGCGTAATGTGTAGGTAGTGATGTCCCAATGTGGTCAGCATTAATGATGGCCAAACCTGCTTGGGGCAAAATTATTTTATACTTGTGATTTCCAAAGCACTCGGTAGAAATTGAGGATTTTTGTCTGTTTGTGTTGATGGCTCGGCTGGAGAGTTATGATGCTGCGAACAATTGAGAAGTTCAGGTGGCGATGTAAACCATTAAAATCCGTCTCGTGTTTCTAATGAAGTTGTGATCTGCTCCCCAAGTTTGTGTTTACGCCCACAAGTCACACACTTTTTTGTCTTAATATTCCATGTACTTGTGGGAGACAACTTTTTGACAGTGCAGCAGATGGTTTCACCTCGTTCTAACCTCTCTTGCAGGCCATGACAGATTCTACAAGAAGTATATTGATGTGAAGAAAGGTGAAATCGGTGGTGTTGCTATGCCGTTGATGGCTTATGTTGTGTTGAGTTACATTTGGAATTACAAACACATCAGTTAAGTGAACCTTAAATTAGAGCCTCAAATATGTACCGAGTTTAATGTGCAATAAAGAACAAGTACATTTAACCAAACTGTTTATAGTGCTGCACATCAGAGGTTACAGAACCAATGGTTGAAGACATTCCCTTCCTTCACAACATCCCAATTTCTGGTTCAAGTACATTATGAATCAAGGTGCCAACTATAGCCAACACACCATTCGGGGAGAGGGAGGGAGAACGAAGAGCGACTTATATTGCAATAACCAATTTTGTTTTGTGTTGCAGAGCAGGATCGTTGGAGAAAGTACCACTAATGGCTAAAAGCTGACTCACAAGATAACTCGTTGCTGGAGCCTTTCAGCTGGATCAATAAGTTTAAAGTATCGTTACCCTGTTCTGTTTGAGTAGTTTTTTTGTTGTACGGAATAGTGGCAAATAGATAGTGCCCTGTTCATACTCTGCCATCTTAATGTACTGTTCTTCTCAGGTTACTTTTACTGAGGGGGTCTTTAATAAAGTCTTATCTAATGATTTTGTGACCCTGGAGCATTTCAACAACAACCTGCATTTATATAGCACCCGTCATGAGGGGCAGCATCTCGGAGCGCTAAAGAGCAATTTCTTTAGTTTTACAACACAGCTAGCTAGACATTAGTGGGAGTGCGTCTCATCACATCCACCAAGTCACCTGCAGCAACACCTCAATATTTCAAGTCTACACACTATGACATTTACAAAGTAACATACCTTGGTCCTCCAGTTCCAGTGATCATTTTAAATGTCCTCTTGCAAATGCCACCAGTTGTCACCTGAGATGCTCATTAGAACTCTTTCTTTCCCCACCGAATTGTTGAGAATTTGAGTGACGAGCAACAGTGGAACTTACTCTGGTGTGAAACTTGTTAACTGCTCTGGAGTCTTTCTCCCTATTTACACAGCAGTTCTCGCTAACGTGATGAGCTAACATACAGTCAACATCTGCATTTCACAGTCAGACCCAAACATTCCTCAGCATTTATGCATTCATTGAGAACCACCTCAAACAGGTGGGGGAGACACAGAAAACAGGTGCGTGCACAAAAGGCTGATCAGAGTTGATGAAACCAACAAGACTTCACCCACCTCAGCTCTACTGGGCTTCCTGCCTCTCTTCCAGAACTTGCTGATTCTCACATTTCTTATTCAATCAGCACTCTGCACCTTACTCAAGCATTCAGACACAAGGCATTAGCAGATAATTGCATTAAAAGGCATCGAGGGCTGTGTAGAATTTTAAACAGTTCAATAGAATGGAACAGATACACTATTATTAATAAACTTCTTCCCTCCTCTACTGGGAATTAGAGCCTAACTGACCAGCCAATAAGATCTTTATAAACTACTAACTACTGGCCATTGTTAAGTTAATTAGTGACCTTCACTGTTAATATAGGCGACGCATCGTTTTGCTGAGCAGTTAATTATCCAATGGCCAGGGTGCTGAAGATAGACAGGAGCACTCGGCTGGGGCAGATATTCTCCCCCATCAGCAACCAGGCAAATTTCATCACAAAGCTTCACTGGGTCCTTAAAAGTTGAAGATGAGGAATAATCTGTGCACATCAGCTGTAATTGGGCTTTTTCACCTGCAGGTCTCAAAGGGAACGAGTGCAGTCTGGTTCTCTGGCTGGTGTTGGGCAAGTCAGACACTGGAAGCTGCCAGACTTCACTCTCTTCATCAGAACCAGCACACCATCACATGGCCTGTATTACTTAACACAAAGCCCGAGGTTTAATCTCAATAAATTATCTATAATCAAAAAGTACGTAAGCACAGAGACAAAACCCAAATACTTTTTGAGCAAGGCAAGGTGCGGGCAGGTGTGTGTGTGTGTGTGTGTGTCTTCAGTCTTGAATCATGGTCACAATTGGACATCAATGATTCTTTGAATCAGGATCTGTCCTGCAATGGAAAGAGATCCTGTGTTTCAGCCATTACATTTCCCAAATCTCATTTCAATTTATTTACATCCTTTGCTGCCCCTGTGCACTCTACCAGTCTCAAGGAAGACAGGGTTTGGCAAGAGACACACAAAGTACCTTACTTCACATTTCCCTCAGTGTTGGGAATTAACTAGCCCTCAGTGGCAGGATATTTTCCTGTCCCAATGACCTGGTCAAGCAGTGAATTGTGGACTTAATAATTACAAACAGTAACCTTCATATATTTAATTAATAATGTTAGTGTAAAGACTTTAAACTCTTTAAAAGTACCTTAAAAATGTGAGTGAATAAAAGCAATATTCATACATTACACCCCCCCCCCCCACCTCCACACATACACAGTTACTGAATAAAAAGGCAACAGAGCAAAGCAAGTCTTTGTGAGAAAATATTTATTAAGTTGAATAAAAATGAACACTTCACAGCCTTAAGAAATCAGAGTTTCAGGGTAGAATTTCTGCAAGTCTTCGTTGCATTTTTTTTCTCTGCACAAACTAAAGACCCTCTTATATATAAACAACTGTGAATCCAGAGCCAAATCAGTTAGACAATGCAGCAGGTCTCCATGATCCGCAGTAATTTGCCAGTTGTTTCTTTGCAGATGTGAGACAGGGTCTTTGCTTTCGGTTTTAATTTTATTAATTTCTTCAACTAATGCATTGGGATGGGTTGGTGGGGAACTGGATGGCACAGTGTATAAGAATATGATTTACCTCCGATATTTACCAAGATTGAAATCCATCCCACGCCAATGAGGTTGAATGAGTTTCTTCTGCCCCATCAAGGTTCTAAGTGAAACGCGTTTGAATAGCTTGAACCCACTTGGTGGTGTGGGAAGCTCCAAAAAAAAAAAAAATTACCCTCACAACCAATACCATTTGACACCTTCAGGAGAATGAGTTGCAAATAAACAGCGTATTACGAAATACCACAATTTACAGTCTTTTTTCTAGTGATTCGTTGACTCTAATTTTGTTGCTGTTCATCTTTCCCTCTGCCCACACACGCTGTGCCAGATTTCATAGCGTATAAAACATTACTGGAAACAAGTATTGCAGCAGAGGGTACAGTAAGATATTTCTGTGCTTTTATTCTTCATAGTTATCACAGTGCCTGATCTTAGAACAGTGGGGCACATTGCAGGAGCAATCATCACCCAGCTCTTCAGGGGTTCAAAAACCCAACAGTTAAGCCACGCGATGCCCAACTTCACCCAGGAAACTATGTCCATTCTATTCTGAACTCAGACAACTCCTCCATTGGACGTGTCCCATCTTTGAGCTATTGGATTTTTACTGACCACTAAGAAACGCCAAGTGTCCTTTTGTGCACCGGTTAGCGTAATGTCCCTTTTCACCACACTAGGAAACAAACACAGAAGATCAGTGATCAATAACAGGGCCACAGCTTGTTTTGTAAAAAAAAACATAGTTAAAAGAGTCAATAGAATAAGCTAATTATCAAGTTCTTCCTTCTCCTTCCAACAAGCCAAGTTCAATTTGAGCATCATGGAAATGTCATGACATGTAATCATTAGATGAACATCTCATTTCACAGACCCCAGAGGTTTTGGTGCAGAAAACTAGTGTACATCCAACAGTAACAGTGTACATTATTCCAATGGCCAATCCTGCAAGGGCGACTGAAATATGTTTTTGTTCTAAAATCGTCCGTTATTAATAATCCTAGCATTTGTTGCAGCACTGAAAGACGTACAAGATTTAGTCTAGAGAGTGGTGACTGCATTGATTGTATCATTATATTGTAAGAATCTATTTGCAACTGAGTGCCGATTCTTCAAGAGAGTGATTAGATCAAGTGATGCAATATAACAAACAACTGAAACCCGTTTGACTGCATCGAAGCCGAGTTATTGCCCTACACTATTGAGATTGCCTCTGTAACTAACAGTGAAAAAATATCCATCTCAGGAGTACTTTAGATTTCACTCTGGCAGCCTATCTTCCTTTGCTAACTGCCCCACACTGCCCCCTGTGTAAACAGCCTTGCACTGAGATCAAATTCCCTCTCTTATACACAACATGAAGGTCTGTGTGGAAGGACAATTGTTTAAGCCTCACTCCAGCCTCTGTTTCCCTAACTCCCAGTCAAATAATGTTCAGATTTGTTGCAGTTTTCATCACATGGAGTATTTGTCTGCTCACCTCCCTGACTCTTGAAGTCTTCTCAAATAATCAGTGCACTTCAAAATCAAATATGAAACCTTCACCAATTTCAAATTGCTGAGGTGCTATATCAAGTGGAAGTATTATTACTAAGTATTACTGTTTAAGATCCCTCTAGCGAGAGTTTCTTTATCCTAATTACTTACCTTATAACACGTAACTTGCTCCAGAGGCCTGGGCCCACGATTTGACGAAGGCTGAAACTGCGATGGTTGATACCCAGATTGCATGGATAGCTTCTGCAAGCCCATGCCAGGGTTCATACTGGGGATATGCACCAGAGAGGACATCCTCTGCAGACATGGACCCATGTTCTGCTGTACAGAAAATACGATGGTAAGAAACGCATTTTGCCCAGAAAATAGTCAATTCACTTCAGTGTATCCTGTGAAGCGGTTTGAGACATCTCGAAGACGTGATAAGGCGCTGTATCAAAGGCAAGGATTACTTAAACACCAGGAAACACTTGATTCACTTTAATATCGATAACGGCAACTCACGCTCCGCGAACTAGAATGAACTAATACCGAAAAGAGAAGAGGGAAGAGTAGGAGAGAGAAAAACCAACCAAACAAGAGTAAAGGATGGAAACAGCCCTGGTCAAAGTCACTAATAACATTCAGAATATCTGTGATCAGGGCTCCTTCTGCCTCCTTGTCCTCCTCGACCTCTCTGCCGCCTTTGACACCATCGACCAGTCCATCCTCATACACCACCTCTCCCTCCTTACTTAATGTTCGCGGACCTGCCCTTGCCAGTTCGATTCCTATCTCTCTCACCGTCTCCACTTTGTTGCCTCTAACGGTTTCTCCTCCAGCACCCACACTGTCACATCTGGCGTCCCCCAGGGCTCTGTCCTTGTCTCCTCTTTAATATCTACATGCTCCCCTTGCTGACATCATCCACAGACATGGGGTCAACTTCCACATGTATGCGGATGGCACCAAACTCTATCTTTCTGCCCCCACCCTCAACTCCAGGCCCACTGCTGTCCTGACAGACTGCCTGTCGGACATCAAGTCCTGGATGAGGGCAAACTTCCTACAGTTGAATGTGAACAAGACTGAGACCCTCCTGATTGGCTCGCGCCAGCGCCTCAGGCTCTGGCAATATCAACCTCCATGGTTGCACACTACAACTCACCAGCCAGTCAGGAACCTCGGTGTCTTGTTCGATCCTCAACTGTCTTTTCTTCCCCACATCCAAGCCATGACCCGCTCTGCCCTCCCTCACCTCAGTAATATCGCCCGACTCCGCCACTACCTCACGCCTCAGGCCGCTGAAACTCTTGTTCATGCCTTCATCACCTCCAGGCTCGACTATGCAAACGCCCTGCTTGTCGGCCTTCCCAACTCCTCCCTCCACAGGCTGCAGGTAATCCAGAACTCTGCAGCCCGTGTCCTCTCCCGCACCAAACTCCGTGACCCCATCTCCCCCATTCTCGCCCGACTCCATTGGCTCCCTATTCTTCAGAGGATCCAGTTCAAGATCCTGGTCCTCACCTACAAAGCCCTCCATGGCCTCGCCCCACCCTACCCCTGCGACCTCCTAACCCCCTACCAACTCGCCCATTCCCTCCGCTCAGCCGGCTCTGGCTGCTCCACATTCCCCGACCCACCTGCCCACCATTGGCGGGAGAGCCTTCAGCCACTCTGCCCCCAACCTCTGGAATTCTATCCTCCAGTCACTCCACCTCGCCCCCTCCTTAGCCTCCTTCAAGTCTCGCCTCAAAACCCTCCTCTTCGACCGTGCCATCGGTCACCCCCCTTCCCCTCCTCTCCGTTCCCTTCTCCCCCCTGACCCCAGCTCAGGTCTGAAATGTTGTACACTGCCAGCGCCTTGGGACGTCCTCCAGACGTGAAAGGCACTATACAAATGCAATCTTGTTGTTGTTGTAATAAAGGGTTGGGTTTGTACCTTCTGTTGAATCTGCTGCTGCTGTTGTATTGGTGGCTGGTCAACACCAGTACCCATAGGCAACTCAAACCGAGGGCTAAGTTGGAGAGAGAGAAAAAAAAATTATGCATGCTTGCATTTAAAATCAGCCTCAAGCAACTCATTTGTAACAGAGCGAGTAGAGAGAATCTTAAACCAAGGCGTGACTGAGGGATTGAACTCTGAGCAGCTGCGAGAGTGTTTAGATGATCAAAAACCCGGAGTCAGCCATAATTCTAGTTCATAAAACATGAGGAAAGTGCAGTGAGCAGTACACAGTCCACTTCCAAACTGGGATCAGAGATTTACTAGACAGCAGCTTCCAGAAACCCGAACATGAATGTAAAGCCATGAATAGTGGTGGCAGCATCGGTGGCCGTGCTTTCAGATACTACGCCCTGAAACTTTGGAACACTTGCTCGAACCCTCTGACGTGCCCCTTCCTTTCTCATCTTCAGGTCGCACCTGAAGACTTCCTCTTTGACCGTGCTTATGGTCACCTCCTCCTTTCCCAGCGACATGCTCCGCCATATCTGGGACACTACCCTGCGTGAAGGTAAACTCTGCTACTGAGACAAACACAGAAAAATATTGGCATCTTCTCCCCCCACCAGATTAAAGCAACGCGTGATGAAGTGCTGAGACACTAAACTGATAAGGAGTGATATTAAAAGAGTTAGTTACACAAATTGCCATGTACTGTACTTACTGCATGAATTTACAGCTGGGTCCCTCCGGGCAGAATCCTACCAGATAGTTTACACAGATGACTCGTCGTGTGTGTCGGTGCCTGCAGAGGGGACCTGCAAAAAGCCCAGAGTTGGATCAGTGACCCACTGAAGCCAGCCAGCAGTTACATTATCACATTGAGTTCACTACTTTAACAGAGCAATCAAATTATTATTATTATTTGTTTATGTGAAGGGATTATTTAGCACTTACCGTGTTTACAGAAGCCTCGGTCATACCAGGGGCAGTCTTTGATTTTGGATTCAGGATCGATGTGTAGGAACGGACATTCCTTGTTACTACATTCTCCTGCATAGGTACAAGGCACAGAGAACAGCACTGAACACAAGGTGGTTGGACCCGCAAAACGCATCTATTTCCTACAGTTATTTCAGATCTCTCTTGCCTGGTCCTTCTCTCCCACGCACAGATGGCAAATTGCTGTGTAAAACCAGTCCTTTCCACACCCGTGAGTGATCAACAAGACACTTTTAGAAAGTCAGCAGGAGATAAAGATACACAGCGCTCACCGAACTTGGAGTAGAAATAGCATTCGGGCATCTTGGTCATATCATATTCGTGCAAGAATTCACACTGATCTCCTTTCTTGCACAACCCTCGTAGCCAGTGCTTGCACACCACCGTCTTTTCCCCACTGATGTGCCGAAACGGGCACATCCCACCTGCAACATTACAACAAGAATCAGTTAAAATCACCGTATCAGGTCTCGCCCCGTCACACCCTCTGGAAGAGAAAGAGCACAGCATCTACAAGTACAGACAGAGGTGTTCACAAGAAGAAACTCAGGTCTGCCCTGAAAGCTTGGAGAATATTGTTACACTAGTAACTGCAATTGGGTGAAGCAACTCATCCAATATAAGAAACAAATAATCTACAGTATATGCAGTTTATCTTTTATGTAGGTAAATATTTTTAATAGAATATTTGTTGCCTTTACGCATGGGAACTTGTATAAAGAGCCTACAGTCCATCTGAACAGTACCGGTTTCAAATCCCATCAATAACCCTCAACTTCAGCACAAAATCCCCACAGAAAAACATGAGCAGTTTTAATCCCTGAAATATGTAGACCGTTGACGTCAATTTCTTACCTTTCCCGCAAGATGCTCTGAGGAAGAATTCACAGACCGCTGCTCCGGACTCTGGATGAGGGAGCGGGAGGTGGAGGGAAGGAGGAAAAAAGAAACAAAGAGTGTTGAACAACACAACTACGATCTCATCTATTTCTTCTCTGTCTTGAGAATATTAACGACACCTCACTTAGTAGAGAGGGTATTAGAAACATCACAACGGGACCCAACAGCTTTTTACACAGAATCTCACTGCGCTTAATCATTCGCAAAACATTAGAGTCATCTCTGAGCGATCAGATTCGCAATCACTGAAGTTACAGGTGTGTGTGTGTGTGTGTCCCCTCCTGAAAACAAGACCACAGCTGAGCTCATAGAGCCGAAGAGGGAGTGCAGACTCCGAGGGGACAGAGCAAGAGTTGAGGTGAGAGAATGAGGATGATGTGAGGAAGGAAGGGTGAGGGAGGGGAGAGCAGAGGCGGGGGGGGGGGAGATGAAGGAGGAAGATGGAAGAAGAGTGAGGGAGACTGATGGAGGGAAGGAGAGGGGTAGAGAATAGAGAGAGAAAAATATAAGTGAAGGTGTGAGTGAAGGAGTGTGTGAGGGAGGGAGGGTGTGGGGGAGGGAGGGAGGGTGTGAGGGAGGTGTGAGGAAGGGAGAGTGTGTGAGGGAGGGTGTGTGTGAGGGAGGGAGGGTGTGTGTGAGGGTGTGAGGGAGTGTGAGGGTGTGAGGGAGGGCGCGAGGGAGGGGTGTGAGGGAGGGAGGGTGTGAGGGAGGGAGGGTGTGAGGGTGTGAGGGAGGGAGGGAGTGTGTGAGGGTGTGAGGGAGGGTGTGTGTGAGGAGGGAGGGTGTGAGGGAGGGTGTGTGTGAGGGAGGGAGTGTGTGAGGGTGTGACGGAGTGTGCGAGGGAGGGAGGGAGTGTGCGAGGGAGTGAGGGAGGGCTTGTGCAGGAATGGCCACCACTCACTGTCCATCCCGGGGAAGGGCAGCGGCTGAGCCCCGAGCTGCTGCTCCACCGCGATCTCCAGCTCGAATTTGATGTGGTCCACATTGGAGATAAGTTCCTGCATCTCGGCCTCTCCCCCCACCCCCGGCCCCGGGCCCCCTCTCTCTGCCTCTCTCCCCGGGCCCCTGGCCTCTCTCCCCGGGCCCCTGGCCTCTCTCCCCGGGCCCCTGGCCTCTCTCTCTCCCCGGGCCCCTGGCCTCTCTCTCTCTCTCTCTCTCCCCGGGCCCCGGACCTCTTCTCTGTGAGCGGCCGCTGCCTCCAACCCGCCAAACCGGGAGCACTGGCCCCGCAACAAAGAGGGAAACCGCACAGCCAAGAGCTGACCCCCCCACCACCACCCGCTCACTCCTCCAACAGCGCCACCTTCAGTTGGGAGGACCCCATTCAAAAAACATTCACATGTATATCCCCCAGACACAAGGGGAGGGAGGGAGGGAGGGAGGGGGGAAAAGCTCAATAATTATGTCACATTTCTACCGAGTTACACTGTTTATTGTTTGCCATATAATATATATATATAAGACATCAACCATTAGTGTTAGATCCCATCACTGGCCACTAGGGAGCAGACGACTGAGGAATCGTCGAGCCTCTGAACGTCCTGTGTGTGTGTGTGTGTGAGTGAGCCCTCGATTTCTCCGCGATCGCCTGCGACTGCCTGGTACAGCCTAACCTGACAGCCGCCGGGGGGGGGCGGGGCGGGGAAGGGGGGCGGGGCTGAGAGATTGACGGGAGCGTCGGCCAATCGCGTTTGCGAGATCGGGGGGGAGGGGAGGGGAGAGGAGGTGAGGGCGGGGCCGTGTCGCGAAGGGGCGCCAATCAGGATCGGCGCTGCGCGGTGAGGCGCGGCAGCACGTGAGGTGGGCCTCGCATGGGGGTGGGGCTGAGCCACAGGGGCCTGAGAGCTGCAGCCGGTGGACATGGCGCGGCTGTTGGGTACCTGCGGCCTCCAGAGGCTCCCGAGGCTGTATCATTCGTTGCCCCGTCCGGGCGCGTCCCCGTTGGGATGTGTGCGCCGGGCGGCGAGGAGGTGCCCTGTGGGCCTCCCGGGGCCCAGGAGTTGGGCGCCATCAGTCGGCCGCGCAGACACGAAGGGCGGGCGGTGCCGAGGGCCGCACTCCCCCGAGGGCGGGTCCGTGCATCAGGATACCTCGGGGGGCCTCGGGCCTCCGTCCCCGGGACTCTCCCGCAGGAGGGCTTTCCGCAACACCGCCGCCGAGGTGCACGAGTGGGGCGATGGCGGTGGCGATGCGATCACAGAGTCCGAAGTGCAATCCGAGCCGCTGAGAAGGAACACTACGTACTGGTACTTCCTGCGGTGCAAAGAGCTGATCAAAAATAACAAGGTCAGGGTTTACTGACCAGGTAACCCCCCACACACTCACTCACTCACACTCACTCACACACACACACACACTCACTTACACACACTCTCACTCACACACTCACTCACTCACACTCACTCACTCACACACTCACTCTCACACACTCACTCTCACACACACACACTCACTCACACACACTCACTCACTCACTCACACACACACTCACACTCACTCACTCTCACACACACACACTCTCACTCACACTCACTCACACACACACACTCACTCACACACACACACTCACTCACTCACACTCACTCACTCACACACTCACTCACACACTCACTCTCACACACACACACACTCACTCACACACACTCACTCACTCACTCACACACACACTCACACTCACTCACTCTCACACACACACACACTCACTCACACTCACACACACACACTCACTCACACACACACTCACTCACACTCACACTCACTCACACACTCACTCTCACACACACTCTCACTCACACACACTCTCACACACACTCACTCACACTCACTCACACACACACTCACTCACACACTCACTCACTCACACTCACTCACACTCACTCACTCACACACACTCACACACACACTCACACCTGTCGTTGGGAACAATGGCACTTACAACGTGTGATGTGGTTCCACTGATGGCTCAGTGTTATTCAGTGGAGTCCTGTAGCTCAGTGGTCAGAGCACTCGCTTTGCAAGCGAGAGACCTGAGTTCAATTCCAGTCAGGGCCAAACCTCGGGCAAGTTTCCTTACTCCACACAGAGCCCCAATCATAATCCCTCCAAAACAAAACAATAATGTTTGTGGGACAGACGCTGCGGTGCGCAATTGGCTGCCGCGTTCCGCCCACAAGTATATAGTCAATTCACTTTGCAGTCTATTCTATGAAGCGCTTTGGGACGTCGAGAAGACATGAAAAGCTCTATATCAAATGCAACGTTTATTATTATTATTACTCAGCGAGGAACTGAGATCCAGTATTATCACTGTGCGTTGTGAATCCACAATTAAGGATTATCAATCGCTGTGTGCTGTCGCATTTCGCCCACAAAATATAGTCAATTCACCTCCAAAATTCAGTCAATTCAATAAATTACCCCCACCCTTTAGAACTCCATCTCACAGTCAATTCACCTTGACCCCTCCTTGGCCTACTTCAAGGCATGTCTCAAGACCTTCCTCTTCGACTGTGCCTTCGGCCACCCTCCTACCCCTACCCGGATTGCCCTCCATCCGCCCTGATCCCAACCCCCAGCTCACGTCCAAATCCCTGACTGTCCAGCGCCTTGGACGTCCTCTCAACATGAAAGACGCTGTGTAAATGTAATTTGTTGTTGTTGTTGCATAGCTGTGTCATGCAGTGACTGGAAAGGTGCCCTGACTGATATCCTATCCTCTCTCCTGTCTAGCTGAGTGAGGCTCTGGTCATGTTTGAAACACGAATGCTGAAAGAGGAGCAACTGCCACCAGAGGAGTATAACTACACAGTGCTGATAGGGGGCTGCGGGCGAGCAGGGTACCTGAAAAAGGCCATCAGATTGTACAATGATGTGAGTATCAGGGTCTGTCTGTCAACAGGTGTCCTGATTGAGGAGAATGGGGGATGGGAGAGGGGCTCAGAATAAATTTCGATTTAGTGGCACTGGTTCTGGGGTACTGGAGATCCTGTCTACCCGCATAACATAACATGTAGGAGCAGGAGTAGGCCATTCGGCCCTTCGAGCCTGCCCCGCCATTCAATCATGGCTGATCTTCTAATCTAACTCCAGTTACTAAGTGGACATTAAAGGTCTTGTGATATGTTGGGAACTTATCCCGGTGTCCTGGCTATCTATACTTTGTATGAACTGGACTTTAAACCTCACTGCTCCTTCTGGGATCGTGTAGGTGTGTGTAAATTGGCTGCCGTGTTTACTTTGAATTCAGTCACTTGCACTTGACAGCAATTATCTGCGAGCGAAATGCTTTTAAATATTTTGAGGTTATTGATGCTGAAAAGACTTTACTGTGTCATAACCTGGAGGAGTTGGTTGTCTCTCGGCAGATGAAGAAGAGGGCTATAATCCCCAGTGAAGCCACGTACACCGCCCTGTTCAACGCCTGCGCGGAGTCGCCATGGAAGCACTCTGGTCTGCAGTTTGTCATCAAACTCCGGGAAGAGTTGAAGCGCAAGAACATCCAAGCCAACCTGCACACCTACCACTCCATGCTGAAGGCCTTCGCTATCTGCTCTGACCTCAGGGCCTGCTTCCAAGTGCTTCAGGTACACATAGAGTTGCTGTCTTCAGGGGGGTCAGGAATGCTGTACACTGTCCAGCGCCTTGAGACGTCCTCCCAACGTGAAAGGTGCTATACAATGTAATCTTGTTGTTGTTGTCAGGGGTCATCGGTGCAAAGGGAAACCACCAACTTTCTCTCTTCCTCCTGAGTCTTTTCCAGGCTGCTATCTCACAGGCACCAGACCCCTCACCCATTTGACCATGCTTCATGTGAGTGCTGAGAGGCATTGCGGCCAAGCCCAATCGTGATCTCTGCCCCCCCCATGTCCAAATACATGTACTTTTCCTTCCCAAGGATGTTGAATACTTAAGGAAAAGAGGCTTAATCTGTGTCTCTTTGAAGACTGACAGCAGTACAAATAACTACTCAAAGCTACAGATAGAGTTAGCTGAACTTAGCGGTTAACTAGACTGATTCTGATCAGAGCTTCCTCTGTGTTTTTTTCAGGAAATAGTTCACAGTGGTCACGAGGTGAATGAGATCACATTCAGCAACTTGATGATTGGATGCATCAACGACACCGAGAACGGCTTCAGGTGCCTTTTGCAGGTAATGACTGTACAGCTCTTTGGTCCATTAGGGTCGGGTCTGGTCAGGTCAGTCGGTGCATCTGCCAAAGAGCATGTGTGTTCGAGGTGAAGGGAAATCACGAGAGAAGTCTCGAAGAAGGAGGCTCTTCAGCCTATTTATAAATAAGACTTGCATTGGATGTGATGCCTCTAATGTCAAAAGGTCACACATTTTACTCATTCCTTATTCTCCATCGGGTTCTGAGCTTTTATCTAGAGATCCTGTGGCAGATCTATAAAATACCACAGATGCCTGCAACTCTTCCCCTCCCACCACCACCACCCTTCTTAGAGAGGAAAATAGGTAGCTCCTAAATCAGTGTAAGGAGTGTCATGGCAAATCCTTATCGAAGTCCAATTGTCAAACTGTTAAGACAAATATGGGGCCATTTTAGAGCGAATCCTTTAATGTTTGATGATGTGATGTTGTGAACCCTTTACGATTGGGGCCTCGAAGTGATCTCTCTGTCTGTCTTGTAGATTTGGCGACAGATGCTCAAACTGGGGATCCGGCCCGATGCCAAGAGCTACAACCTGCTGCTGCGAGCCGCGAGGGACTGTGGGATCGGGGAGCCCTCCATGGCCTCTCGCTTGCTGTTGGACGAGGATGACAGCGTGCGGAGCTTGCAGCAGCGCAGGAAGGTGCGGAGGCTGAAAGGGCAAAAAGAGAAGCACAAGGAGAAAAGCACAGGGAGCTTGGACGTGGACCTTTTGGAGCAACAGATATTTGCAGACGTCTCCTTCCTGCCCGAGGACGGAGACAAAGCTGGAGGCGCTGGATCCACAGCGCGAATCAATCCCGAATCCACATGGATACCAGTCAAAGCACCAGAGCCACTGTCCAGCCCAAGTCAAGAAAACAAACTATTGCAAAGGGAAGAGCAATCAACGGATCTGGTTCCCGCTACCCAAATCTTTACAGTGGATTCAAACGCCAGCAAACTGTCTGTCTCAGGCCACAGTGACGGCCCACTTAACCTCCTGGACCTCCAGGTTCATAAAGGGAACGTTATCTCGTTGGGAGCAGCAGGGAGACCGTGTGATAGACTCGCGCTGATCGGAAATCTGAGCGGCCTCCTCGGTAAAATGAAGGCAGACGGCGTGCGGCCAGATATTAAGACCTTCACACTGTTGGTTGACGTGATGGACTTGGAGAACGACTCCGAGTCCTCCTTGTTGACTCTCATGGACGAGCACAGGGTGAAAGCAGACATTTCATTCTTCAACACCTTGGTCAGAAAGAGGAGCAAGATGGGTGACCTGGAGGGGGCAAAGGTAAGGAATCGAATGAGAGGTGCCAGCCCTCATTCACCTGCTATATGTGACTGCTCTTAGGTTCAGAGTTTATCCAGATCAATACTGAAGGTGTTGTGTGTGTTTTTCTGTCTCCCGCCAGGCGGTGATCCGCTTGCTGACAGAGCGCAGCCTGACACCCAACATGTACACCTTCTGTAACCTGGCAATCGCCTGCAGGAAAAGCTGCGACGGACTCCAGCTCTTGTCTGACATGAAGGTAACCCTCCAGCTCTTCACCAGGGCAGCGCTCTGGGACGCTATCCTGCGTGAAAGGCGCTATATAAATGCAAGTTATTGCAAAATTAATTGTTTGCAGGAACTTCACAGGAGTTCAGGAGATGCCATTCTTGTTCTATCTGCACTGAAAGCACAAGGACCCACGAAACAGAAATGCTTTAGAATGATATACTGTGGTGTTGATTGAAAATCATTCTTTCCAGATGTCTGGAGTTATCCCCAATGTCAACGTGTACAGCACACTGATCAACGCTGCAGCCAAGCAGCTGGACTACGTGTTCCTCATTGACGTCCTCCGAGATATGGCCAGAAATCAGGTCTCACCCAACCAGGTCGTTCTTAGACAACTGGAGTTTGCAGCCAGCTACCCTCCCAAATTTGACCGGGTATGTGAAAAAGAAGCACTGATTTATTTCCAAAGTATCTTGAATGTTCGCCCACACGTTCTTGTGATTTGCTGTGAAGTGTAATATTGATTGTGCCTTTGTTGCAAAATTACATTTATATAGTGCCTTGGGATGTCCTTCCAACGAGAAAAGCACTATGCAAACGTAATTTGTTATTGTTGCCGTGAATCCAGAGCTGCATCTCCCACGTTGATGGTATAAATAAGCTTCAAACTCTGTTGATCTCATGGATAGGTGTGGAAGAGAGAGGAAATTCTCTGTATTAAAGTTAGTTTTTATCCAGTGCTAATTTGAAGTACAGGATTTGTAGATTCACTATCTGTCTCCTTTCTCCATTTCTAGTACAAGTCAAAGAATACCTACCTGGAAAAGATCGATGGCTTTCGTGGCTTCTACTACCAATGGCTGACATGGATGCCTGTGGCTGAGACACCTCACCCGTGGGAAAGATACAGAATTAAGAAAGTTTCCTCAACCCAGGAGGATCAACCCAATCAAAGCGATGTTAAAACAACAACAACAAAATTAAGGCCAGAGAAAAAGAAGAAAAGCAAAGTACATTAAAGCAACAAGACTACTGCCGTGCCTGCAAGGACTCCCATTTCTAGTGACCCTCATCCCGACTAGACTTTGCCATTGGTCTCACATTGGGTCCTTGGGCTGAAGTTGATGGATACCTATTGAGGGCACTAGATATCGATCACAATGGTCTATAGAGGTCAATATTGTAAATGTGTAAAAATAAAGCTGGTGACTAACTGACTGAACTTGTGTATTGGAGTATATAATGGAGACCACTGAAGGTGGGAGCTTGTGTAATGGAGGGGATAAAAGCTACGGGAGCTAAATCATGGGAACATAATAATAACAATCCTTGCATTTGATACAGCGCCTTATCACGTCTTCGAGACGTCTCAAAGCGCTTCACAGGATATACTGTAAAGTGAATTGACTGTATATTTTGTAGCCAAAACGCGGCAGCCAATTGCACACAGCGGCGTCCCACAAACAGTCGGGGATTGAGTGACCAAATTATTTTTTTTGAAAGGGATTATTACCCCCGGAAAAGTGATATGCCAATCGACTAACAACCGGGTTCCTACTTACTGCTGGGCAAACAGGCGCGTGGGTGGAGTAAGGAAAGTCGCCCGTAATTTCGCGCTGCCCGGGAATCGAACCCAGGTCCTGTTGCTTGCGAGGCGAGAGCTCTAACCACTGAGCTACAGGACTCAACGCACGGGAGTTTGACTGGGGGGCGAGGAGGGGTACACCTGACTTCCCTAACCTCCCTGAGCTCACTTTACAACACCTGTGTGTGTGAGGGAGGTACACCTGTAACAGTTGTCCTGTTACAGGTGTACCCCCTCACACAGGTGTCTGTTACAGGTGTACCCCTCACACAGGTGTCCTGTTACAGGTGTACCCCCTCACACAGGTGTACCCCCTCACACAGGTGTCCTGTTACAGGTGTACCCCCTCACACAGGTGTCCCTCACAGGTGTACCCCCTCACACAGGTGTACCCCTCACACAGGTGTACCCCCACAGGTGTACCCTTCACACAGGTGTACCCCCTCACACAGGTGTCTACAGTGTACCCCTCACACAGGTGTACCCCTCACACAGGTGTACCCCCTCACACAGGTGTACCCCTCACACAGGTGTACCCCTCACACAGGTGTACCCCTCACACAGGTGTACCCCCTTACACAGGTGTCTGTTACAGGTGTACCCCCTCACACAGGTGTCTGTTACAGGTGTACCCCCTCACACAGGTGTACCCCCTCACACAGGTGTACCCCTCACACAGGTGTACCCCTTACACAGGTGTCTGTTACAGGTGTACCCCCTCACACAGGTGTCCTGTTACAGGTGTACCCCTCACACAGGTGACCTGTGTCATTATTACTGGATCAATGGCTACCAGTCGGCGCGGGGCGATGACGTCACGGAAAGGCCTCCCTCTGGCTGCGCGGGGGGGAGGGGGCGACGTCATCACGGCGCGACCGAGGTGGGCGGGATCAGCGGCAAGATGGCGGCGGGGAGCGAGAGGGACAGGTCTCGGGGCGGCCGCGGGCGCAAAGCGGCGCAGCCTCTGGTCATCCCGCGCACCGCGGCCGAGGAGCAGCGCCTGCGGCTCGAGCGCCTCATGAGGAACGCGGTGAGAGAGAGAGAGAGAGAGAGAGCGCGAGGGCCTGAGGCCTGGAGTCAGAGCCCCCCCCCCCCCCCCCGGGGCTCTGAGCTTCACCAACAACAACAATTTGCATTTATATCCCTAATAACAATAACAATCACAACAATAACCCCGGGGTTTGATCCGGCGCCCGGTCACGTCGTCGAGACGTCTCAAAGCGCTTCGCGGGATACACGGTACGTGTAGTGACTGTGTGTTTTGTGGGCCAAACCCGGCAGCCGATCGCACCCCAGCGACGTCCCCACAAACAGTCTGGATGTTACACCGACTGATTTTACATGGTGTGTGTGTGAGCGTGTACGTGTGAGGGTGTGTGAGTTGTATGTGTGTGTATGTGTGGGTGTGTGTGTCTGTGTGTGTGTGAGCGTGTGAGGGTGTGTGAGTGTGTATGTGTGGGTGTGTGAGGGTGTGAGTGTGTCTGTGAACGTGAGTGTGTGTATGTGTGGGTGTGTGAGTGTGTCTGTGTGGGTGTGTGTGTGAGCGTGTGTGGGTGTGTGAGCGTGTCTGTGTGTGTGTGAGGGTGTGTGAGTGTGTGTGTGAGGGTGTCTGTGTGTGTGTGTGAGGGTGTGTGAGTGTGTATGTGTGGGTGTGTGAGGGTGTATGTGTGGGTGTGTGAGGGTGTGTGAGCGTGCGTGTGTGTCCCAGAGTTTGCAGCAGGGAATTCCTCGTTCTGGAATGTTTTCCTAATTCCACCTGGCAGTCGACGCTCCTGACTCCGTGTCCTCCTCAGCGCTGCCCTGTGCGGCCGGGTGATGGCTTGAATGATTCCTTTTTTTTTGTTTATTTCAGACGCTGCGAATCTCCGAAGATGCCGACAAGGTTTGAGAAACCGATGACTTTCCCGGGACCGTGTGATTGTGTGCGGTAACATTGAGCCGTGTGGCTCGGTCATTTGCTCCTGTTTCTTCATCTCTCGATAATCTTTATCCCGTTTGGCCTCATTTGTTTTCTTCTGCCCATCACCAAGTTTTGGTTGTCAATTTGCGACATCTCCCAACGTGAAAGACACTGTCAAAATGTCAATCGTATCGTATTATATGGGTGCCAGTTGCTCTCTATCCCCTCTCGTGTCTGAGGCCATACAGTGAGTTGACTGGCAGGAGGGTATCAAAGCTTATCCTCCAATCTGCTCTCACTTTCATCCTCCAGCCCTCCACTGTTCCATTGCAATCAGGAGGGAGGGAATACTGGTTGAAGTTCCCTCCTCCCTAACCCTGGGAACTGAGACCAGTCACAGCCCTGACTGCTGCTCCAGGCTGAGATCAATAACTCAGTGCAGACCGGGAAAGGGCTGCTCAATGTTCCTGAATCCAACATACAAAGAACCTTGTTCTATACTGAATATTAATATGAGAGATCACAGCCACAAACTGAGGCCAAACCAGCGTCCTGTGTAACTGTCTCTGGGAGCAGACTGGGCTCTCTACAATATGGAGTCCTGTAGCTCAGTGGTTAGAGCACTCACTTTGCAAGTGAGAGACCTGAGTTCAATTCCAGGCAGAGGGCGAAACCTTGGGCTAGTTTCCTTACTCCACACAGAGCCTAATAATAATCCCTCCAAAACCAAAAGCAATAATAAATTGGTCATTTTCAATCCACGACTGTTTGTGGGACATTGCTGTGCGCAATTGGCTGCCGCGTTTCGCCCACAAATATACAGTCAATTCACTTTACAGTGTGTTCTGTGAAGCGCTTTGGGACGTCCTCCCGACGTGAAAAGCGCTATATCAAATGCAAGGATTATTATTATTATCTCCTCAAATCTTTACTGACTAAGAACGACTCAATTTCTCATTGAAGGACAAACAGGTTCCAATTCCCGAGAAACCCAAGGAGTGGGCTCCCCGACCTCCGCCTGAATTTGTCCGCGATGTGATGGGTGAGTGCGGGCTGGGGGGGCGGGTGGGGGCACTGAGGAGAGGGGGTATGTGGGGGACGAACGCTGTAGTGTACAAAACAATGTGCGTTCTCAGAGTGTTCCAGAACGGACAGGTCAAATTCGTCAAAACAAAATAACACACAAATGAATGAGGGAGTAAGAAGGCTGCCTGGCAGGTGGTGGGACTGGCTGTCAGCACAGGCAACAGAACAGGGAACGACACAGGGTTTCAGAAAGGAATTGCAGATTCTTGTTAACAATAAAGTTTGAGATATATGGAGTAGCTCTTGTAGCAAGTTAAGGGTCTGAAACTGGTGCTGTTATTATAACGGAACCTTTAAGAGTTCAGAAGTGTTTGGAGTTGGATTGCTGTGAGGTTTGGTGGCCGGTATTGACTGACTGCAGGAACTCTGCTCCGGTGACAGGCTCGAGCGCTGGGGCTGGGAGCGGGGAGTTCCACGTTTACCGACACCTGCGACGACGGGAGTACATGAGGGAGGAGTTCATGGAAAAACAGGCGGTCAAGGTGAGCGTGTGATACTTCACACCGCGGAGCACTTCACACAGAAGCTCAATTGTCAGGACTGTTCTTTTAACAAATGCAGCAGTTGGGTTTGTACACAGCAAGGTCCCTTGCCGGGCTCTGGGTTGAACGATCAATGTATCCGGCCACTCGACAAGTAATAAGCCCAGGAATGTTGCTCGTCCCACACTGTAGCTTGAGCTTTACTATTATAGGGAATCATAGAATATTGCAGCACAGGAGGCTGTTCAGCCCATTGAGCCTGTTCTTTGGAAGAACTATCCAGTCAGTCCCACTCCCCCGCTCTATCCTCATATCCTTGCAGTAAACAGGGGTGGGAAGTGTTGGCAGTGATGCCCTGATAGTGTAACTTGCCAGTTGATGGATGGCTGGGTCTTGGCTCTGTCCTCACGTGGCTCCGGTTCACTTTGTGACTTGTTTCGTGCCGCAGCAACGTCTTGAGGAGGAATTCCAAACTAAACTGGGCCAGAACAAGCAAGCTGCCGAGGAGAGGACCGCCAAACGCCGAAATAAACGGTAAAGGCAAAAACCTTTTATTTTCCTGGCGGTGAAAGTTTGACTGGCACGGAACACCCTTCTCAGTGGGCAGAGATCTTGCAGGCCACGGAGGGCGCATGCTGCTTGCTAATGGGCAGCGGGTTGGCAGAGGCATTAGGGACCTTAATGTGATGTGCACCGGGGGTGGTGGTGGGTGGGGGGTGGTTGTTGAACCAGCTGAAAACGGCGACTTTAACTGGCTGCGTTCAAACCAAAATCTATTTTTTGTTACAGACAGAAGTTAAAGGAGAAGAAAATGTTGGCAAAGAAACGTAAACCAGAGCCGAATAAACCAGTGGAGGAGGGTAAGCACTGACACAGTGTGTTAATCTTCATCATCTTCAAAACCCTCATCTAGGTCTTTGGATATAATATATCTAATATACCCAATATGTTGCAGCACTGAGCGGTCTCCACTTGGGATTCTGTAGGACCTGTAGCTTGCTCAGTAGGACCGGGGATGAAACTCTCGTCACAAACGTATAACTGTGCGTTTTCCTTGTGTTTGCTCCGTGCTTCAGGCTGTGACAAAGCTTCCAGCAGTGAGGAGGAAGAGAAGACAAAGAATTCGAGTGATGAGGCGGATGAGTGTGAAGCGTCCAGCTTTGTGATGGGCGGACGGTGACCCGCGGGCAGGCGATGTGACCAGGCTCCGGGGACAGGCCAGGACAGGGCCACAGCCGGGAGGATGGCGGGCAGGGAACGTGCCGGGCGGGGAGTTTGAGCAAAACCTGATTGGAAAGCTGGCCTCTCCGTGCACAGGACTCAAAAGATTAATCGTGGTTTATTTTCATTTATTGGTTTCAAACATTCCTTCGATCTGTCAGCTACACAAACAGCAAGTGATGGGGGAATGACTACATTTTGTATTTGGGCTTAATCACAAATTAAACATTTTGTACAAAAAAAAGCCAGTGTGGAGTTGGACTTTGTGAGAGTCAGTCACATTTGCACCTGTTTTTAGTGACTGCTTTTTCAAAAGAGTTTTGTTTGGCAGTGTGGGGCTAGATGAATGATAGGCCTTGAGAGGACTGTTGAGATGAAGCAGTATAAAGTTGAGGGACCTTTAATATTTCCAAGATTTAAACTGCGGTACAGATTTAATAGTTTAAGCACATTTGACAAACAAGACAATCTCAAGGGATGCTGCAAATTGTATAGTTACCAGCATCTAAACTGAACCATTAGCTGCAATGCTGCTTGTTATTTTATAAAAAGGTGAGTGATCTCAAGCTTTAGTCTAAAAAGAATGACATTCGTACTTTAAAAACTTACTGAACTCCATTAAGAAACAGTGTTTTAGTACATGCAGAAAAATGAAATAAATCTTGCCTTAATTATGGTCCATAGTTTCTAGTTAAGAATACAGCAAACTATGCACAATACACCCCAGCAGAAAATGTCATTGCTTCCTCACAACTCACTGAGGAAGACCCTGAATTTAGCCAGAGCAGCCTCTGCATCCACAGTGCGTACATTCGATAATCCTTCCCTGGGGAGTGAAAAATAAACGTGAAAAAATGATATAAAGTAATAATAATGCTTGTATTTTGATATAGAGCCTTATCACGTCATTGAGATGTCTCAAAGTGCTTCACAGAGTACACTGAAAGCGAATCAACTACATTTTATGGGCAAAACGCGACAGCCAATTGCACACAGCAATGTCCCATAAAAAATCGTGGATTGAGTGACCAAATTATTATTAGTTTTTGGAGGGATATTACTACTGGAAACCAATCTGCCAATCGACTTAACAACCGGGTTCCTACTTAAAGACTGAAAGAGAGGGCGAGACGGAGTCTAGAGACTGAGAGGGAGACTGATTACGGAGGGAGACCAGCAGAGTGCATTTATAGGCACTGAAAAATAATTTGTCAATTAGTTTTGAATCGAGTGTTGGGCAGAGAACGGACTGTGCAGGGACTCACTCACCACTTCCAGTTTGCTCTTGGGGACTCTGCAGATACAGTTTGTTCCGAAGTTGGTGTCTCGGGTCTGGATGCAACGCAGGCAGCACAGATTCTCATAGCCCTGCTTCTTCCACTTAGCAATGAGGTTCTTGTCAGCGTAACCTTCTCTGATGCAATAATCATATAGCTCTAAAAAAAACAAGAGTGCAGCATTTATGCAACCATACACTTTATTAACGTGAAGCTACTGAAACAAGGAATCGCCTGCGATGCGCTAGGGTTAAACGCACAACTAAAACAGCCGGGCCTCGTCACAAAGTTTACCGAACCAAACATTCTGACGCCAGCGAGCAAAGATTTGGCGAAACGGGAGAACTCAAAAACAACAGAGCTGCAAGATGCTTAAAGCCGCTACCTCTGCTGATGGCCTTCCTCTTGTAGAACAGGTCGAAGATGTACCGTGTTCGCTGGTGGTGGAGTCTGAAGATGGGCCACAATGATTCTACCTTTCTTTTCCCTTCGTGAGGTTCGGTCTCAGCTGCAAAAAAAAAAGGCAAAAGATTATTAGTCAGCACGTCGCACAAGAAAGTAATATAGCAGTCCAGCCTCCACCAGTGAAATACAATACTGCTGATCCCAAATACACAATACAAAGCCAACTTTTAGTACGGTATCTAATTAAAGGAATCACTTCACTCCCTCAATCACAACCCTCTGTCCTTTGCCGGCACAGAGGCTTCTCTTTGGTGCGGTTTACAAGTTCCCATTTTTCTCTCCGTTCACAAGATGCCATTGAGCCCCGACATCCAGGAGTTTTATGTTCCATCTTCCACCATATCCATCCCTCGGGGCAGAGTCCCCAAAACACACCGCGAACCTCACCCGCAGAAAAGATTAGGAGCGAATGGGAAATCTTTACCGAAACTCCGGTGGCCAAGGATCGGGGGTCCAACATTTTATCGTTTAGTTTCAACAGAGAAGGAAAGAATTAGGGGATAGAGAAAAAAAGAGAGGGGGGAGAGGGGAGAGGAGGGGGGGGGGGGGGGGAGGGGGGGGGAGGGGGGGGGGGAGGGGGAGAGGGGGGAGGAGGGGGGGGGAGGGGGAGAGGGGGGAGGAGGGGGGGGAGGGGGAGGGGGAGGGGGGGGAGGAGGGGGGAGAGGGGGGAGGGGGGGGGGGAGGGGGGGGGAGGGGGGGGGGGGGGAGAGGGGGGGGGAGGGAGGGGGAGAGGGGGAGGGAGGGAGGGGGGGGGGGGGGAGGGGGGGGAGGGGGAGGAGGGGGGGAGGAATGGAGGGAATAAGGAGAGAGGGAAGGAATGGGGAGAGCGCGGGGGCAAGAAAGAAGGAATGAGGGGGAAGAGGGAGGAAGAGAAGGAATGAAAGGAGGAGGAAGAGGGGAGACAATGGGAGGGAAGGAACGACTATGAGGAGAGAGAGAGAGAGAGAGGAAGGAATGGAGTTCTCTCTCTCTCTCTCTCTCTCGCACTCACCTTCCCTCATCTTCTGGTCCAGCTCATCCAGAGTGGGTTCGATCAGTTCCCAGCCGTCAGGCGGCGGCTTTCGGCTCCTCTTCACTTTGGGCATCTTCTCCCCAACCGCCGACAGCAGCCCCGGGTCCTCCTGGGCCGCCGCGCACACTGTCCGCGTCACCGCAGTGGGTCCTTCCTCACTTCGGCGTCGCTCTTGCAAATAATACCTTCCCCCCACCCTCCCGGCTCGCTGAGCCCACTCAGGGACATGTTTGTGTATAGCCGCCGCTATTGTAAAGACTCGGCGGCGGTGAGTCTCTCTGTAGATTGTCTTCTCGCCGCTCAAAGCTGTTAAAATGCCGACCGAGGCTTTAGTTGCCCGGATCGCGCCCGATTTGACGCCGGGCAACGAAGGCGACGCGGAGTCGGATCAGTGACGCGATATTCGACGACCGGTGGTTTGCAATGTGGTGCAATCAGTGCAACCGCCGAGTAAACGGGAGATCAAGTAAACTCCGCCGATGGTTCTCTCTAATTCTGCTCCGTTTGTGACAGGCAGCTGTTGGGCGGGCTGGATTGTCCCCCTCAGGATTGTTCACTGAACACACAGTCACTACACTCTACAGTGTCTCATGTGAAGCGCTTTGAGGCGCCTCGAAGACATGATGAGGCGCTGTGTCAAATGCAGGGATTATTATTACTATAAATGCCCAATTGCTTCAGACCGGGACCGAGTCATGTGTAGCCACAGTTTTCTGCTTCGTAGTTTGTCGCAGACCTTCAGGTCCATTACTTATAAACTGCAATTTTGCTGTGTGTGTGTGCGAGTGTGTGTGTGTGTGTGAGTGTGAGTGTGTGTCCGTGTGTGAGGGTGTGTATGTGTGTGAGTGCGAGTGTGTGAGTGCGAGTGTGTGTCCGTGTGTGAGGGTGTGTGTGAGTGCGAGTGTGTGTCCGTGTGTGAGGGTGTGTGTGAGTGCGAGTGTGTGTCCGTGTGTGAGGGTGTGTGTGTGTGTGAGTGCGAGTGTGTGAGTGCGAGTGTGTGTGTCCGTGTGTGTGTGTGCGAGTGTATGTGCTCAAACATCAGAAAATAACTGAAATTCCATTGTTCTCCACAGAGCATCGGATCATTTACAAATGTTGGGCTGTGGGAAAGCTGCGAACAGATGGTGCAGACACTGGAGTAATGCCATCTTTCATCTTTACAAACACTGACACCGACAGAGAGTCTCGGTTCACAAAAGGAGCTGCTTTCTTTTCAGCTGAAATACAAAGATTTTATAGGTAGCTCTGAAGTGAATGTCCCTGGTTACTGTGGTAAACCAACTATCTGCCTGGAGATGGTATTTGATTAACTCGAGCCAGCGATTTAACAAAGTTCTCCTCCAAGGCATGGGATGAAATCATTTCTCACGGAAATAACATCCCATCTGTCTCAGTTTATCATTAAAGATCCCACGGTACTGTGCGAAAAGAGAAGGGAAACTTTTCGCTCAATTTCCCGACCAACAATCCACCAGATAAACTTTGTCACCCACTTCATGCTTGTTTGCGGGACATTGCTGTGTGCAAAGTGTTGTAATTCCTAGCATTAGGTGCCTTATTTCCCAGCAATAAGTGCAACAAAATCTTTTGGCACAAAAATGTGGCCGCAGAACAATTCAAACTCCACTTAAGCTCGCTTCACCGACAGCGACAGTTGCCATAAAAACCGATATGTTGCTGTACTGATTGAAGAGAAGAACCTTTCCCTCTCCCCAAATCTGATTAGAAGAGGAATGGGGAGCACAGTGAAGGGGGCGGCTGGCTTTTAACGGTAAGTAGGAGTTTGTGTCTGTGTTTGGGAGGGTGGAGGGGGGAAAGAGTTTGAATCGTATTTGAAATATTACAGACTTTTTTATCCTCAGATTACTGAAGATGTTGAAGCAGACTCTTGCTGTTTTACTCCTCACTACTGCATTAACTGCTATGTTTTTTGGTAAGTTTCTAGAAAAAACAGCTTACGGCGCTGAGTTGCGCTGTGTTTTGGGCTGCACATACAGTGTAGTGTGTGCCTTTGGTCAGGAACAATACACACAATTTGAAGGTGAATTTATTCCGTTGATAAAATAATAATCTGCATTTGATATGGCGACCTTTCCGTTTGGAAACGGATCTCAAAGTGCTATACAGGACATATGTAAAGTGTCTGTATTGTGTAGGCAAACGCGGCAGCCAGTTTGCACACAGCAAATAGCCCACAAACAGCCATGAAGTGAATGTCCGATTTTATCTGGAGGATCGTTAGCTAATTTGGAGGATTGTGGAAAGAACAGAGGAATGGGAAGGAGAGAGTCCTGTTGATGTCCTAGAATGGCACAAGACACAGTGGGCTGAATCACCTCCTAAAGTACAGAGATTTCTATGTCTGTTAGTTACCTGCTATTTCCCTCACACTCCCAGCACAGCGCAGAAGCTGTTCTTGCTGTGACATGTTTTTGCTGTGGTTCCTACTCTGATATCTCCAACATACTTGCTTTCCAGTGGAGCGAGAGGGTCACTGGTCACCGGCCAGAAACGTGAACCCGACTGATCGTTTCCATTCCCAAGGCCAGAGACGCTGAGGCCAATTCTAGCATCTCAACTCTTGTTCCCAGCTGGGATGGTCTGACTCAGTGCAGAACCATTAAATATCGGACTTTCTTGGTCCATGTGGCTCAAGCAGTCGAGCAGTAACTGTACTGAGCTTTGGAGGAAGCTACTTTATTGTTCCAATGTACTGAGTTGGAATGACCTTGTTGAAGTGTGTTTTTATTGTGACTTCGCGTTGATCTTTAAACTAAAATGTTTGGTGCCCTTTTTTCTTCTTCCCAGCTGAACTGGTCACAGAGATTGTATTGTCGACCGCAGACTACAGATCAGCAGTAAGTCTCCCAATGCATCTGTGCTCATTTCAGTGAGGATCAGGCACTCATTCACCTTAGATAGACACAATTGCGTTTTCACCCTTCCAATTACACTTTTATTCAACGTCTTTTACACATTGTGCTTGTGGGACATTGCGGTGAGCAAAATAGCTGCTGCATTTGTTTCCAAAAATACAGTCACTACCCTTGACACTAATTAATGTGCGAAGTATTTTGAGACATGTCCTAGTTTTGCTTGCTATAAAAATTCAAGGATTATTATTATTACTATTTTGTAATCTCTTATGAATCCAGATATTTGCATTGATCTTATTACTTGCTATAAAAATACAAGGATTATTGTTATCTTTTGAATTCGAATCCTTTGGCCCAATTTCAGTGAGTTTATCAGTTTTCGGCCAGGCCACTGGGTGATGCTTCTGTTCCATCAGATTGTATTATTTGCAGTTTGGTGAAAGGGAAAACCTGATACAGTCCTGATCCAGCAGGTGGCTGTTTCAGTGCATGATCAGCAAAAGCCAGTGACAGCAGATTACGTTCACCTCTCCTGCTGCAGACATGCAAACCGTGCTGGCAATTAAACACACTAAAGCTCCTAGATATTGCTTCAAGATTATATACCTTGACGTGACTTTAGGGAATGCTTTGCCCATTGTGTGGATAAGTGTTTGAAAGGAAACAACAGGGAGCTGCTGAGTATGAAGAATCACGGCGCCCACCCCACCCCAGTGACGGTCTACCTGCTGGGATGTGACCGCTCAATCAGTATGAGCGATGTTTGGTTTGGTCACTCAAATTCTGCGACTGTTTGTGGGACGCTGCGGTGCGCAAGTTGGCTGCTGCGTTTCCCCCCACAAAATAAACAAGTCACTACACTTTACAGTATATTCTGTGAAGCGCTTTGAGACGTCTCAACGACGAGACAAGGCGCTGTATCAAATACAAGGATGATTATTACTATTATAACAACTGAAAACCTCTGACTTCTCTTCCCTTCTTGCAGATGTCCACAGGCTCTGCCCTGAGGAATACACCTTCCTGCTTCTCCTGCAGCGGCACGGAGGCCTGTGCTCAGCACCAGCTGGTGAACTACACAACAGAGAGATGCACTGACTCCACTGCTAGCTGCTGGGTAAGGCTGAAGTCATAGTGATCTGGTCCTAATTCTAATACCTGTGTCACCCAACCTCCAATTTGGGTCCAAATCCCTGACTCTCCAGCGCCTTGGGAGGTCCTCCCGACGAGAAAGGCTCTGTGTAAATGTCATTTGTTGATTGTTGTTGTAAACTTAATTTCTCTTTTCTTGTCTGATTCTATAATCCGAGTTTGGGAAACAGATTAGAGCAGCTCTTCCGTTCTCTCGCTGTGACACAGTGGCCGGCGCTGCCTTTGTTCTCTGGTGTCACTCCTGTAAATTACAATACCTCGGCCACTCAGTGGTTGATTGAGTGAGGACACTGAGCAGCGTGAATCTGGACAATTCACAAAGTGCCAGGTTTTTTGGGTTGAGTCCAGCTTCCATTTGCCATTAGAAACAGGGCATTAGTCCCCATGTAATCCCAGCGTCACTCATTTTAATTTTCTCCTTTGGGGATGAGCTCTGGAGACAGAGTGAGAGCAGACACATTTCATCCACACGGATCAATGAGCCCTGTCCTGCGACGTGACGCTCTTTCTAGAGTTCCCACAAGACACGTCGCATCAATCGCGGCTGGCGCCACGTTAATTATACAAGCAGCTCAATTTTTGGCTTCTTCCACTTTTGCATTGCGTGCATTACAGTAGAACACTTCCTCCCCACCCCGGCTCTTCTGGGACTTGCAGTACACAGCCTTTCTGTCTCTGCTTGTTACCGCCACATGATGTCATCTCAGGGGTTGTTGGTGGAACATTATTTGAGCTGTGATTTGAAGACAAAGGAAGCTAAGACAGCAGCTATGCTTAAAAGGGAATTGGATAAGTATTAAAGGCACAAGGGGAAAGGAAAGGAAATGGGGATTATAATAATAATCCTTCTGCTTGACATAATGCCTTTTAACCTTTGGAGCTTCGTAGAGGAGTGAGTGACTGTGTGTTTCGCCCCCAAAATATACAGTCAATTCACTTTACAGTATATTCTTGAACACGTGATAAGGCACTGTATCAAATGCAAGGATTATTATATGTAGGTGTAGATGAATGCATGTGGCAGCACAATTGCACACAGCAGGATCTCACAAGCAGCCATGAAACGAGTGACCAATTTTATTTGGGGGAGTGGGGGGGAGGGGGTTGTTGGCCAAGACACCGGGAGAGAGAATCTCCCTTCTCTTTTCGAATAGCGCCTAAAGATTTTGAATGCCCACCTGAACAGGCAGACAGAACCTCAGGTTTAATATCTCATTTGAATGACGGCTAGAGCTATCTCATTAAGGATGGATGATTGTATGTACAGCTTCACTCGCCATTGACGTCCGATGCTGTGTTCCAGATCTGGGTGTCAAGTCACGGGCAATGAAACCAGCATGACCCGTGGCTGTGGGGAAACCTGCACGGATTCCAACATGGAGGAGGCCTGCCAAGAGGCGACAGGCCAAAAGTCCTGCACCAAGTGCTGCCGGGGCTCTGAGTGTAACGTGGAGATGCTGCCCGGCAGCGGGAACAGGGTGAACCCCGGCCTGCGAAACATTCACTTCATTCTTTCGCATACGTTAATAAACGTGATGGCGTAAAGCAGTTTCCATAGATGGGAGGCGTTAATAACCCTTCGTAACCTAGAATGGATTTCACCCCTTAACCTCTCCCTCCACTGCTCGGCTCCATTCGCTATCCAGGCTCCCGCATCTGTAAAGTCATACATCAGCCAGTCCAACCCGAAGGACAAATGAGGAAAGAATAATGGAGGTAGGGAGCTGAGCGGGAAAGTGGGATCAGATTCAAGTGGCTCAGGTGCCAAACACCAGAACATTAATATTAATAACCCACTGAGAGAAACGTTGTTTTTCCTATTTAGTGGTTTTCCTAATTTTCCTAACTTCAGGATTTGAAGCTAAAATCCAGCAAGATCCACAACCATTTCTTTTTTCAAAAAAAAGCATATTTTGCCACTTTCTGATTTCAATCTCTTATCTTCCTTTGCGTGGAGAGTGGTGGGAGTTGCGCTCGTACAAACAGGGTGCGTCTCAGCTTGTACATCATCCCCGCGGGCTAGTAAAGAGGCGCGCGAGAGAGAAACAGCGCCGCAGAATAAGACTGGGACAAATTAGCAGCTCCTTCGAACCATGTCATACAGGGCGAAGCCTTAGAGGTGACATCATTACCTCCCTGACATGGGGAGGGGGAAGCCAGGGGAGTGTTTTCCTGGTCCGCACCATATTAGCTGATGAACTAATGTGGACTCATTGCCGTCTTTCACCCGTTCAGTACCATTTCCCAGCTTTGCCGCTCTGACCTCATCTGTACGTAATATCTCGAGGCAATCGGAAACGTTCCGTGTGTTCACGTTGACTCGAAAGAGAGAACAGTTTAAAAACTCGACTTGTGAGAAAAAAACCCTGAGGTCCACCTGAACCCCATGGAAACCTGTGCACTCGTGTGGGATCTTCGTGCTCATCTCTCACCAGCGGTTCCCAATAAAGGATCAGTCACTCGAGTCAATGAAGTCTCGACATTTGTTGTAAGTGCCGCGGACACCACCCCACGTGAGGGGCGCCATGTTTGGGGCGACTTTGGGGCCAATATTTGAGGGCGACTTTGGGGCCAATATTTGGGGGTGACTTTGGGGCCAATATTTGGGGTAACTTTGGGGCCAATATTTGGGGGTGACTTTGGGGCCAATATTTGGGGTGACTTTGGGGCCAATATTTGGGGGCGACTTTGGGGCCAATATTTGGGGGTGACTTTGGGGCCAATATTTGGGGTAACTTTGGGGCCAATATTTGGGGGTGACTTTGGGGCCAATATTTGGGGTGACTTTGGGGCCAATATTTGGGGGTGATTTTGGGGAGAGATCGTTGACCCGGAAGTGGTTGTCGGGGGCGGGGCTGAGGGTGTGACCCGGAAGTGCTGACGGCTGAGCGGCAAATGTGAAGTTGGCGACCGGAGAAAGTAAAGGAGAATCTCTCTCTTTCCCTCTCCTTCTCTCCTCTCTCCCTCTCTGCCCCTCTCTCCCCCTCTCTCTCCCTCTCCCCCTCTCCTCTCTCTCTCTCCCCCTCCCTCTCCTCTCTCTCTCCCTCTCTCTCTCCCCTCTCTCTCCCTCTCCCCTCTCTCTCTCTCTCCCTCTCTCCCTCTCCTCTCCTCCCCTCTCTCTCTCCTCTATCTCTCCTCTCCCCCTCTCTCTCCCTCCCTCTCCCTCTCCCTCTCTCCCTCCCTCCCTCCCTCTCCCTCTCTCCCCTCCTCTCCCTCTCTCTCTCCCTCCCTCTCCTCTCCCTCCCTCTCCCTCTCCTCTCTCCCTCCCTCTCTCTCCCTCTCTCCCCTCTCTCTCCTCCCTCTCTCTCTCCCCTCTCTCTCTCCCCTCTCTCTCCCTCTCTCCCCCTCTCTCTCTCCCTCTCCTCTCCCTCTCTCTCCCCTCTCTCTCTCCTCTCTCTCTCCCCCTCTCTCTCCTCTCCCTCTCTCCTCTCCTCTCCCTCTCTCTCTCCCCCTCTCTCTCCCCCCTCTCCCTCCCTCTCTCCCTCCCTCTCCCTCCTTCTCTCTCTCCCTCTCCCTCTCCTCTGCGTCTCCCCTCTCTCTCTCTCCCTCCTCACTCCCTCTCCCTCTCTCCTCCCTCTCCCTCTCCTCTCTCCCCCCACTCTCTCTCCCCCTCTCCCTCTCTCTCCCCTCTCCCCTCTCCTCCCCTCTCCTCCTCCCTCCTCTCCCCTCTCTCTCTCCCTCCCTCCTCTCTCCCCTCTCCCCCCTCTCTCCTCTCTCCCTCTCCTCTCTCCCCTCTCTCTCCTCTCCCTCTCCCCTCTCTCCCTCTCTCCCCCTCTCTCTCTCCCTCTCCCTCTCTCTCCCTCCTCCTCTCCCTCCCTCTCCTCTCCCTCTCCCCCCTCTCTCTCCCTCTCCCTCCCTCTCTCCCTCTCCCTCCCTCTCTCTCCCTCTCTCCCTCCCTCTCCTCTCCCTCTCTCCCCTCTCTCTCTCTCCCTCCCTCTCTCTCCCTCTCCCTCCCTCTCTCTCTCCCTCTCCTCCCTCTCTCTCTCCCTCTCTCTCCTTCTCTCCCTCTCTCCCTCTCTTCTCCCTCCCTCTCTCTCCCTCTCTCCCTCCCTCTCTCTCTCCCTCCCTCCCTCTCTCTCCCTCCCTCTCTCTCCCTTCTCTCCCCCTCCTCTCCCTCTCCCTCCCTCCCTCTCCTCTCTCCCTCTCTCCCTCCCCTCCCTTCCTCCTTCTCTCCCTCCCTCTCCCTCCCTCCCTCTCTCCCCTTCCCTCCATCCCTCCCCCCCTCTCTCCTCCCCCCCCCCCCCTCTCTATATATGGCGCTATATCAAATGTACGGATTATTATATATATTGTAGAATATATGACCAGTTTTATTTGGGGGATTGTTGGCTGCGTTTGCTTTCCTCTTGACTTATCCGTCCTCATTTCTTTATACTTTTCTGCAGTCGACGCTCGCTTGAAGTTGGGACAGAGTAAAGTGTCCTGTGGAAGGCGCGATACAGATGTAAAATTATTGTCCTCGTTGCCGCCTGCATTTGAATTGAGAAAGACCGGCTTTGGTTTGGGGCGGCAGTTGTTTAAAAAAAAAGCTGTTCTCACAATGTCTGCTCCTCGCTAACAGTTCTGAGCGGAGGCTCAAATGGAGCCAAACGAGGGAGATGAGAGTGTCATTGTAATCAGCGACACTGAATTAGAAAACGACAGCGAATTCTCGGTGCTCATAGTGGAAAATCCTCCAGGTACGGCTGGGTTATCTGTTTGTCGGATGTGCTTGACTGACGTTTCTCAGACTGCAAACGAACCTTGCGGGTTTGAGTGGACAAAATACGAAGCTCGGTATCGTGCACTTAAACTTCCGATACTCTTCTCCCTAATTTTGATTGTACTTTTCAAGGATTATTATTAATACTTGATGTCTGTCTCTTTGTTGTGTTTTTTGCGATATATGCTGAGGGGGAGGGATGAGGCAGCTTTGCTCCCAGGCTGCCTGTTATTGCACACTTCAGGCTGTCGCTTGTAGGTGTGTGAGTAACTGCCTGCTCTGGGGTGTGATCATTTAGTGATGATCTCTGACGTGTACATCATTTCAAGTGTTCATTTACTTACTGCTGAGCAATTTACTGCCCTAATGACTTAGTACTTCAGGATTAATCTGTGTATATATATATAAAAACATAGAAATCTTTTATACAGAATATGCAAGCTGCTCAGACCCACCATAACCCCATCCTTATTTATGATTTTAATGCTCTTGACAAGCGATGTTAAAATCCAGGAGGAGTGGGGGTGAACATGGAAAGACGTTGTTTCACTGGCAATGTTTTAATTTCCTTGCAGAGGTAGTAGCTGGTACATCTAAGGAGAAGAGCGCTGAGGTGGTGGATGAGGAATGTGGGCTCGCAATTACGTACAGTAAGAAAGGGAATGTGATGCCCCACGCTCGCTATGACTGTATGGAACAGAGTTTCACGTAGGTACCATTAGGGGCCGATTGGGATCCTCCATGCAGGCGTGGAGCCTTCCCAGTGTAAATCAAACACAATGTTTCCCGGAAGAAAAACAAGTGAGAGCTGGGAACACTCAGCAGGTCAGGCAGCATCTATGGAGAAAGGAAAGTGAGTCAACGTTTCGGGTCCACGACCTTTCCATGTTTCCTGGAAGTTGGACTATTATTTGCCCACAAAATACAGTTAATTCACTTTACAGTATATTCTGCGAAGCGCTTTGAGACGTCTCGATGACATGATAAGTTACTATATCAAATGCAAGGATTATTATATTATAATTATAATAATAATTATATTACATATTCTCTTGGAAGTTGGGTCTACTGTTATACTAATGGTCCAATCTGTGGGTGTAAGAAATTGAGGACGAGGGTCAGTAATGTGGCACCTTAATCCATTAGCTGTTTAACACTTACTCCTTACATTTGTATAGCGCCTTTCACGTCGGGAGGACATCCCAAATGCATTCAATCCTTGTCACATCGTAGTGGTTTGGGTCCATAAAGTCAGACCGAGCACTACAAAATGGCTACCACAGACATCACTTCCTGTATGCTATGCAACAGTAAGTCTATTGAAGTCACTTCTGGGACATACGTTGCCTGAAAAGTTTCCAATTGTCTTGCACGTTTTAGGCGCAGAGAAAATGATACCTCGGAGCCAGTGGACAATAATTTAAATTTCTGTGAACAGTGCTATTGTTATATCTGCGACAAGCCTGTTTCCAAGGTGGGTGCAATTCTGTCAGCTGTATCCCTTACGAGAGAAAAAGAAATGAATGATTTCTATTGCATTCAATTGAAATTCAGACAGATCTCAAGGCAAAAAGCTGTTCTCAGCATAAAAATCACTTTAACAACTACTATTGGCTCCTCCAATGCTGCTTTTTTTTGTGTAAAAGCTCCATGCACACATTTTTCGCAATGGTATCAGAATTCGCTCTCTTTTACCTGATAAAGAAATGCATCTCTTGCCCTATTGACACAGTGCGAATTTTGGAAGGTCCCGTCGCTCTGCCATTGCAATGCTCACAACAAGAGCAAGTACTGGAAAGCACATCGTGATGCAGCACTGAAGGGCACGCTCTCGATGTTCAACTTCAACCTGGTGGACATTGACGCTGAGCTGCGACGTGGAGGTAAGAACTGCCCAATCCTGTGGTTATATTGAGGCTCAATGGCTGTTGGAATATTGAAAACCTATTCACTTGATGCAACCTCTGAAAACTGTGCTTAGTATGGTTTTATTACCTCAGCTTTGAGGGAAATGCAACCATAATGACTTAGGATTCGAGGGTAACCAGATGTGAGAACCAAGCACTTTCAGCGTCGTGCAGGGGGAGAGAAAATTGCAATCTGAATTGTAATCTCAGATGATGAAATAAACAACCACTCACAGGCTGGCAATAGGTTGTGAAGGGCTCTATTTGTCTTTTGAAGGTTCTGGAGAAAACTTTTTGAATGTATTGTGTTCTGATTGCTCTCCAGGAGAATTGCTGCAGAAGTTTTCCTTGGTTCTTGCCGTGGAATACAATAAATATTTGATGGGAATGAGTGTTCCCAACCATACAATTCCCTGCACATGCTCCTGCCACAACGTATTCAACGTGTTCTGTGAAAAGTGTTTGATAAATCATTTTGATATCCGGTTATACAGGTATGTGACTTGACCAGTTTGAGTCTGAAATTAGAGAGGGAAAGGAATCAACTCCGGGTTGGGTTTTCTGTCACTGTCTTAAAAAATCAATAATAATAATCATAATAATAATTTGGTCACTCAATCCACGACAGTTTGTGGGGACACTGATGTGCGCAATTGGCTGCCGCATTTCGCCCACAAAATAGACAGTCAATTCACTTAGCAGTATTTCCTGTGAAGTGCTTGGAGACGTCTTGAAGTCGTGGTAAGACGCTGTGTCAAATGCAAGGATTATTATTTTAACGGTTGTTACTGTATAAAACTGGTGTTTTTAGCAAGCAGGAAGTGTAAATACTTTGTCATTTGAGTCTTGCCCTTTGCAACCTATTTACTACTCATTGGAAATCTGCAGAATGTTCTGTTAACTGGGATGAATTGCGTGGTGAAGAATGTAATGTGGGAAAATTTGGCTGCATTTTGCTGACATTCCCTCCTTTTCGCCTGCAGTTACACGGCTGTGTTTGAATTGGTGGACAATTTTCTGTGTCAGGCAGACCAGGAGAAGCCCAAAGCAGCTGTTGTTATGATGATGGGTGCGGCAAAAGAAATCCTCTTTCACAAACAGCTCTCACAGTTAGTTCCTTTTTGTTTTTTACTGCAAACATTTGTTCCTGTGACGGAGAACGCTGGCAGCCAATCTGCAGATGTTTCTCCCAGTGTCCTGCCCCCCCCCCCCCCACCCCATCCCAATAAAAATCGGATTTATCACTCATCACTCCATGGCTGTTTGTGGGACATTGTTGTGCGCAAATTGGATGTTGCCTTTGCTTATATAATACACAGTCACTGGATATTACAGTGAAATTCTATAAAGCAATTAACACATCGTCCTGACGTGAAAGGCACTGTGTTAAATGCCAGGATTATTATTCTAAAAATATTTCCGGTATTATTCTGGTTTCCATCTCCTTGGAGATGAGGAAATTGTGTATTTAAAGGACTATGAAATGGTTCCTGTTTGCATACCCTTTACTCTGACTCCTTGTCCAATTCCATTTTTGACTTTTTGTCATTTATGCCATTAATATATATATCATTTTCTATTATCTTACTCAAATCTTTCTCGTGTTTTTAAAGATTTCTTAAAAAAAATTACATTAACCATTGTCATTGCTTGAACCACATTCATTCTTTTTTCTTTTAACAGAGTTACCAATACAGATCTAAATCTAATGTCTTCAACTCCCAAACTGGCTGTACCATTTTTTATGCACAGGTAAGTTTTTGTATTCCAAAGCTCTACATAAACGTCCTTGTGAAAGTCATGATTTTGCTCTGATCAAGCTGCAACTTCAGACTCTTCAAATGCTCCACTTTTCTGTTCCGTTGTGTTAACACCGGGGTCAGCTTGCTTCGCGAGGATTACATTGAACTTTAGAATGCACTATCTCTAATAATATAACACCAGCTTTTTATAGTAACTGTTACGGGCCTACCGGGTCCATCAAGCCTCCCAATCACTTTCCTGCAAGATGTGTCTTAATGTACTCTTAAGGTAACAGCCCCGAATCCTTTTAGTTGACAGCAACTTGTTTAGCTCCTACCTGAACCCCTTTGTAGTTTTTTTTTTNGCTCCACTGTCTGTGCCTGTCAGCCTTTTACTTACAGAAACATTCTGTTGGTTTGTTTCCCCGGCTGATTCACCGCACCATCAGTGAGTAAAGTTTCAGCCATTCTACCCCCACTCTCTGGAACTGCATCCTGGATTCCATCCTCCTTCCCCTTCCCTCTCCTCAAGGCTTAAGGTTATGCCATCACCCCCCAACCACCCCCCCATTTACATTTGCTGTTGCAGCGTCAAGGTGAAAATTTCAAAAGTTTATTAATATGATACAGTTGATGTGAATGCCTTGCCTGTTACTGGCATTCAAATCTGAAAGCGTGTGCATTGGAGCACAGACCATAAAACATTAATCACAGGGGCACAAAGCAGAAGTACTTTATATGGACCCACAGGACGGGAGAAAAAGGTGACATATGTCTCAAGTCTTTCATATCCAGCATTGATCTGAGATGCAACGTCGTAAAGATTGGAAATATCGGAATGGGACTGGGTGTCGAGTTGTAACCTGTCATATTTGCAGTTTGTCACAGCTGATAAAGTTCGCAATCACTGCGTCCTTGTTTTTATTACAGAATTGCCAACTCTTTACAGAAAATGCTGGTACTGAGCGACTTTCCTCCCTGTCTGTTTGATAAGTTGAAAAGGTTCTATCAAACTCTGCCATTTCCTTCTTTTTGCTTTGCCTTCACAAACAGGTGAGAGCTTGTCTTATTTATGGAGCATTTCAAAACATCCAGAATTTGATGTATTCGGTCTTAGCTTTGAAGTACAGCTTTGTCAACGACCCTCCATGAAAATGATCGAGTTAGTTAGTGTGTTTGTTTGTTTGCTCGCAGTCTCAACGTGCTGTCCTGGGATGACCCTTTCCTCACCTCCATCCTGAGAGGACAGAACATCACTGGGCAGCGGCAGAAGAAAGGCAGGAAGGAAGTGCTATGGGAAGAGATTGTCGTGATCCAGGCGCGGGTGGAAAGAATGGAGGCCAGAGAAGAGTAAGCTGATTATACACAACGTTAATAAATAATAATAATCCTCACATTTGACATAGCGCCTTATCAGGTCGACAAAACGTCTCAAAGTGCTTCACAGGATATACTGTGAAGTGTATTTACGGTATATTTTGTGGGCGAAACGCAGCAGCCAATTGCGCACAGCAGTGTCCCACACACAATGGTGGTATAACAGCAAAATGTTTTATGACGACGTTTGAATCCTCTTCAAAACTATAGCTTTCTCGGTCGGTGTACATTGGCTACGATACACACTGCACCTTACAGTAAAATCCTGCGAAGTGCTTTGAGGCGTCCGTCCTCCCGACGTGAAAGGCGCTACTGTGTATAAATGTAAATTTGTTACTGTGGATTGAGTTTACCAGCCACATGTTGAAATAAATAATTAAATAATATTCCCCTCTTTACACCCCCCCCTACCCCAGTCCCTTCTCTCATTTACGCAGCAAGTTTTCTCTTGAACACATTGAATGGTATTTGTTTCAACCACAGCTTCTGATTTATTGTCTTTTCAATACTTTTGTATAAAGGAAAATGTCAAATTACGTTTTTGCAGCATCCTCTCTAAGTGGATGATATCATTTCCACAACACTGCAGTTACAGTTGCTGTGTTATGCCATTCCTTCACGGTAACTGATTCAGAAGGCTTCATTTTAAATGTTTTGCTGTTTGAGCACTAGCCTTTCTAAGTGAGAAGTGCCTCTTGCCACAGTAAAACCATTCCACGTTTTTTTCTGGCCTGGCAAATTGCCAAGCTTGTCATCTACATTTGCTGTATCCCATCGCAGTGAAGTGAGCTGCCTTCATTAATGTTTCCTAGCTCTTCAGAACACTGCTGAGTGCTGCAAGTAAAAAAATGCCCTGTCTGCAGTTGTTTGAGATGTAATGGATGAAATTGGCCACGATGTTGACTCGAGCAAATCAAGAATTGTATTTTTTTCTAGTAATGGTTAAAGTGAAATGTTTAAATGTTTTATGAGCTTCCAAGAGCCAGCCTCTGTTATAAATAGTCAGAGTTTAACTGCTGGAGTAAATGTCAACCCAAATGTAAATGCCTCATTAAACTGCCATGTTGCATGAAGCTTTCCCACTCCATTGCCATTCAGGGAGATGTTGTAGAACGGATCTTGCCCTGAATACCGTGCAGCCTCCCGAGAACGCACTCCGGTTGAACACGGCTTTGTTCAGAGTGTGAGTTTACTCTGGGCCCACGTTATACTGGAAGTCATAAATAAATAATCCTTGTCTTTGATACAGTCCCTTTTATGTTGGAGGATGTCTCAGTGCGCTTCATAGGATTTGCTCTCAAATGAAGTGACTTGTAGATGAACCCGGAGGCAGCAGCCAGTTTGCACACAACAACATCCGCAAACAGCCATGAAGTAAAAGGCCGATTTAATCTGGGGGATTGTTGGCAAGGGCAAGGGGAGAGAGAAACTCCAGTCTCTTTTCGAACAGTGCCACAGGGAATCTTAAACGTCCACCTGAACAGACAGGACCTCAGTTTAACATTTCATCGGCAACTCTTAACGATGTAGAGCTCGAACATGACTCCAGTGTGTTTGTGTCTTGTGGAGATGGAGATAACTTTCAAGCACAGCAGCAATCTCCACATGATAATAGGCAATTTTTTGTAACATCTCAAGTGTAATTGCCCAGTTGATGTACCGGCCATCTCCGCAATGCTCATCTCCTGTTTAAGCACTTCATTACTATCGTGGAAATACTGACTGCGCCATTCAAATGTCACTGAGGTTTGTGGTAATTAATAATAATCCTTGTATTTGATATAGTGACTTATCACGTCTTTGAGACGTTTCAAAGCGCTTCATTCGGTTGACATTAACTGATGTGCTAACAGTTTAACTGTTTCTGTTCCAGGTACAGGGAGTTGGTGCGATACCTTCGAGTGGTAAAATGCAGCGATACACTAAAGTGAGTGCGGTGTGTTGCAGGGCGCATGTTTTCTGATTCGATCTTTAATAGCAATGATAATAATCCTTGCATTCGATTATATATGCCTTTCAGAAAATCAATTTTGTGAACTTGTGAAAAACATTCATTTTATTGCCCACAAAATACACAGGCAATGCACTTTACAGTGTATCCTGTGAAGCGGTTTTAGATGTCTCAACGATGTGATAAGGCGCTCTTATCAAATGCAAGGATTATTATTATTATAAATTGTGTTGTGATTGCTACTGCCTTAGTTTTCATTTTACTCCCTGCACCTTGGCCTGTGGTGTAATTCTGTTTCCTTTCGAGCAGGTTGCAGGCACTGCAAGACAAAGTTCCGTTCTACATTTGCAAATATGGAGATTTTCACCACGCTCTGCAGGCTTTCCATGTTAATTCCAGCCTCTCGTGCTGCACTGCCTGCCGTCTGTCTCCCATCCAGTACTCGATCTACTTAAAGATTCTGAAAACGGAAACCGTACCTCCTGGCAGTGACCTTTCAGAGGAAGGAAATTGGGTTTGTGTCAAAGGTCAGCCGGCAATTTTTTTTATCAACGAATGAATTTGAGAAACAAAAGTAAAATACTCTTAAGATTCGTTTCAGCCTTTAACCCCTTTTCTCGTTGTTAGGTCTCTTTTTACACCTTTCTGTTTTTGTTTCAACTGGATCCACTGCCCCGGTAACCCATTTCAGCTTGACATAACCTTCTGTCTAAAGAAATATTTCCTTGTGTCTATTGTAAGCACTTTTGCCTACCTGAAACTACCTTGGTCCATGTTCTCTATCCCATTTAGTAACTTGCAGTCCTCTGTAAGTTCCCCGCTTTTTTGAGATGGAGCCTTACATAACCAGTCTTTTCTCAGAGTCTGGCCTAACACTGGGAATTTGCCTTGTTTCGCTCCTACACAGCCTCTGGGGCCTGTTTGGCCCTTTATGTTACAGCAACCAGAACTACGCAGAACCTTTAGAACATCGTATGCCTTCTGCGTGGTTTCTGGGGATTTGAACTCTATTGATATGGCAATCAATCCTGATATACTGTTTGCTTTGTTTGTTGCTGCCTGCCTCACATTGTTTGGACATAATGAGTCCACAATCCACCCCCAAGTCTTCTTCTCATGCTTCACCCTTTGACACATTCTGCATTATCTATCAATTAATTCTGTGCTCTATTTTTACTTACAATATGCTGTGCTGTTCATTGGCCATGTTAATCAGATTCAGTAATCGGTTTCAATAGGGTATTGGATATGTACTTTAAAAAGGAAAAATGTGCAGAGCTACGGGGTAAGAGCGGGGGAGTGGGGAATAGTCGGTAGCTCTTTTTTAAAGAGCAGGCACGGCATGATGGGCCGAATGGCCTCCTCCTGTGCTGTGAGATTCTATGATTCTACAAAGAAAAATTCCATTTCAATTTGTGGAAGATTTCCAATCGAGTGGTTGGCCGAGTGGAAAGAAATGTAAGAAAATAGACTGTGACTCTGGTACAGTTTGTTCTGCTGCACTGTGAGTGACGGTTGATCTCAGGTTTTGCTCCACTTACCAGCTGACATGGGAATTTCGATCATAGCTGCACTGACCCAGAAGAGGAAGATGTGTTTAATTAAAAGCTTTTAATTAACTGTTACCAGATGTGACAAGTCCCAAATTCTTGGGAAATTGCCTCTTTCCACAGGAGCATTACTTTGTGTAGATCAAGGAAATGTAATTGGCCTTTATTGTTGCTATAAGCCTTAAAGCTTTGCATTTTTAAATTGAATCATGTCATGTGTGCATCCTGGTTGTATTATGGTTGTCCCATGGGTACAAATAATGGCACTCACTATCGAGAACCTATCTAGTTTTAAAAATCACATGTTTTGACTTCAGTGAATCGCTTCAACAACAACAACTTTGTTTATATGGTGCCCTTCACACATGGTAGCGTTCCAGAGTGTTTGACAGTGGCGGAACATGTTGTCGAGCCGGGGACAGGGGAGCTGATTAGGCATGGGCGGTGAGGAAGGTCTTCAGGCGTGACCTGAAGTTGGGGAAGGAAGCAAGGCTTTGAGAGTTTTTGTAGAAAGCCTCGATGCTAATGGTCCTTTTAGCTTGCATCTCTGGTGGTAAATAGGGCATATCAATCCTGCTCATGTGTGTATTGGTTAGAGCACTCGATTCCTATGCGGGGCGAAACCTTGGGCAAGTTTCCTTAATCCACATGCCCCCGTTTACCCAGCAGTAAGTAGGAACCCAGTTATTAGTCGATTTACCAAGGAAAGTCATTTTGCCTGATTATAGAGGGTTTAAATCTTGCGTCGATCATTGTCTATTTCCAGGTGATTCTTCAGTAAAAATCCACGTAATGATGAGAAGTTTGCTCCGGATTCTGTTTGTAAATAAAGCACTTTATAAAGATGTAAGTATTTTAATTTTCACCTAATTTCCCTTTCTGATTGATGTTCAGTGTGAAGGTTATTGTTTATTTATATTGAGAAATGCTTCCATTGGCACCAAATGCTTCTTTAGGACCTCAGTCAAGTACGATAAGTAGTCAGGATAAGGTTTCAAGTTGAATTCTGGAGATTTGAACCCGACTGTTTCAACAACGCGTCATGTGTCTACATTTACATGAGTGGTGTACAGTCCCGTAACGTAGTGATTAGTGTGCTCACCTCGCAAACGAGAGGACCCGGGTTCCATTCCCAGGAAGGGCGAAAACTTGGACAACTTTCCTTACTTCACACAATACACACTGCGTTTACCAATCAGTAAGTAGGAACCCGGTTGTTCAAAAATAATAATAATAATAAATAAATGGTCACTCAATACAAAAACACTTTTGGGACAAAATACAGTCAATCCCTGTTATAATATATTCTGTGAAGCGTTTTTAGACGTCTCAACAGCTTGATAAGGCGCTATATGAAATGCAAGCATTATTATTATTATCCTCTTGGCTTCTTTAATGCTGCTTTTGTAGACCAAACAGTTGTTTATAGGCAAACATTTGCAGAACACATCTATCCTCTCGGATTAGGTAATGGTGGGAGGAGTGGCAGGAAAACTAAATTTGAGGAAAATAGTTATCATTTCAACTGCTCCTCGTGTCTCAGTCTGATGGCACAGAACTATTTGTAGGTTTCTCAGAGGGTTAATCCCCAGCCCTGGAGCCTGGGGCCCCAGTGGTTCAAACCGAGGTTTAACGGTACCTGATTATTATTGTGCTGTGTGTTTTATTTTGTCCTGTTCAGGTTCAGTGCTGGAGCAAACTGATTGAGATTCAATGCAACTCTTTCACATTGGGGAAAAATGGCAAGTTACTTAGTGAGGTGATCCAAGCTCCATCCGCCGAGTTTGTGGAAGTGAGTTTGATACCTAAACCTTTGGATTGTACTGTGCGATTTTAAGCGAGAGCTCAGTTTAACTCCCTTTCTTTCATTCAGTGTGGCTAAAGGTAATCCATTAAACAGTTCCCAAAAGCACCACTGCAGATTGATTTTGTTCCAGACTACAGTTCAACTGTTTGATCCGGACACTTCTGATCCCGTTTCTCCGAGAGAAAGCAGCCAGGATAGAGATAGAAAGCCAGAAAGTTTTAAGTGTATAAATTTGTAAACAAAAAAGTCTTAATTTTTGCTGAAAACAGTTCTGTTGATTGTAAGTCATAAGAATATTAAAGACAAACTCCTTGATGCTCAGTGTAGCGTGGACTGTACACGTGCAGCTTCAGCAGGTCTGGCTGGCTTCCTGCACGCATTACTCAGTCACAACGGCCTCCTGACACTCCTAGCAGTGTCCCAGCAGGCGATGTCCTTCAAAAGTTATAGAGTCTGTCAGGAGAGCTGTGGTTTTAGAGCATGAGCTAGAAATCCTTGCCCGCTTCCTGGATTAGTATAAAACCATTGTACTTTTGTCATCAGAGCACAGCGGGCCTGGCTGCCATCATCCTGGAGGATCTGAAGAAAGGAATAGTCGGTTTGCCCAAAGTCTTCCTGTCCGTGGTACGTGGCTAATAAGGACACTGCGTCTCCAAAACAACAATGCATTTATACAGCCCACTTCACCCCAGAGCGCATGACAATGGCGGAGTCTGACACAGAGGGAGGGGGAAGAATTCACAATGTTCCGTTGATGTGTGGGTCTTAGAGTAATGGGTTAAAAGGGAACAAGGACTACAAGCAGTTTGCACTGAGCACAGAGGCACAGTTGGCCCAGTGACCATAGCATTGATGTCAAATTTATTTAAAAAAAAGATAAACTACCTGCTAATTAATCCAAATGTAAATTCTTGGCTTTATTAAACTTAATAATAATCCTTGCATTTGATATAGCGCTTTTCACGTCTTCTAGACGTCCCAAAGCGCTTCACAGAATGTACTGTAAACTTGGTGAATGAATGCCCTAAGGCAGAAGATAATTTTGCATATCGCCCACAATTTCTGTGAAGAGCTTTCAGGCATGATAAGGCGCTAGATCAAATCAAGGATTATTATATTATAATTACGGATGCTTTCATTTTGTGGGTAAAATGAGGGTCCTTTGCACAGGTGTCTCTGCTGTTTGGTTCAGTTCAGTTCCTGTGTTTTTCAAAAGTGAATGATTGTACAAATGAATGTTGCTGGATGTTAACTGTGTAATTCGCCAGAGTGTAAGTTGTGTCAGAGGCTGAGTGAACAATAACATGGAGTTGTACTGCTGTTCACAGGATTGCAAGGCAGCTATGTTAATCCTTGTGACTATTGCCTTCGTCCAGATGTGGCACACCAAACTGCCCACGATGTACATGGTTCTGCAGCTACTACTAGCTTATGGGGTAAGATCAGCGAGGTTACTGTAACTGCTTTATTTTTGCTTTGAAACATTTTTATTTCCTCCTTACAAATCCCAGTTATAGAACAGGCAGTTGCGCTCTACCCCATGGGAGAACGCTAGATGGCTATGATGGCACAATTAAAATCTGACCTTTTGTACAATCTCATGTACCTCTATAAATTCCCTGTCTCCTTTCAAAACTTTATTTTTCTGACGAAGAGCAGGAGGTAATTTGTTAACGAAGAGAAAGTAACTCCTTCCTCATAGAAGTACGCTTACTAAAGCAAATGCTTTCAAATTTGCGAGATCAAAAACTGTTTGCGACATTTTCTAAGTTCCAACCTTCCCCGAGGACCAGCCTGCACTTTTCCTGGTGTTTGGCCCGCGCAATCCAAATCTCAAGCCTGTCAGCTCCATGTAGATGTGGCCGGTCAGCGGTGAAGTGGTTCGGATGGAGACGGGCCTGGATTTCCTTGCGCTTGACCAATGCTATTTGTGCATTTTAGAGGAATGTGTGGGCACTGAAACTCCTGCTTGACAAGCTGAGGGTGGAGGAGGAGAACTTGCGCCATTTCTGCATACTATTGGGAAAAAACCTTTACATGTATAAGGGCATGTTGCTTGAGGGGTAAGTAAACTTTATCTAATACTGGTGTTGGCACTGGGAACATTTATATGGGTTTTTCTTGACAGAGAGAAAGAGAGGAAGGTTTGTGCAGTCAGTGCTATGACACTTTTGCGTCCAAACATTGCATTTCATCCCCAAAATACACAGTCAATTCACTTTGCAGTATATTCTGTGAAGCGCTTTGAGACATCTCGACGACATGATAACGCGTTACATCAAATGCAAGGATTATTATATTTAGAAGAGTAAGCTTGTTGCTGTGAGGATCAGTGATTATCTTTTCTCATATAATGAGTCTTCAGTCGAAGTCTCCTTAATCTCAGCGCTTTGACCTTGGTATTACTGATTTTTTCTTCCGTGAGTTCTATTGTGTCTTTCTTATGTATAGTCAGTCATACACTCTGCACCGCAAATCGATTGTGCTTTAAGATGATTTCCCAGTCTGAAAGGTGCCATTAGAAGTGTACGTGTTGCTCCTCACTAGTTGTTTGTTTCAATATTCAGGTTTAAATGTCACGACGCTGGCTATGTTTGTGACTTTGTGAATATCTTCCTGTCTGACACGCACCCTTGCGTGCAGGCCAACAGCATGCAAATGGTCCAGATTCTCGTGGAAGCCTGGCAAGAGTGAGTGTTTCTACACCCGAGTTGGGTTGTTGACTTTTTCCCTCGCTCAATAACAACCTGTGTACAAATTCAGCTCAGTTGAAATTAGGTTTAGGGACAAGAATTATTTTGAAGCTTTTCCGTTTTTTAATGATATTGATGAGATATTTGGAAAGGAAATAAGTATCCCCCAAAATACTTACATCATTGACGCAATTTATAATTCCCTTCATGGCTGTCGATCACGTCCTTGATATTTAATGATGTTCAATAGATACCCAACTCATCTACTCCAACCCCTTTGTGTTCTTTATGAGTTTTGCGGTTGGGTCTCGTGATTTGCTTTGCACTCTTCTCCATTCTCCCCTTTAGAATAGTGTCCGCGATGATAGTCGTTTAACAGACCATTTTAACTCATCTCAGTAATTGAATAAAATATTACAGTCGATTTAGTTTGAGAAGTTTGATAGTTTCCCAATCGATAGCTTAGCTAACATGTACCATTGTCCCTTCAGACTGAAGGGGAACGAATGTGTGTGGGAACAGACACTTCACAGTTTTCTACAAAATAAGGTCAGTGTGACTAGATGTCTAAGGTTAATCTGATTTAATGTTTTTGGAGCAGATTTGTTTTTTTGTGTGTTGTTGGGGGAGGGTTGTAGAAGACACAGAGGCAATTTAGACACTGCATGTAGCTTTGATGTTTTGTTGTATCCTAATCCACTTTATTTTGTGATCTGCTCTTTATCCATGTCCCACGTCAGCCCAGCCATCAGGGAGGACTGTAAGCTCCCGAGTACTTGTCTGTGTGGGTTTGTAACTAAACCCGAGAGGCTGCATTACAGTTGCCTGCAGTGATTTTGTTGGTTTCCTTGTTAGCACCTGATTTCCTCTCGGTGGAGTGTCCCAGGTGTTAACTTGCATCTTGCCACTGCATGTTTGAACAGCACTAATGTGCTGAGCTTTTGCTGTGAGCTTGTGGGGGGGGAATTCACACTATCTTGACTCTCGAGCATCACTGATGGAAATCTTTCAGGATATCATTGATTTAAAGTTGAACCGTTTCCAGCCATGGCAATGTCAGAAATCAAGTCAACCCTGCACGGTAGTCTGATTCCTGAGCCAGGTGAATTCCACTACACCCCAGGGCACTGTTGATGACACTCCAGCCAGCCTGGCTCGTCAACAAGACTTGGAAGGGACAGACTGGCCACTTGGTAGCAAGAATTTTTACCATTTGGCTTCAATTAATTCCCAGCTGGACCAGCAGCAGGAAGCTTGCCAGACAGCGCTCTCATACTCTCAGTGGTAAACTATGTGACTTTATCTTGTTAAGCTGCAATATTACCCCAGCGCAAACTGTGGTGTCTTCAAGCCTTAGCTATTGCCAACCTGATATGATACTCTCTGGAATTAATTAAACAAGAGAGAGTGTAATCTCCATTCTAGACACAAGAAATGTAGGTGGCAGACATATATATGTGGAACTCTGCCTGAATTGGATACTCTTAAGCATGGTGATGGGTTTCCGCACCGGGCTGAACCCTCCAAAAAAACTGAAGTGGAGTTTCAAGTTCACTGCAGAAATCATCTGAATTGTTCACTTGTGTTTCACGTTCTTGTTTGCTGTGATCAGGTCATTCCGGCCATTGATAGGCAGAACGCTAAGCATTTGCCAGAGCTGAGGAACAAAATAAATATGATTGCGTTAAAGAAAGTCTGATGCTCCCTACAATGTGGCAGTCCTGATGATGGCTGGAAAAGGTGGATTAACTGTGGCCAATCTCGACCGAACATTCCTGCAAATTGTGCTCCTGAGAGCCTGGCACCAACCGCAATCGTCTGATTTTAATGGAAATTTCACTTTGTTTTAATAAAACTTCTCTCTGGTAATAAGTCATCCACTTGTAGTTAGTCTCTGAGAAGATTGAGAAGATTGTTCTTGAGAGGGTACATCTGCGAGGGAAAAAAAAGCTTTACTCCTTAATGTAAATCCAGGAAATGTGCATTAGATTAGTCAGCGTTTCAAAGGTTGAATGTGACTGTTCTTCCTGTCCTATATTTACGTTACGTTACGAAGCTGGACTGCAATCCTGATACTTGGGTGGCGTTTGGCCCTTTAACTCACTCACACAACGCGGTCAATCTGAAACTGGAGCACAGGGAGGTTGGAGGGTCGGGGATTCTCTGAAACTCTTATTATTGGCTTGCTTTAGGGGAGAGAGGCTAAAAAGTTTTTTTTGTGTGTTTTTTGGCTAATCTGATGACCACACATGACAGGAGGAGAAGGAATAATCCCTTAAAAAATATAAATAAAATAATAATAATAATTTGGTCGCTCAACCCATGACTTTTTGTGGGACACTCCTGTGCACCATTGGCTGCCGCGTTTCGCCCACAAAATATAGTCAATTCAGTTTACAGTATATTCTGTAAAGTACTTGAGACGTCTCAACAAGACATTCTCTGCAGTAGATTCCTTTTTAAAAAAATCGCCTTAGTTAAAAAAAACCAAATATGTTTGTAATATCTTCTGGGTTCTTGATGATTAAATTATTCATTAACTTACATTAATTTCTGTGAACCATGAGCACCTTATCTGGCAGTGGTACCTCACCAATTGCTTTTCTACTTGAGATTCAGAAGAGGAACTTTAGATGCTGAAGACCATATCGGTGGCAATGTTGAAGAGCCAGTAAATGTTTGAGCTTTGCCAATTTTTTTTCTATTTACATAAACAGAAAAGGCTGTGTTTCTTTAACTGTTCTGGTTTGGATGGTGCCTTGTACTCTGAGCTGAACTTGCTCTGTAAGGTTTTGAGACCAGTTCCTGTATATATTTACAGTTTTGTTGCAATTTTCAGTTGATTTGTTCTGGTCATTGTTGAGCAAAACAAAAGTGACATTTTGCATATCCAATTTTCAATATTTTACAAGGGTTTTAAAAAAGAGGGAGCGAGCGAAATCCTTTTTAATTTTCAATCCATTTTTAATTCTTGCTACTGAATGTATATTTTTCTCTGGGTCTATTGTATTCAGATCTTTCAACCCCACATTGCAAAGTACTATTTAATAAACAATTAAATTTTTTAATACAAAAGAAGATGTTGTCTACTCGTCTCGCGAGGTCTCTGCATTGCCTTTCTTGCATTAGTAGGTTGTTTGTCAGTACTGCCCTGGAGTGTCAATCAATGGAGTCCTGTAGCTTAGTGGTTATAGCACTCGCCTCGCAATCAAGAAGTCCCGGGATCAATTCCTGGCCAGGGTGATAGTTTCGGCAAATTTCTTTACTCTCTTTGCCTAGCATAAGTAGGAACCTGGTTGTTAGTCGATTGGCTGATCGCTTTTCCAAGGTAAAAATCCTTTCAAAAAATATATATTTAAAAAAAAATAATTTGGTCACCCAATCCACGACTGTTTGTGAGGGACGCTGCTGTGTGCAATTGGCTGCCACGTTTCGTCCACAAAATATTACAGTCAATTCGCGTTTCAGTATATTTCTGTGAAGCGCTTTGAGACGACTTGAATATGTGATAAGGCGCTATAATCAAATGCAAGGATTATTATTGTGTCTCAGGACTGCACTGGACTGTCAGTCTGGCCTCAGTCCTGACATGGGGTGTGGACCCACAACTTGTGACCCCAGACGCAGGAGTGCTACCAACTGAGCTAAGAAGAATCAATCTGTAGTTGGGATTGGCGGTCAAATAAAAGCCAGTTGTGAATAATCCACAGGAGGATTAGAATGAGTAAGAGGACAATAAGACAAAAAAAAGAGGAAAAAGTCTGAATGTGTGAGTAATGCGCAATTTTCTCGTGACCGTGAACCTATAAAAATAACACGCTTCTCAATACGTAGAAGCTGCTTTGAATGTAATTGATGTTTGCGAGCGGGTTTATAAATATCTGCATTTCGAATGATTTGCTTCTTGCAGGAAATCAAATTTGTCACTGGAACTTAAACAATCTCGGGTTGCAATATGTCTTGCCTCGCTCCCTCCACTCCCAACTCTGCTTTGCATAAAAGCTATGTGTGTGTGTGTGGTTTTGATGATTGTGCTGATTTGCCTTGCTTTGAACCATTTTCCTCTTTATTGAAACAGGTGCTGATGTGATTGCAAGGACAGCCCGTGTTTACCAGCTGGGCCTGATTTGTGCTTATTCCTGCATTTGACTACTGTAGTTTGTCTTTCAGATTTGCAAACTCGTTTGAACCAATATAGAAAAATCGCAGTAAATATTCCTGCTCTTCTTAAATGGTTGGTTGCTGGTGGGTATTGAACGTGCAGTGAGCTCTTACTCATCTCTCCTAACTGGCTAATGCCTTGTACTTTTAGTTCTTTTGATGTATTGCTATTCTTTCGCCATCTGATACCCAATGTGGTTTTTTTATTGATAAGTTGCAATGAGAAACTCCTGTGTAGGTTGTCCCCATTTTCCTCCCACCACCAGTTCCACCATTGTTTGAGAGGCTTTTCCCAGTCAAGATGATAAAACCGTCTCAAGTTCTTAGGCTTATAAGGCTGCTGTTGTCCATGGAGCTCAATTTCCAAGCAACAACGAGACAGGGAGAGGATTGTTTGACATCTATAATTCTCTATGATTTTCAATATGTTGGCCCATCGTGTTGAGTAACTGACTCAGGCAGAGATATTATAACATATAACAGACTGAACCATGTACTGATGATTTCAGCCAACTATCCTATTAATAGCCCTACATGCTATATTCCCAGAACATTTTGGATCAAATCTAAATGTATAACTTCCTAATGAGCTGCTAAATCCAGTGAACTCCTGATAACTCGTCACTCTAGGGGGTGGGGATGAGTGATCAGTTATCCAGAGTGGCGCGTTAGACATATGTAAAAATATTACAGTATATTCTGTGAAGTGCTTTGAGGCATTTCAAAGACATGATATACATATTAATGTAAATAATCCTTGCATTTGATATAGCGCTTTTCACGTCTTGTAGATGTCTCATATTTGTGGGTGAAACAAAAATGTGGCCAGAATATTGACAGAATGATGACTCAAATGGTCGTGACAAGTTACGGCAGGATCGAGTTATAAGGAGTTTATTGTATATTACTGCTTGCTAATCAATAAAACATATTTGGCAGGGTTGGTTTTATCTACAGTAATTGATTAAGTAATGCAAGGGTTATTATTATTAAGTAAGCATTGTGTTAAAAATGTTAATTCTTTCATTACGTAGTTACGTGATGCAATTCATCAAAGAGGCCCTAAAGAAAGAAAGGCAATTTGACAGTCGGTAAATATAATTTGATCAGAACCAGTTGGTATTAGTTCTAATGCAGTGTTAATTAATATGTTAATGTTATGAATAATTATCGTTTATAATTTACAGTAATGGAGTGTAAATGGCTCTGTCTTGTACAGTGGGCGCTCAGCCTGGACTGTGAACTCAGAGTGCCCTGTGTGTGTGTGTCTGTGTGTGTGTGTCTGTGTGTGTGTCTGTGAATGTGTGTGTGTGTGTGTGTGTGTGTGTGTGTGTGTGTGCGTATGCCAGATGGCCATTAACCATTAGCATTATAATGCTTTAGGAGTTGATGATTCCCTCTACTCTGCTCTAAAGAGCTAGACACGGATCATAATATACAACTCCCAACTCGACGAGCTTAGGAGAGAGCAGCTCATCTCTTGTGATGAATGTCACAGAGGAGAGCACGGGTTTTACAGTGAACCAAGCTGAGCACTTGACAGATTGCATGGGCCGGGCTTGCTCTCCTGTGCTGCTCTTATGAAGAGGTTGACCATGCTGCTGCAATCTCTTTGTGACATTGGGCTTATTCAGGGATCACACCTCACTGACGGACAGACAGCTGCAGAATATTGAACTTACGCCAATGTTGGGGGAGTGGAGGGTGGGAGGGTTGGTGGGGGGGTGGAAAGGTGGGCGGGGGGGGGGAGTTGCTTTCAAAATGTTATTCTCTTTCGAAATCTGTTAAATGTTACCCGTTCGCTCCTTCCGCTCAATGTGCTGTGGCCTGCTCCATTTCCCTCCACCAGCTCAGCCTGGCACACCACACTATCGGCGGTCACGCCTTCAGCCTGTCTCCATGCCACAGTCGCTTGGCCTCGCTCCCTCCCTTTGCCTCCGTCAAGACCCTCCTCTTCGACCACGCCTTCAGCCAGCCTCCTACCCCCACCCTCCCTGCCCTCCATCCCTCCTGATCCCAACCACCAGCTCGGGTCCAAATCCCTGACTGTCCAGCGCCTTGGGACGTCCTCCTGACGTGAAAGGCACGATGTAAATGTGTGAACGTCATGTGTTGTTATCCTACATGAGGTGCTGCAGAAGTATAAGTTGTTATTTGCGGTGGGAGGGTTCATTGGCAGCTGTTGATTTCATGCTTATGGAAACAAAATTCATAAGGGTGAAAAATGTGACTGGTGTTGATTATCACATCCCATGTGGCATTCTCCTCCCCGCCACCCCCCCCCCCCCAAAAAAACCCGAAAAGGCTCCAAGTATAATTTGTTCTGAAGGATTTTGCTGTGTTGACAATATTTCTGAAACTGAGCTTCACTGCTAAATCCATCAGAGTTTCTTTGACAAAGACTCTTTGTCAGGATGACTGGCTTTTCATATATATTGCAAACCATCACTTTCTGAGAATAATCCTGGTTCATGACTGACAATGTTCGCTACAGACAAACACACAGCAAAGGGACAATGGTTTGCAGTTCATGGGGTGGGAGACCACAGTTTAATTACGATAGTGCTTGCATTAAAGCGGTTGAACTACTAATATGGGCAGCAATAGCCAAACAGATCCACATTAATGAACGAGGATAAAACCTCCATTTGGTCATTCTCTTTCCCTTTCTTTAGAATGATTTGTTTTATTTCTGGATGTTTCCAGCACCATGTTAAGCCCCAGAGTCATTATACACACATTTCTGTGCCTAATGCTGTGGATCAGCTCAAAGGATTAGATTTTACAACTAAACTGATGGCAGTAAAAATAGCGCAGTTACAGCAACTGCTATGCAAATAATTCAAGATGACTGATCCCAGCTGGCGGGGCGAAATGGATGTGTAGGAGCACGGACACTAGGTAAACAAGGTCTGTGATGGATCATGTTGCTGAGTTTGCAGTTTCAACCTCGCTACTCTGGTGAGGAACAGAATGGAAAACTGGCACTTTGACTTAGGAACATTGGAACCCACAGGACCAAAACAAGGCCATTGCCGCACATCTGCTCAATGTCAAACTCTCAAATATATAGACTTGTTAATGTCCCTCAATCACTTCTGCTCAATTTCCCCCTTTTTTCTGCCTTTAAGTTGTGCAGAGTGTGCGGCTACGTCAATCATTTAAGTTCACCTTAACTTTATGTAGAATCTGGGAAAAGTTCAATGAGATCTTCATAGGCTTCCTAACAATAATAATAATAATCCTGCATTTGATTAAGCACCGCATCACGTCTTTGAGACGTTTCAAAGTGCTTCACAGAATACAAAGTCAATTGACTGTATATATTTTGTGGGCGAAACGCGACAACAACAACAAGATTTCATTTATAGAGCGCCTTTCACGTCGGGAGGACATCCCAAGGCGCGACAGCCAATTGCACACAGCAGCGTCCCCACAAACAGCCGAGGATTGAGTGACCAAATACAAGACAAATGTTAACAAATCTGTCTCGAAAGCTCTGGCTGGTCAAAATCTTGGGATCATCATGTTCCTAAATGAATGGCCCACAGTGACATTGACACCTGTCATAATAGCTGAAATTCAATGGTGGCTGGTGTTCAATTCCCATCTTTCTCCCTCTCACTTTTTCTCCCTCTCCCACTTTCTGCTTCTGATACTTGACTTAAAACTTCAATGTCAAAGTAGTTGCAAAGAGGGTGTCAGTGGTAAAGGTACAGCAAAAACATCTGGCCTCGAAAAGCAGTGATTAACTACTCGATTTTCAGCCCTGAAGCTGCCCTGGGCAAATCCATCTCTGTGGCTTAATAGCACCGGGTCTCCTTTGGGATGAGGTGGATAAATGACGGCTTTTAAATAATGAAAGAAAGATAGAGAATCACCAGGTACAAAGGCCATTGTTCCGCTTACAATAGGACCCTTTCATGCTGCAGCATTGCCTCCCCCGACACCATCTTATGTTTCCAATCGTCTTCGCTGGGGGCTTGTCCACTGTGGGGAACCGGCTGACTGAATGTTACTGATTGACGGTTTGATGAAACTCAAGTTCAGTGCAGAACAAGCCGTCGACTCATCTTCAAAGCCTCGAATTCTGAGAACCAAGTTGTGAGACTGCCTTGCAGTCACTGTTCCTGGCCAATCGACAGGCTGATGGCATTGGCTTTCGATTTTCTAAGTGAACGACCTCGAGGGAAGTGAATAGGGCGTCTGCTCCTTTGATTCTCCTTTCCTCCTCGAGGGGAGCCACCTGGGCTTCATTCAGTGTTTCACCACAACGATGTGTCTTGGGATTAGGATCTCCCACGAACCAGAGCTTAGTGTCAGTGCCCAACTCCGACATCAACAACAACTTGCGGTTTGTAGAGGACAGCGTCTTGGACTGCTGCACAGAGCCGGGTGCTGCGTTGGCCCTTGCGCAACACAGCACTTGACAGGGTGCTGTGTCACACACACATTTTGCTATTGTAATGCACTCCTGAACACCTGTAACAGCTGCTGAGTGCACAGAATGTGGTGCAAAGTAGAACAGAAGGCCAAACCGAGTTCTGCCTCGATAACGAGCAGGTTTCTGCGAGATGTAATAATTTGACAGCTGTGTGGTAATGTACAGTATGTGTGAGTGTTTAATTTTTAATGGGTTAGGATTGAACACACACACGCACGCCACTGAACATACTCACTCACTGAGGAGGCTGGTGTTCACAGCTTACAATAAGCTCATGCTGCACAGAGGAACTCTTGAATAGAGAGTCACCCGAGTCTTAAGATTTACTATTGTACTGACTTTGCCAAATTGTCAGCCAAGGTGCCTGGCTCAGCTGGTATCGCTCTCTCTCCCTCCCTCTCTCGTCTCTGAGTCTGAAGGTTGTGGGTTCAAGCCTCACATCGGGACTTTGAACTCACAGTCTAGGCTGACGCTCCAATTCAATGGCGTGTGGACTGCATCCGTTGACAGTGAATGAGATGTTAAACCTATGTCAATTCTGTGTCTGTTCAGGTGAACGTTAAAGATCCAACTGGAAAAGAGAAACGATTCTCTCCTGGTATCCTGACCAATAATTCCCCGGACAAGATTGATCATTCACTGCGTGGCTGCTTGTGGGGACATTGCTGTGCGCAAGTTGGCTGCCCCCACCATTTGCCAACAAAGTACACAGTCAATTTACCGCAAATCCCTTGAAGTGCATCCACAGGTTTTCCTGATGTGAAAAGAAATTCTCCGAGTAAATCTAGATGCAGTTGAAATTTTACTCCCAAGATTTAAAATATCTTGATCATAAAAGTTCCTTTGCTCGCTTGTTATCTGTTATTTCATATGCTGTGATGTATTTTTCACCCCCTTTAGCAAAATGCAGGAAAAAAATCCCAGTTCACATCCTTGCCGACTCATTCCAATGCACCACTTTGTAAACAGAGAGATAAACAGAGAGGAAATAAAGTGATTATTCCTTCCCCCTCCTCTCCCATTCCTGAAATATAAATGCTTTGAAATTGCTGCTTGGCCCCTCTTGCATTCACACATTTTGTGAAATCCAACCGATGCAAAGGGTCAGTTTGTGGCCAACCAGCATTATTATAATCAATTTCCTGGTGCCTCGGCACTTAGCTCAATTCCACAGACCCGCTGGGAGCTGAAACTGACAATTATAATAATAATCATCCTTGCATTTGATACAGCGCCTTATCACTTCTTCGAGACGTCTCAAAGCGCTTCGCAGAACATACTGTGAAGTGAATTGACTGTATTTTTGTGGGCGAAACGCAGCAGCCAATTGCACACGGCAGCGTCCCACAAACAGTCGTGGATTGAGTGACCAAATTATTATTGTTTTTTGAAGGGCTTATTACCCCCGGAAAAGCGATCCGCCAATCACTAACAACCAGATTCCTGCTTGCTGCGAGGTAAACCGAGGCGAGTGTGGAGTGAGGAAATTTGCTGAACGTTTCGCCCTGCCGGGAATCGAACTCGGGTCTCTTGCTTGTGAAGTGAGTGCTCCATAATTGCTTATTGTATAATTCTATAAGTGCTTCGTGTTCACACAGCAACTAACCATTGTTCACACTGAAGCTCTCCATCCAACTAGAGTTTCAGTCTGAATGTATTCGAAAGCAAATAGTCCCTTTAAACAAACTGTGGCTTTAATTGATGGAATAACACCATTCAAGAGTACAGTATTTTCAGTACAGTACTACTACTTCTGATTTATTACGGGCCCTCCTTTCCAATAAGTTGGAAACAATGATTTCAACTTATTTTGCGGTTCCTGCCTGTGGGCTGGCCTCTATTTGCACCGAATACATATTCAGTGTTAATATTAAGACACACAGAGCCGGTGGAGTTCTGTCAGAAGTTAGTCTGGAAGCGATGAATTCCTGAAAGTTTGAGGGTAAACAGGCAGCCACATGTTTGACAGCAAAACTGCTTAAAAGCGCTGAATTCTAACCGCCTCCAGGGCTGCTCGATTCATCCTCATGTTTTGAACACACTTATATGTGTCTGTGTGTGTGTACAGTCAATCCACTCCACAACAAGCACTTTGAGATGTTTTAATGATGACGTGATAAGGCACTATATCGAATGCAAGGAGTATTATTGTTAATAATCGAACCTTATTTACTTGCAGCGCGCTTGTTTATACTTAGGGCACATTATTCAGGCATTATCAGGAGTTTATATAAAGCAACAAACACATTGTGTCCCTAAGGGATGTAATTATACAAGTGAGTGTTCCAGGATGGACATCACTCCCCCTCCCCCCGCGCAAACACGCACACACACACACTCTCTCTCTCTCTCTAACGAGACACCAGGAACTGAGTAATTGCTTCCAGCTCAGCATTAACTGCAGCGGTGTTTGGAGTGACAGTCGTTGGTGAAAGGACAGGCTCTACAGTACATCAGTGTATAATAAGCACATCAGCTCCAGGGACGAATATTCCGAATGGATCACTAGCAGATGAATAGATTGCACTAAGGATTTCGGATTTATTTTTAAAAAAGGAACAGAGCATCTGTATATATTTAGTTAAAACCTCGTCACATATATATAATATATATATATATATACTGTGTATATAAGGAAGGAAGACAAGTATATGTTGGTGAAAGCAACATTTTGCATTGCTTTTCTCTTCTGTCTGCAGTGAAAGTGCCTTGAAACTGACTGAGGTAAGTTCACTCTCTGACTAGCAAAGATAGGGACAGAGGACGAGGGTTTGTGAAGCTGTTTAATAATAATAATAATAATCCTTGCATTTGATACAGCGCCTTATCACGTCTCCGAGACATCTCAAAGCTCTTCTCAGGATATACTGTAAAGTGAATTGACTATATTTTGTGGGTGAAATGCAGCGGCCAATTGCGCACAGCAGCGTCCCGCAAGCAGCTGTGGATCGATTTATTATTCTTATTATTTTTCTTTTAAAGTTGCAATTGAAATGTATGACAGATTGGATGGGATTTTTTTGGGTTTAAATTGATTTTTTTTAAAAAAAACACTGACAAAAGGCAAAGAGCCAAAGGACTCACTGACTTGCACTCTTCCCCCATCACTCAACCCTTGAAATCGGTACTTTAAATTTTGTGGGGACGCAATCTATCCTGGGTTCTCGAATGATTTATTCACACAGTCGAGCCCACAATGTTTAAGAGGCAATTGTTCCTTTCTTTTTAATATAAAAAAGGTGTTTCACCCACAGGAACGTAATGCGCTGTGAATGCCAATTACAGTTTCATTGTGATTGCTCTAAAGTCTTCAATACATGAGCAAGAGGGTGGGGAAAAACAGTGAGAGGGAGATGAAAGAGGGAAGAAATTAAATCTCTCTCTCCCCAACACACACACACACACACAGACATTAGGGGAACAGCCCGTCTGTGTGATTCCAATATAAATACAGTTCATATTAATAATTATAATCCTTGCCTCGGATAATCCTTAATTGGGATTAATTCCAATGTTAACACAGTTGATCCCAACCGTGTGTCAAAACGGCCACAAAATACACAGTCAAATCACTCTACAGTGTGTCCTGTGAAGCGCTTTGAGGCGTCTCGAAGACATGATAAGGCGCTCTGTCAAATGCCAGGAGTAGTATTAACATTTCTATGATAATCCACGCACTCTGTGTGTGAGTGAGTGAGTGAGTGAGTGTTGAGACAGACAAGAATCTGGTGAGCAAACGGTTAAAGCAATAAACCAAAAAGCATCCAATGAGCTTTAATGCGTTCCGAGTGCGAACCACTTTACCACCAGAAAAGGAAAGGCAGACGCTCCTCTCTCTCTCTCTCTCTCTCCCCAGAAAAACATGCGATTGCTATTTAACGTTGCGATCCAGAATCACAGACATTAGGTCTCTGTGTGTGTGTGTGTGTGTGTGTGACACAGCGCTCGGGGCTGTGGTCGGGGGTGGACTCGGATGGTGGCGGTTGGGCTGTTGGTCAGAACAGCGTCTGTGAAATTGGCGTAAAATTGACGCGTCCAACACAGGAGGAGATACACAGAGAGAGAGAGAGAGAGAGGGCACTCCCAGACTCTACACTACTCTACACTACTCTACAGACCAGACTCGACATCACCCACCCACTCACTCACTCACCCACCCACCCGCCTGGTACTCTGGTAAGAGAGACAGAGACAGAGGGGATGGAGGGGCACAGATTGAGGCGCTCAGGTCGTATGTTGTGGTTTATTTCTCTGGTCTCTTCCCCCAGAAACATGTTTCTTTTGATATGATTTGCTCTCTGCATTTGTTTTTTGTTCACCTGCATTTGGGTCCGTGGCTTCTTACTGTGGGAACGTACAGAGAGAGGGAGAGAGTGGCGACGCTTTTGTCCAAAGAGCCAACACATTGGGTTTGGGGGTTTGGGATTTTTCTCTTGTGTTTGTATCACAAAATGGGCTGAAGTGGAGCTCACTGACCACATCAACATAGGCAGATCCACCCACAGAGAGAGGGGGGAGGGAGAAGGAGAGAGGCAGGGAGAGAAAGAGAGATAGACAGAGAGAGACAGGGACACAGACAGACAGAGATAGAGAGAAATGGGGAGACACAGAGAGGGGGAGAGGGAGTTAGAGAGTTCTGAGGCCGAAGTGGTTTTGGTGGGAGCCATAGAAATAGGAATCCTCAGATGGGTTTAGATATTGTTAAAGCACCGCGATGATGATGATGGTGGTGGTGGTGGTGGTGGTGATGATGATGGTGGTGGTGGTGATGGTGGTGGTGATGATGATGGTGGTGATGATGATGATGGTGGTGATGATGGTGGTGATGATGGTGGTGGTGATGATGATGGTGGTGGTGGTGATGATGGTGTTGATGATGATGGTGGTGGTGATGATGGTGATGGTGGTGATGATGGTGGTGGTGATGATGGTGGTGGTGATGATGGTGGTGATGATGGTGGTGGTGGTGGTGATGATGATGGTGGTGATGATGGTGGGATGAGTGGTGGTGGTGATGATGATGGTGGTGATGATGATGATGGTGGTGGTGATGGTGGTGATGATGATGGTGGTGGTGATGATGATGGTGGTGGTGATGATGGTGGTGGTGGTGATGATGGTGGTGATGATGATGGTGGTGATGGTGGTGATGATGATGGTGGTGGTGATGGTGGTGGTGATGATGATGGTGGTGGTGATGGTGGTGGTGATGATGATGGTGGTGGTGATGATGGTGGTGGTGATGATGTTGATGGTGGCAATGATGATGGTGGTGGCGATGATGATGGTGGTGGTGGTGATGATGATGGTGGTGGTGATGATGATGATGATGATGGTGGTGGCGATGATGATGGTGGTGGTGGTGGTGATGATGGTGGTGGTGATGATGGTGGTGGTGATGATGGTGGTGGTGATGGTGGTGATGATGATGGTGGTGGGTGAGGATGTTGATGGTGGCGATGATGATGGTGGTGGCGATGATGATGGTGGTGGTGGTGATGATGGTGGTGGTGGTGGTGGTGAATGATGATGATGATGGTGGTGGTGGTGATGATGGTGGTGATGATGATGGTGGTGATGGGTTTCCAGGCTGACCCCCCAAATGAGCCATCAGTAGAGAGCAGTCAGGGCGCTCTGGTCAGGAGAGGGTCTGTATATTCTCTCTTGAAGTTGTGCTCTGGGTTAGGTGCTGCGCTGTCTGAGAGGCGCTGTGTAATCGCAGGTTGTTGTTGTTGTTGTTGTTGGTGGTGATGGGGAATGATTGGCTGCAGATGTAAATGTGAATAACAATAAAATGCGTCGATCGAATGGTTTGAGCGAACTCTGTGTGTGTGTGACTGTGGTTTATTTCACAGAGTCTCACGGTCTAGGCTTTAATCACTGACCTTGTCACAGGAATGAGATGGATTTCTGTTAGGAAATAATATCTGGGGGGCGATAGTGTATAGTTTGGGACACGATGACATGTGCAAGTGACTACCATCATGGTGGAAAGCGGACTGAATGGATCTGGTCCTTCTTTGCTCGAGCCAATTCTGCTGGTCTTCCCTTGGGTTGGGTTTATCTAACTGGGATACCAAGGAAGTGAGGCTTGAAATTTGCCTCCTCTCTCTGTCTGTCTTCTTGATGTATTTGGGGGGAAGGGGGTGGGGGGAGGAGAGAGTTAAAGCGATGCCGTGGGTGAAATGCGTAGACATGTCAGTGGTTTAATATCAGTGTTTAACGTGCTTGTAAGGAGCTTTCAACTTGCTTTGCTCCGTGTTAACATTTGTGGAGCACAGACGATGATGGTTGTAAGTAAACAGATTACGTACTCCAGCTCGCTCGCTCTGTTTATATATAATGTTGATATACTTCCTCCTCCTCTACATCAAAGCTTCAGAGCTGAGAGCATGAGATCTGTGTCCTAAGATCAGACTGTGTGTGACTGTGTATGTGCCATTGGCACCAGTGAGGGTTCCCTCAGCCCCCTCCAGCCCAGATTTTCCTGGACACACATTAGCCTCTGCAGAAAGTGGCAGGGGTTGAGTTGAGTGTTCCCAACTCCCCACGCCGATGCCAGGCGGGTGGACTGGGCGCTGTGGCCGTGAAATTGAGGAGTTGCCCTAACCTCAGGCCAGACGAGGTCGGACTTCTTATCACCTCATTGTTGGGAGTTGCCAACCTTCGAATGAGGCGTTAAAACCGAGGTCTCGTCTGCCCGTCACCTGAAAGTTCCAACAGCAACATTTTTTCAAAGAGAAGGAAGTTTCTCCTGGTTTCCTGGCCAACATTCTCCCCAAATTAAAACAAATTGGTCACTCACTTCATAGCTGTTTGTGGACGTTGTTGTGTTCAGATTGGCTGCCGTGTTTGCCTACAAAATACTGGGACAAGCGTTTACAGTAAATGCCGTGAAGCATTTTGAGATGCTTCAACTTGACCAGGTGCTACATCAAATGCAAGGATTATTATACATTATAAATACCAATATATTATCTGTAGTCTATCATGTTACAGCTTTTTTATGTTTTGAAGAACGACGACACCAACTTGCCCTTATACAGCGCCCTCCACGTAGGATAGCGTCTCAGAGCGCTTGGGGGTGAAAAACGAGTCGTTTCCTTTGGATAATTATCACATTACAAAGTATCACATTTTTACAGTTTGTCGACAGTGGAAGAAATGTTTGATCTGTTCTGATAATGATGTGTGTTTTAATGCACTGATAACTTCACGCCAGGACCTTACAAGAAGCAGGATTGGCCAGTGGCAGCCATTGCCTGCTGAAGCCCGTTCCTCCTGTCTGATCACTGATCACCATCTTCACTGCCTGGACTCAGATGAGTCAACTCAGCACTAGAGCAGGGATTGAGTTTCCTGGTGTGTTTGGCTCAGCTGCACAGGATAGTGTGTGTCCTCGCTACAACATTGTGCTGCCAACTTTCCTCGCATTTGCATTCGATACAGCGCCTTATCACGTCTTCGAGACGTCTCAAAGCGCTTCACAGTATATACCGTAAAGCCAATTGACTATATTTTGTGGGCGAAACGCGGCAGCCAATTGCGCACAGCAGCGTCCCCACAAACAGCCGTGGATTGAGTGACCAAATTATTATTCTTTTTTGAGGGCAACTGGTGATCAATGGAAATGGAGGGTGAAGGGGGAATGGGAGAGAGGAGAAAGCAGGAAGGAATGTGTGGCAATGGAAAAGTGTGAATTCATGCATTGTTTGTAGCTGCACCACATCAGGGGCTTCGCATTTCTTCGCATTCACGTGGACCTTCCTGTTTACTTGCTCTTTTCCAGATTTCTTTTTCTCTGAAGAAAGGAGCGTGAGAGAAGATCTGTGACCATGGAAGATTGGGACGTTCCCCAATTCAAGAAGGAAGTGGAGAGTCTGAAATATCAGCTGGCCTTCAAGCGAGAGATGTCTTCCAAAACAGTCCCTGAGTAAGCTAACACTGAGATTGACGTGGAGTCTAGTAGCTTAGTGGTTAGAGCACTCGCCTCGCAAGCGAGAGGACCTGGGTTCGATTCCCGGTTTCCTTACTCCACACGCCTCTGTTTACCGAGCAGTAAGTAGGAACCCACTTGTTAGTTAATTGATGGATCACTTTCCGGGGCGTAAGAATCCCTTCAAAATTAAAAAATAGTAATAATTTGGTTGCTCAATGCACGACTGTTTGTGGGACGCTGCTGTGTGCAATTGGCTGCCGTGTTTCACCCACAAAATATACAGTCAATTCACTTTACAGTATATTCTGTGAAGCGCTCGAAGACGTGATAAGGCGCTGCATCAAATAATAATAATAATCCTTGCATTTGGAAATGTACCAAGATTGCTGGATACAAGGGATTCATCAGTTACGGAGATCCTCACCCCCTCCCACAAGTCCAGGAGGGGAAGAGGGGGCGGGGGGTGGAAACACAGAGGGTCGCAGCTGTACACTCCTTACCACCCCCAACCACATGTAACACCTCAACTGCTCTCTCCACAATGCGTCCGCTGCTTAAATCAATCAGCACATGAATATTTTACATAGAGAAAGTTAACGGGTTAGCTCTGGGATTAGTTATTCCACCACCATCGATGAGGGAAGAGAAAGCACTTATCGAGCGCTGAGACATTTAGATCACATTGTTTTAACGCGATCAGTGAGGTCATCGATAACCGAGCGAGTGAATGGGGGAAAATGTGCAGCAAAGTCACCAGCCAGGAATGTTGTAATGGATGACTAACTGGTGAGTATTTAGCTGTTGCAACACATTAAAAGTGAGTGGCTGCCAGGTAGCTCGGGGGCACAGAGCATGTACAAGTAGGGACGTCTCCCTGTAATTCCTCATGTGGCATTCGCCGGGCAAAGTGTTCGTCAGGGAGGCATAGAGCAGTGAATTTCCTATGGAAGGAAATATCACTTCAGCGCATTCTCCCCTGAATCGTCCCTTCTTTTCCCAGGCAATGGCATCCATTACTAGGGAGCACAGCTTTCAAATCCGAACTTCAGGTGTCAGCCTGGCTCGGGTGGTAACGCTCTCGTCTCGGAGACTGAAGGCTGTGGGATCAAGTCCTACGTCGGGCCTGAACTTGCATGGTCTAAGTCGTTCCCTCCAATACAGTGCTGGGGGTGCCCTGCATTGTCAGAGGTACCACCTTCAGATGAGACTTAGGTCCTGGCTGCCTGTTCACGATGCTATTCAAAAAGAGAAGGAGTTTCCCTGGTTTCCTACCCCAGGAACAACTGGTCATTCGCTTCATGGCTGGAATGTGGGACATCGTTGGGTGCAAATTGGCTGCGATTGCCTTTCAAACCAGACACTTTTACAGTAAATCCTGTGAAGCCTTTTGAGATGCTCCCCCCCCCCTCGCGGCTATGAAAAGGTGCTAGATCAAATGCAAGGATTATTATTCTATGAAATCAACGTATTTGTAAGCCAAAAGATGCCTGGGAGAGGGAATGAGTTGATCAGTCAATGTAGGGCTTTGTTTTTTATGAACAGGTGTCTGGACACTCACACAGTCTCTCTTTCTCTCCCTCGCTGCCTCAAGCTTCGTGAAGTGGATAGAAGAGGGAATGGCTGGCGATCCATTCCTAAACCCAGAGTTAATGAAGAACAACCCTTGGGTAGAAAAGGGAAAGTGCGCTATACTTTGACATTTCCAAACTGCTCTGTATGTAAAAGCAATTACAATTTGTAAAAGTCTCCACAATCGCGGAGAGTGGGGAAATTTTGGTCAACGCAGTCTTTTAAGCTCTTAAAAAAAAGTACACATTTACCTTTTTTTTGTACATTTTATGGTAACGAGTCAAGGGAAAAAAAATCTATATAATTGTACGGGTGATTAAACCAACCTCTTTGTACAACTCGAAAGGAGCGCTGTAACAGGAAACTGACAAATAAAGCAATAAGGAGGAACGGGTTATAACTCGAGTGTCTGACCCGCCTGGAATTTCCTGACGTGCCGGAGGGGGGAGGAGAAAAAAAAATTACAAAAAAAAATCCGTAAATGACGTGCTGATCTGGTGGCTCAGCGAGGCTGGTCTGTTTCCCAGTCAAGTTGGGCCCCCACACCCCACCCAATTGAAGATGGGATCTCAAAGGCCTAGGCTGTTGGCAGCCATGTGACAAATCTCCCCATCATATTGGGAACGCAATGACAATTCCCTCCCCCCCGCCCCCACACCCCCTCATTTTTTTTGTTTAGAGCAAAGAACGACCGTGACCGTTATCTGACGTCGGTTCAGCGGGCGCAAAGCCAAAGTAGACAGGTGGCTGTCTCACTGGGCGCAGGGGTCAATGGTTGAGCTGGTGCTGTGACCCTCACATCTTTGTGCCTGAGCTCGGAGACTTGGCGGCTTCAACCTCTCGGAGGCTCTCGGCCATTGTCAGCACCACCCAGTGAGATGGACCTTCTCCCCTTTCTGGCCAGTCAAGAGGGTCAAAAAGCGAGCTCCAATGGTGACCACTCTCTCCTGTGTAAGAATATTTTAACTCCTTTGTGCTCATTAAAGGGTTGGTTGTGTGTGTCTTCACCCCCACCGTTCCCTCCCCTTCCCATCCCCAATGGTCCCAACACAAACTCAGAGCAGGTCCTTGATACAAACATTGTGTCTGACAGCGTTGGAAACGCCTTCGTTGAAACGGAACCAAACGTCACTCTTTCCCACCGCTTTTCCGATCAACTTCTCAGCCGGTTCCTTCTCGGGCTCTGCAGCTCTGGCCACTGTGAGTGGGGGGTAGGGTTAGGGGGTGAAGAGTGGGAGAGGTTCATTACGAAGCCTATAATGGTGTAATTGTACATCACTGTTTATAAACTGCAGGACTCTCAAATTTGCTTTTGTAGATTTGAGTTCAGCCCATTTCACCTTCAACCTCCCTGGACACCCATCTCCCCCCTCTTCCCCCCTCCATTACAGCATCAAGTCAACCCTCAGTAATGGTTTTCAGTGGGTTGACATGCTTATTATCATTAATAATTATTTATATTCTCAATAACACCCCCAGACACAAACAAATGCCTTGAGCCATAGAAACACCTCCTATTTGGGAAATTGGACAGGTTGGGGGGGGGGGGGGTGGTCAGTAATGTACGAGGAACAAACTCCGAGCCGACACTGAGAGGACGTCAGCCGCCTCCACCAATGCGTAACAGCAGCGAGGAGAGGAGAGGGCACGACTGATCCCAACCGAACAAGCCTGCATTAGGAGATGGCCTATCTAAACCGCAATCCCTCTGAAAAGGAGGTCAGTGCACAGAGGTTTGCCGACAGGGACAGCAAAAGCAGATTGTATATTGCTATGGAAACCACAAGATAGCAAAGGAGAAACACACAGCAAAGCACAATTACCTACTCACACCGGGCGGGCAATGTGACCCTCAGCCCATCACAGGACCAGTGGCCAATGGTGGACTGAGACACCTAGATACCAACCCCAAAACACACACACCCCTCACCCCCCTTACCCCACACACCCCTCACCCAACCCCCCCACACACATACCCCTCACCCAAACCCCCCCCCCCACACACACACACACCCCTCACCCAACCACCCCTACACACCCCTCACCCCACCACACACACACTCACAATCCCTGGGCAAGAGGTGACAATCTGGTTGATGTGGGAGGTGCACATTTCGAATCATCTTGAAAAGCAAAAAGCAAATAATTTTCATTTCAAATCGGGTTTTTAAAGCAACAAAGAAACTGACATTTCAGCTGCACCCGACTGAGCCCGTCCCAATCCACACAAGTGATTGCTGTCAAGTGTAGTGACTGATTTTTTGTGGTTGTTTGTTTGTTTGTTGGCAAATCAGGCTTCCTCCCCCAGAGGCTCGGTGTGTTCTACAAATGGAATGACCAGCCAGGCATTCTCTAGCCTTGAATGCTTGAATTCACATTTTCAAAACTAAGGTGAACAGATATTTGTTAGGTCAGGGTATCAAGGGATATGGGGCAAAGGCAGGTAATTGGAGTTAAGATACAGCGTATCCCCTCCACACCGCCCATCACCTTCCTACGGGGAGAATGAAATGACCCGTTGACCGGGAAACGAGAGCGTGAGGTCATCCCCTGTGAATACCTGTCATCGACGACACAATTTTCCTTTCTTTCGTGTTCACTCTCTGCCCAAAGAAATCCAGTTCCGGCTGGACACGGAAATAAAAAGACAAACAAAAACAAAGTTAAACCAAAGAAAGCGAGAATCTGGCCCAACTGATGGTCAAACCAGAGACAGAGAGAGAGACCGAGTCAACGCAAGAGTCCGAAGCAAAAACACCTGCCCAAGTTCCAGTGAAAAGTTTATAATCTTAGGGTTAGGGTTAGAGTTTGACATAAGGTCCCCACTGATATGCCTTTTGAGAGGTTTACTGTATCTCTTGGACTAAGACCCGACCTGCAGCACGTTTCAGGGTCGATGACTGATTGGTAGAAGCAGAGCCTGATGAGCAGCAGAATACAAAGGTCTTGTAGCTAAGCTGAGCTGGTGATAAGGCGATTACACTGGAAGGAATAAATCAAATCAGTGGATTAAGAGTCTCAGTTTATATGATACAAACTCTGGACTTGCCCACAGTCAATTCACCTCCAGCTGCTGCTGTCTCGTAGAAACACAGGAGATAAGGTACAGATGCTGGGCTGTTTGACCCTCCGAGCCCACTCTGTACTACAACGTCCATCAATCTACCAATCAGAGGTGTTTGCCGGGCTACACATTTACCGCAAAGAATCACTAAATGACGCACCAGATACAGCTGCCGTCCCTGTAAACACCAGATAATTACAGCAAAAGAACAATCCGACAAGTCCCTACTGTGTGGGACACTCCCACAGCACTTGTGAGGGCAACATGAGGAATGTATCAAAGAAGAACTCTTATGACTTATAATAAATATCCTTGAGTTATCAGAAAAGATCAGAGCCAGGGTGCACTGACGAGCATAAACCATAGGAAAAAGGCCCTTCAATTCATCCGGAACGTGTGCAAATGTTTTCCACGTTTCGCCCACAAAATTCTACGAGATGTCTCGATGACATGATAAGGAGCTGTATCAAACTCAAGGGTTATTATTATTATTATCGACCCGGCTCCACCACACGGCACTTTGTGCAGTGACTGTGTGTTTTGTGGGCGGGCGTGGCTGATTATTCTGGGAGTTATTGAGAGATCGTTACCTTAACCTCCACAATCACACTCTGCAGCACCGTCTCCAGCCGCTGCGCATGGTTTTTCCGGCTGGGCTTCGAGGAGTGTTTCTTGCCATCGCCGGGTTGCCCCTTGACCTCCACGTCGTCCTAATACAAGGCACGAGACGGAAAACGTTACTGAGTACAAATAAACCGAGAGGTGCATAGGAGAGCCTCGCGATCTCCTCCCCGCAGGTCGGTTTATGTGTGTGTCTGTCTGTCTATCTGTGTGTGTGTGTGTGTGCGCGCGTGTATGTGTGTGTCTGTGTGCGCGCGTCTGTGTGTGTATGTGTTTAGCTTCTGTGTCTCAGTGACATTGGGTGACGTTTAACCATTACCTTCTTGTTGACGTTGCGAGTGAGCAGCAGAGCCTCCGATCGTCTCATCTTCTCCAGCTCGATCTCGCGGGAGATCAGCTGCTTGGCCTGGTAGGTCATCGGTCTGCGGGTGGGGAGGTCGGGGAAGCGGGAGATCTCCTCCACGTTGCTGGGAAAACCAAACACGACAGGAGCCGGTCAACGAGGAATCCGAGGGAACGACCAAGCCAGTAGTGAACCCAGCACCTAACCCACCCACACCCCTCCCCCCCTCCTGCTAACGTTGCTGGCAGTGGTCTGATTAGAACATAGGAATTTGCAAAAGAATCCTAGAATAGAATCATAGAATATTACAGCACAGAAGGAGGCCATTCAGCCGCTCTTTGGAAGAGCTACCCAATCAGTCCCACTCCCCTGTTCTTTCCCCATAGCCTTGCAAGTTTTTCCTATCCAATTCCGACCAAGATCCAAGGTCCATCCAGTTGGCCTCCCACCATCCTGGCAGTTGCTCGACATGTGTCCCGAGAAATTATTTTCTAACAGAAATCTCTCATTTGTTCTGGAAAGAATCAACACTTTCTCCCTGTGCAGAGTGACACTTACTTACAGCCGCTGAGATCAGGTACTTCCCACGAGAGAGAGAGATCCGTTTTTTGTGCGCCTTCCAGACCGCAGACGTGTTGCTGTTCACCTCCCGGCACGAACCAGGAAAGCCCACGTACGTTACACCAACCACACCCCCGCCCCACCCTGCCCTGTGTTGCTCTCAGACCCCATATCTTGTGTGATGTGCAGTGATCCCAGTTTACATCACAAGGCACCAGTGACGTTACCACTTGCAACAGCGATGTCTATTTCAACCCCCTATTGTGTGGCTCTGAAGGGCAAGTTTAATACAGACAATGCTTTTGAAAGACTGTAATAAGAACATAGGAACGGGAGGAGGTCATTCAGCCCCTCGAGCCTGTTCCGCCATTGTATTAGCTCATGACTGATCTGTACCTCAACTCCAATTACTCGCCTTTGCCCCATATCCCTTGATACCCCGACCTGATGAAATCTATCCACCTCAGTCTTGCGAATGTGAATGGATGCAGCATCCACAGCCTTTTGGGGGAGAGAGAGTTCCAGATTTCCACTAACCCTTTGCATGAAAAAAATGTTTTCCTGATTTCACTCCTAAATGGCCTAACTCTAGATTTAAGATGATGTCCTAATATTATGATTATTAGACTGTACTGAAGTAGGGAACAGCTGGCGGAGGACAGCTACCAGGGCAAATGTTTCCAGCCTCAAATGGGGACATTGGATTCATTCAAGAACCAGCTTTTGATGCTGTGACGGGAGAGTATTCAGGAAGGACGGTATCAAATGGCACCAGTGTGTCCCGGCCGACAATCCCTAAAATTAAAATGACACGGGTCATTCCCTTCATGGCTGTTTGTGGGACTGTTTGTGCGTACGTCGGCTGCCTTGTTTGTCCTCGAGGCCTCACTCCCGACACTCAACAGCAATCCTCTGTGAAGCACAGACGCTGTTATCAAACACGAATGCCAGGAATAGAGGCTGCGGCTGTGATGGAATAGAGGCTGTGGACTGGCTCGAGTGGGCAGATACACAACAAGAGTTGTACATAAATGGGGCCGAGCAACCATGCAAGGATTTGGTAGGAACACACAGGAGATATTGAGTCTATATATAGCCCCGAAATGTTCTTATCTAGATTGCATACCAACAGAGACCTGGGGCAGTGCTGTGTCTCTCTGTGCCCTGTGCTGTGACTTGCACTTCCAACAATTTGAGGTGTAAAAACCCAGCTCGCAACTGGTGAGAGAGTTATGAGCTCCACTGTTACTCTTTTCAAAAGACTAGGAAGTATTTCCCACTCCACAATATTCCCCTTGTTCACTTGGGTTGGTTATCAATTATCATTGTAAAGGAGCCACGAGTCAGAAGCCATCGCGGATCTGAGCCTGTGTCAGGGGAACAGGGCCTGACCACAGACCGGGGGGGATCTTCATAGAGACACCCACCCATAGCGACCGAAACGCACGCTCCACACGCCCCCCGCCCCAGAAGGCAAGGTGCATTAGAGACCAAGTACTTGATCCTCGTTGTTTTGAAAGAACGGTAGAAAAGTGGGGTGGAGGAGCTCAGAGCCACAGTGTTTGTGTTAGACACAGTACCCCCCCACCCTCCCTCCCTCCCCCCTCCCAATTGCGTTTGTAGGAAACACACCTTGTTTGGGTAACAACACATCAGCTCCACAGTCACTTGGATACAAAACACAGCCAACGTGCTTTGAATATTTCACTTCAGAAGAATATCTTGACCTCGGGGATGAACTGAAGATATTTTGAGATTGGATTATTATGCGCAAGCTGCCTTCCTGCCAGTTTCAGGAAAAAAAAGTATGTCCCACGATACAGGAAACGATAATACTATTTATTACGTCTCTGACACAGTAAAAGTCTATGAATAACAGACCTGAGGAGGCTGCAGGCATGACTCGCGCTGCAACACATCAGTTACAGACTCCCTGATAAGTACATTTTATATATTAAAAAAAAATCCACACTGTGAATCGCTTTGTTCCCCACAAACAACAGCGACACAGAGCCTAAAAGCTACCCATTGGCACTACTTCATCACAACAACAACAAATTACATTTGTTCAGCGCTTTTCACGTCGGGAGGACGTCCCAAGTCTCTGTAGGATTGTCACTTTATAACCAAAGGGGAGGGGGAGAGGAGGGGGGGGGGGGGTTGGGGGGTTGGCGGTCGAGAGTACAATTTGCAAAATTGGGTCCAAGAATGTTGAATATCCATCTTCAGTCTTCACATTCCAATATACAACCATTTCCATCTGCTTTATACTCCCCCTCCTTTCCTCTCCCCCCCGACCCGAGGTAAGCGATCACCAAGGTACTGCACTCTCCCTCCCCACTCCCCCGAAAACGTCGCAAGCCGTGCAATTTAAGAGCCGGTACCTTCAGCCCACGTTCCAGTCAATAAAAGCAAATCAAAAGAGTCCAGAGCAGTCACAGTTGCACATTCCTTCAAAAAGTCTTTCCGATTTCCCCCGGCAATGGCGGAGGTGATGGGGTGGTGGGGGCAGAAAATGGGGGTCACTCCCCAGTGGCTACGACTTTTAAGCCAACGAGGCATTGGACCTCACGGTTTGTGCGGTTCCCGTCCACGGCTCTCCATTGCGGGCATCTGGTGGGGCTTCGGGGGGTGGGGGGGGTGCAAACGAACTCCAGGTGGGCGTGTTGGGGGGTGGGGGTTGAGGTCATGTCCAACGTGCTGTTCAGATACCAGAACACTCTCCGTCAGTCCACCTGGCTCTCGGTCTCTCCCTGGTCAGACAGCCGTTGTAAATGGGGACGTAATCCAAGGGCAAACGGATTACCTGCTCCATTTCAGGTGGAATGTCTTGGCTGCTCTCTCTGCGTCTGGCCCCCATACCCACCCCCCAACCCCCTAGTTGGGGCTGTGCCGCACCTGGTAATCCAAGTCCTGGGTCAGGTTTCCGGCAGCGTCCTGCCCCCCTGCCCTCTGCAGCATGGCAGGCAGGTAGATGAAGGCGTAGGTGAGCCAGAGGAGGAAGAGGGCTACGGCCAGAGGCAAACCCCAGTCGGTGATCAGGATGGTCTCGCTGCAGCGAGCTTGGAACATGGGCCTCTGCATCTGCATTGCGAGGCAGTGAAGGGCTGACCCCCTGACTACACACCAGCATACCCCTTGTTCATGTCTTCTCCCCACCCCACCACCCCCCACCTCCCAAACCTCACCCTCAACCTTGTGCTCTCTCTCTCTCTCTCTCTCCGCTTCCTCTCCGAGGGGGAAAACCGCGTGTCGTCTGTCCCACTGTCTGTCCTCACGGAAGCTCGGTCACGATCCGGCCACAGAGACGGTGGAAGCCACACAGCTGTTTGCAGGGCTGTACAGGCGAGAGAGGCTGCGTCCAAATCCGCTCGTCTCGCTCAGCTCAGCGAGCCAGTCAGGCAGGAATGTCCCTCTACACGGAGTTTGGTTTATAATACGTGCGCCACGTGGGGTGGGGGGTGGGGGCGTGGGGTTTGCGGGGAGGGTGGAGTTGGGAGGAGGATTTCCTCTGTTATTCTTGGAAAATTGAAGATTGGTGATGTAAAGCAGGTAAACCTGACCCCTCTCTCTCTCTCTGTGAAAAAAGATCAGTAAGCTAAAGGCTGAATGCAGAGGATTTTCAGATCTAAGCAGGAGGGACTTAACCTTTTACACAGTAATTCATCTCCAGGATTGCGCTGTATCATAATCACTAGATGGACATCCAAATATATATATATATATATACACACACACACACATTTCACAAATTACAAAAAAAACACAATAAGTTGTTCACTATCCAGGAAACAGCTATTTCTCTCTCTCTCTCTTCTGGCTCCCCCTCCGCAGGCTGTTACAGTTTTACATCAAATAATTTGACACAGCAACTATAACGTCAGAACGTCTCAAAGTGCTTCACAGGAAATTGCTGTTAAGTGCAGTGACTATTGCATTGAAGGCAGAGGCACGACAATGTCCCACAAACGCTCGTACAGTGAGAGCGTTGAGGCCGTTCAAAGCCCCGCTCACTATAACAAGCAACTTGACTTGGGGTCATTATCCAAACACAGTGATTGAGATCATCACCAATAACAGAACGCACCGACTTTTCACTTTGATGAAAAGCATACTTGTACAATGCTAGATCCGAGGCAGATTATAGAGACAAAGAGGATAAACCTTTATATATGATTAATGCAGGTTAAGCTACTACATGGGAAGTGAGAGCATAGAGTACCTGTCACGTCCCTTATTTCATCCACTGTCCATAGGAACAGGAGGAGGCTATTCAGCCCCTCAAGCCTGTTCTGCCATTCTATCAGATCATGGCTGATCTGTACCTTAACTCCAAATACCTCTCTTTGCCCCAAATCTCTCATTACCCTGAAATATCTCTCCACCTCAGTCTTGAAAATGTTGATGGATCCGACCATAATCCACAGCCTTTTGAGAGAGGGAGAGAGAGAGACAAAGGGAGAGAGTTCCAGATTCCCACTACCCTTTGCGTCTGCACATCAAACAACAAACCACACTGTGTCTCAAACACCTGGTATATACTCACGATTAGTACCAGTACATCCAGTCAAAGCACAGCCTCGAACTTTACAGCCTCTCCTCCTTTCCTCTCCCCCCCCCATGTATTGTGACAACAGGGTCTGACTACAAACAGAGATGTTTCTGGATCAGTTCTCTCCGTCATTGCTGTGGGTGCTATAATAATAATAATAATAATAATCATCCTTGCATTAGATATAGCGCCGTATCACATCTCAAAGCGCTTCACAGAATATATTGTAAAAAGTGTAGTGACTGTGTGTTACGTGGGGCCACGTAACACGGCAGCCAATTGCACATATTAGAGTTACGGGACCTGAGCCGCTGCTGAGGCTCTCACAGTCGTTACTGACGTCGCTGAAAGCAGGAAACACTTTGTCTCAATACCAGAACGACAGAGTCAGCTACTGGCAGCCACAGCAGCAAACAACAACAGCAACAGCAGCAGCAACAACAACAACAACGGCAAAAGCAACAACGACGACAACAACACACCTGTGGATACGGCGCACACGAGAAACGGAGTTTCTGAGAAACTGACTCAACTTTTTCGCTTCCAGTTAATGATGTTACTCGGCACAGCCTCGATGAGCCAAACTGCCTCGTGTTCCAGGTGGTGAATTTCTGGGATTGACTCACAACACCACTCCCTGCTGCACTGGACACAAGCAGATTGGCCGCAGACTCTCACCAAGAAATAGCCACCACCCGACACTCACCAACACAACTCCCCGCGAACCAGAACTGCCCGTCAACAACCCCAAACTCACCCACTCTGCAATTCTGTCACTCGGGCACTGACACAACTTACACATGTTCACTAATAGCAATAAATTAAAAATAAATAAACAAATGAATAATCCTTGCATTGCACTATCGTGCCTTTGGCCTCGGGAGGTCGCCTCAAAGCGCTTCACAGGACGTCTTGTGAAGTGCAGTGACGGAAAGCATTTTGCGGGCGGGAAAGCACAAAAAGCAGCAAATTTACAAACCGCACAGAGGAGAGATCTCAAACCTCACTCCCAAAACACCGGCAATGACAGGCACACGACTCATTCCACCTGAGCGACAAGTCTAACTATCCAACCACATCCCCCCCCCCCACACTGATACATCATTCAGAAGATATTTGACGCCGACCTCAATTTCAGGGTGTATGAAAACCCCTGTTCCCATAAACCGCCTTGTCTTCAGGTACACCAATTACCCAAGTGTGGTACAGGAGGTTCCCAACAGATGTGGAGACATGTAGTCGGGCGGGGGGTGGGGGGGGGTTACTCACGGATCGAGTACATAGATGTACTGCCCATCCACTGTGCGCTCCTGATGGTAGGTGAGGTTATAAGACAACATGGTCCCTATGAGGTCTGATAGCTGCTGCTTCTCTCTGCTGCTGTACAGCTGAGTGTTCACCTAAAAACAAATTATATTAATAATTACAATAATCCTGGCATTTGATTTAGCGCCATTTTCGTGGGCGAAACGCAGCAGCCAATGGCGCACAGCAACGTCCCCACAAACAGCCATGGATTTGAGTGACCAGATTATTATTGTTATAAACTTATATTTTTGTATGTGTGTATATATATGTGTATATGTATGTATGTACACGTGTATGTGTGTGTATGTACATGTATGTACACGTATATGTGTGTGCACGTGTATGTGTGTGTGTATATATCTATATATATGTATGTGTGCTTGTGTGTATGTGTATGTGGGGGGGGTGGGGTGGTGGCTTGCCATTGTAAATGCAGGCAATGCCTAGAGCAATGGCTAAGGTTGGGGTGTGGGCAGTGAGAGAGGATGATTACAGTAAAAGGGTTGGTTAAAGCTGAAGGTTTAAAACGCCACAGAAATGCCGGGAAGCTCTGCAAACAGCAGCTGTGGCTACTGCATTAATGGGATCTGTATCGCTCGCTTGGGGCAATTATGAATGTTCTCTAATTATTAATTCATATGATTTAAGGGCGAGGAAGATAAGGCAGGAAACACTCCAGACCAATTCTGATCCAAGGCTGTTAATGATACTCTGGGATACAGCAATAACAATATCGTAATAATATCATAATAATCACTGCGTATATATTTATCATTATGTCGGACGTCTCAGTCTTTCCATGATTTTTAGTGTGAAATGGAATGACTGTGTATGTGATACAGAGAGACCAAGGATCTGTCATCACTATTGTGTGTGTTTTATTACTTGCACAATTTGCACACATGACAATCAAATTAGGTCGAGTTAAACGTTGGGTTAATTGCTCAGAACCTCACAATAATACATGTGTGAACAGGCAGGCCAATGAAAGTGTGCGAGAGAGTGCAGAAGCGAGCGAGAGCGAACAAGAGAGACAGAAAAAGAGAGAGAGAGAGAGAGAACCAGAGAGAGTGAACTCCTGAGATAATAAAGGATTGGATTCCTCCCTCTCGGTCAAACAATCAGCCAACTCTCACTGACAAAGTTCAGCACAAAACAACAACCATTTGGACAGAGGACACATTGGGCTTCTCTGTGACACTCAGAGAAAGATGTATAAAAATATAACAGTGATATTTAAAAGGAAATAAAATTAAGTTCCCTTCTTAGCCCACTTATTATTATAATATATTTGATATAGCGCTATATTTAATTATTTAATTGCAGATAGATTTCACTGATACCCTCAGCCCCCTGCCCACTGTACTTTAGTTTGCCAGGATCACAGCAACGGCTGAGACTAATGAACTGTACCAATCCCTCAGAGACAGACCCCACAGGGAATCACTGTTTGCTCTAAACCTTTCTTTATCAGCAGAGAAAGAATTAGACCAGTTTCCACGGAAGTGGATCATGGACTTAGTAACTGAAGAATCCTCATCCTGTCCTCAACACTCGCTTGTGGGACACACGCACACGCCTGTTTTCTAGGTGTAAGTAGGAACCCGGTTGTTAGTCGATCGGCGGATCGCTTTTCCGGGGTTAATGATCCCTTCAAAAAAATAATAATAATTTGGTCACTCAATCCATGACTGTTTGTGGGGACGCTGCTGTGAGCAATTGGCTGCTGTGTTTCACCCACAGAATACACAGTCAATTCACTTTAGAGTATATTCTGTGAAGCGCTTTGAGACATCTCGAAGACGTGAAAAGGCGCTGTATCAAATGCAAGGATTATTATTATTATTGTTATTATTATGATTATTATTGTTGTTATTATTGTTATGATTATTATTGTTATGATGGTTATTATTGTTATTACACTGCAGTTTGCTCGGCAGCACCGGACACTCACTCACCGGCCGCAGCTTGGGCGAGATGATGTCCAGCAGCAGGCACAGGGTCTCCAGCACCAGGGGCTCCATACTAACCCGACTGCGGATCCCAGGGCTGATCTCTCCCAGAAGGCACATCAGCAGGCTCTGCACGTGAGCCAGCTTAGTCTGCGCCTGTTCATAAATAACAATAATACAGTGAACGGCTGTTGATGCTGTTCAGTTGCCTGGGGAAAAAATACAACAGCTCGCATTTACACAGCACAGGGAGGGAGGGTAACCGGACACAGATACCTACGTCGGAGTGGCTGTTTGGGTAGGAAATCCGGGGGACGTTGATGGCAGCAAAGAGCAGGTGAAAGGCCACGGGGAGGAAGGGAAGATAGCGCATCAGCTGGAAGTTCTGTCCGTGCCGAATGGTCCTGTTGAGGTTATCAGTGAACTGCAGCCACTCCAGCCCCAGGCACACACTGCTCAAGCCGGGATCTTTGAACTTCATGTTAAGGAAGTTGTCATACAAGCCCTGGAGAGAGGGGGAGAGAGGGGGAGAGAGAGAGAGAAAACTAAAACAGAGAGAAAAAACATTTTATTGGGGAGGGATGGGATTGTTGATCAGGACACCAGGAGAGAGAAAACTCCCTTCTCCTTTCAAATAGCGCCACAGAATCTTTTAACATCCACCTAACCAGGCAGACGGGATCTCGGTTTAATTTCTCATCCGAAAAACAGCAACAACAACAACAAAGTTACATTTGTAAAGCGCCTTTCACGTCGAGAGGACATCCCAAGGTGCTGAACGACAAAAACATCAGTGTTCCTCCCACACTGGCCTGACGTTGTCCACAAAGTCCTGTTACCCCCCTGTGCCTGGTGTGTTATTTCTTACCTGCGTCAGCTTCTCATGGTCGCCTGTCGACGTTGTCAGGTGAAGGACGTTGTTGAATCTCTGAGCGACGGCACTGAGCGGGGGCCTCCTCTCCTGCCCGCTCAGACCCTGCTCCTGCCAGCTGTGCTCCTGACCAATCCACTTCCTGAATCATAGGATCACAGAACCTTACAGCGCAGAAAGAGGCCATTCGGCCCGTCGTGTCTGTGATGGCTCTTTGAAACAGGTACCAGCTAGTCCCACTCCCCACCACAGCCCCCCACCCACTCTTACCCCATCCATAGCCCTGCACAAGTACATGTCCAATTCCCCTTCGAAAGTTATTATTGTATCTGCTTATTGCTGAGTCAGGCCGTGTGTTCCAGATCATAACAACTCGTTGGGTAAAAAAAATTCTCCTCGTCTCCCCTCTGGTTCTTTTACCAATTAACTTAAGTTGGTCAAGTTATCTAGGATACGGGGCAAGGACAAAGGACAGGTAATTGGAGTTGCGATACAGATCAACCATGATCTTATAGAATGGTGGAACAGGCTCGAAGGGCTGAATGGGCTCCTCCTGTTCCTATGTCTCTATCTATAGCTGGGATTTGGTCAGTGGCCAGATGGTCGCCCATGGTTTCTCGTTTACCTTTGAGGTTTGGGGAGTTGGAAGATCTCCTGCCAGACAGAGAACAGGCTCTTGTTCTGATCCTTCAGGCCTATCTTCATGGTCTGGACCATCCTCATACTCAGCTCCTTCTGGCCTTGCCCGTGGAGGAACTAAAGACAGACAACACAACAACAACTTGTATTTACACAGTGCCCTCCAACTGACGCTGGGCAGCGTCTCGGAGTGTTTAACGTTGTTGGAGCCTGACGCTGAGCCAGGGGGAAGGGAGGAGGGTCTTCAGTCATGATCTAAAGGAAGGGAACGAGGTGGGGGGGGAGGTGGAGAGATTGGGGGGAGAGTTTCAAAGCTTTAGACGTTACAGACCGCAATGTCAGGGTTAGTGCAAAGCGCAGCTGGACATTAGGTCACTACATCCCACTGTCCTCCACTCCCTCTCGACACTCACAATGGGCTCTGCCTCCAGTAACAGGCAGCAGCATAAACAGCTACACCTTTGAGGAGAGCGGAGCAGAGGGGAGACAGAAGTGGGTTAGAGCACTCAGCTCTGCTGTTACCATTCTTAGCAACTCAGATTGTGCCCGAGTCAGCAATTCATCTGCGCAAACTACTTCTGTATTAATGTGTGTGGCTGTGAGACTCTGTGTGTGTGTGTGTGAGGGACTGTGTGTGTGTGTTTGTCGGACCCCAGGGTTTAATGCACTTCAGTCAGACAGAGTTGTACCTGCAGAGTATTTACACAAGACCGGATATCGTTCTCGGCTTTCTCACACAAAGTCGTGAGGACTCCCATGTCCGCCTTCATCCCCTTTGTGCTGACAATCTGACGGGAAAAGAACACAACGATCGATGTCTGAATGAGACGTAGGGAGCAGCTCCAGAAAAAAAAAAAACACAGGAGAAGCTTCCGTTATTGCGTAGATTTCTCCAAACTGACACAAGGGTTGTTGGTGCCGGCAAAACAGCTGTGAAGCGCGTTGGGACACTTACTTCTTATATTAAATGCAAGGATTATAAATAGCAATGTTATACTATTAATCATAGCATTTTAAATACACAAAACACACAGTCACTACATTTTACAGTGTGTCCTGTTAAGCGCTTTGTGACGTCTCGAAGACATGATCAGGCGTTGGGTCAAATGCAAGGATTATTATGATTATTATCATCATCACCATCACTTTCCACTTACCTCGTGCAGCCTTTGAATGAGTCTGGAAGACATGGTGGGAGGGAAGGTCAGTGTGAATGCTTGCTGCCTCAGGTGTCTCAGTGCGGGTACGTACCTGGTTAACAAAGTCACAGTCAATTGATATTTATCCTCTCCCCCTCCCCACAACCCGGCACAAAATAAACCCGTTTGCCTCAATTGGTGCCCCATCGCCTCCAGCTCAGTAGCTTGATGCAAAAAAAAGGGAGTTTCTCCCTCTCTCCCCCCACCCCCCCAACCCCCACCCCCTCCCAGTGTCCTGGCCAACAAATTCCTGAGATATAATTGATCATTCACTTTGTGGCTGCTGGCGGGACATGGCAGTGAGCAAAGCGGCTGATGTGTTTGACAGCGAAATACACAGCCACTACACTCGACAGCGGTCGGTCGCCTGTGGAGCGCTTGCAAGGCGTCAAGAGGGGCTGATGCTAATGCGGGCATTCGGATCAGGAACAGCGGGCGCTGTACTCACTGGTCGTTACAGATACAGACGATGGGCCTGAGGAGCAGCCCTCCGTCTTTCCTCTTCTTCCTCCCGGCCCCTGGGGCGGCCTCCCCGTCCTTCCCCTCTTTACGGTTGACCAGGGACAGCAGCATGGCGATGGCAGCCTTCGGGTCAGAGCAACGGGTCAGGAACCAGATCACAACTCACACAACAACATGACATTCACAAAGAGAAGGGTCTTGAGACTTGCCCAGGAGCATCAAACCATCACTGTTTGTGGGGACGCTGCTGGGCGCGATTGGCTGTCGTGTTTCGTCCATAAAATACAGTTACTACATTTTACAGTGTATCCCGTGAAGCACTTTGAGACGTCTCGACCACATGATGAGGCGCCGGGTCAAATGCCAGGATTGTTATTATTAATATTATTTTTATTATACGCACAAACGCACTGCGGCAGCTCCAGTTATTCTGGGATCTCGCTGCTCACAGCAATCTAGTTCACGCCGACAAGACAAATGCTCTCGAAATACAAACGCACAGCTTCTTCCTGCTGTTTCCCTCGGAGGGTGTGACTTCTGCTTTGACACATTTTACATTTCATTCTCCCGAGTGCTGAACCACCTAGAGACCATCCCAGCCACGGTTGTGTTATTCCTCGTGCAAACTTTGTCCCAGGCCACTCAGTCAGCCGGGCACTGGACTTGGGAATAGAAGGTTCCAGCTCTGGATTCCCGGCCGGTCTCCTCTGTCCTTCACCCCCTTAGTGGAGGTTGATACGATGAGTGTCATCACCTAAGAATGTCCTCTCTGCGGCTACACTGACTCAGAGCAACAGAAACAGGCAATTCGACTGCCACGTTTCGCCCACAAAATACACGAGTCACCACACCTTACAGTACATCCTGTGAAGCGCTTTGAGACTCTCGATGACGTGATAAGGCGCAGTATCAAATGCCGGTATTATTATTACAGCGCCTTGCGAGACGGGGGGGGAGGGGGGCAACGTCCCGCGGCGTTTAGAGTAAGACTCACAGTTGGGGCTCCGTCGATCTCGTCGATGATCAGGCAGTTTGGTCTCTCATTGTTCCCGAGGACAGATTTCATCTGGGTGGCAGCTTCGATCCTGGTCTTGAAGATTTCTGGGCTGCGGTCATCACTGCGGGACGGGATTCAATAAAGATTCCCTTAGATCCAAACACAACCTCACTCCCCCACGCCCCACCCCACTCCCCTACGCCCCGCCACCCCTCAGGCATTTGCCAAACTACTCCCGTGGTAGTTTGGTAAACCTGCCAGGTAAACCCCGCTGAGAAAAATAGAACTTGACCTTTGAAGTCAGGGTAAAAAAAGGTCAAGAGGCAATCAAACACATGGGGACGCAAAAAAAACATTCCTCTAACCGCCACCAACCCCCACCTCCCCCCTCACAATCCATCAACGCAAAACACGGTAGATCCATCCCATCTATAAATGCAAGTTGTTGCTGTTGTTTTTGTTGTGTCCCTTCCATTCTCTCCCCCTCCCCAAACATCACTGGAAACGGATTGTCCGAGGGAGATGTAAACTGGAGCAGGGGGAACCTTCAGCCCAATCTTTTTGCGGAGAAAATGGTATTTGCTGAAAAGCGACTGGAAATTGCTATATTTGTAGACTTTGAAAGGCGTGGGGTTTGGCCATCAAGTTCCACCAATCTTAACGACACGTTTTATACACCCCACTCTTCTCTCTCTCTCTCCCCCTCCCCAAGCGAGATGTATTGGAGCCCATCCTCACCTGGCGTTCATTTCCACCACATTATAGCCAGCGTGTTTAGCTATGACATGAGCCAGTGTTGTCTTCCCCAGACCTGGAGGCCCACACAGCAGTGCCACCTGCAGGTCAGAAAAACACTCCATTTATTTTTGCCGAAACCCATCACCGTTGCTTAAGAGTCTCCCAAACCAAGCTGAGAATTCCCTGCCTCCCCCGAGTATGGGAGGCACCCTCGTTGTTACACCTGGAAATCCCAGAGATAGACTGTTGGAATGGAATGTGCTCTCTCTCTCCCTCTCTCCCTGGAGGGACGCCCACTGCTTACCTAATTCCGGAGAGTGTTAGGCGCAGGTTGGCAGGAGCCAAGGCTTGGGGGGAGCCCAGAGTGTGTGTTGGGGTAACTGCTGGAGACTAACCAACAAGCTCCCAGTGTGACCATGAATTGTGCTTTCTGGGCAGTTTTGCCTGTCCGGTCAGACATAGAACAGTGGTTTTTAAACCCACATCCTCCCAAAGTGGAAGGAGGGACACCAGATACAGGGATTATTATAATTATCATTATTACAATTATAGGCCTACAAATCTTTGCCTATAAATACGCAGTCACTTCATTTCACAGCAAATCCTGTGACATGATAAGGAGCTGTACCAAAAGCAACAATTGCTATTATTATTCAATGTGCTGAATATGCAACTTATCAACCAAATGCCCCCCTCCTCCCCCTCAAGGTTTCCACAAACAGCCCCCCGCCCCCCTTTCTTCGGCCGCCTTGGGTTACCTTGTGCTTTGGGCGCTTGTGGGAGTCGAGTTCAGAGTCGAGGATCTCCTCTGTGAGCTGGGTCTTGCTCTTCCACTTGCTCTGGGGCTGTGACTCCGCGTCCGAGGCCTTGAAGGGGGGGCGGCTCTCCGAGACGGCTTTTCTCTTCTTCGCCACCTTCTCCCGGCCGAACACCACGGTGTCCCACAGCTTCAGCCACTTCAGCAGGCAGCGGTTTGTGTACTGCACAGAGAAGAGGCACCATCACCACCATCACCAGCAACTTCCCTTTAGCTTAGAGCAGACACGCCATCCTTTAAACAAGTCACTTGGCAGCACCGACATAATCCTGCACAAACGTGCATGAGAGCAGCCCAAGGCTCTCTTGCCCTCTACCCCTACCCACCCCACCAGCATTTCCAATCGCCTCAGTGCCACCCGCGCAGCTGACCACAGCTTCCATTCCAGCAGCAACCCTGGTGTCCTGGCCAATAGACAGAATCGGTCACTCGCTTCTCGGCTGGTCGAGTGTTTGTATCTACTCCGTACCGGATTGCCTGTGTTTATAACTACAAAAAATAACAAAAGACCCCAAACCCCTGCCGTTTGGCTGGTCGAGGGATGTTGCTATGAGCAAACTGGCTGCCCCGTTTATCCACAAAATACAGTCACTGCACTGTACAGTATATCCTGCGAAGCGCTTTGAACATCCTCCCCACGAGGTAAGGCGTTACATCAAACCCAATGATTATTATTATTTTATTATAAAATCTTTCAATTGTACGGCTAGGCCGAACGCTATTTGTCTCCCTGTGAATCCAGCAAATCCTCCTTTTACTGGAGCAGACGGGGTTCAGGTTGGCTGTGTGTTTACTCACGTCATCACTGAGGAGCTGGGTGTAATGTCTGGGGGTGAATCGATCCACCCACAGAGTATGGGAGGCACCCTCGTTGTTCCCATCACCATCATCATCTTCATCTTCCTCCTCCCCCTCACCCTCCCCAAACTCCTCATCAATCTGCCTTTAAAAGGGATGAAAACGTGAACTTGACGTTAGGTAATCTAGAATAATTTAATCATCAATAATAATTCACTCTACAATATATCCTGTGAAGCGCTTTGAGACGTCTCAATGACGTGATAAGGTGCTATATCAAATGCAAGGATTATTATTATTGTTATTAATTCAAGTCTAAGTTACGTTTTCATTCCAAATATCGATTGGAAAGTCGGGCTCCCATCAGGTCAATCGAAGTGTCATGTAAACACAAGAGCCGGTCGTAAATCTAACACGGAGTTTAGGAGGAACTACAACCAAAAGGGGTCTCATCAGCTGCAACCTTCTAGTCACCAGTCTCAAGACTCTCCTCTTCAGCCGCGCGTTCGGTCACCTTCCAAGCCCCACCCTCACTGTCTCCACCCCACCTGATCCTGACCCCCAGCTCAGGTCCAAATCCCTGACAGTCCAGGGCCTTGGGACGTCCTCCCGTCATAAAGGGCGCTGTGTAACTGTGATTTGTTATTGTTGTTCAGTTCAGGTTCCCTGGAATACTTTTGCTCTGATAGACGGAGGCTGGTTGGGATTGAGTTGTCGCTCATGTACCTGTTCAGCATCTCGCTCAGCCTCTGGGATTCCTCCATCACCTGCTGTCGGCGCTTGGCAAAGGAAAAGCACAAACAGAATCAGGTTAACAAGGCGACAGGTAGGGAGCGACGACACCTGGTGCTGAGCAGCAACTCTGGAATCGGATCGTCTCCCAAATCTCAGTGCGACTTTCCCCATCCGTCACCAGAGTGACAAGTTACTGCACTTACCTCCTCGACAACTTGTTCCTTGATGTAGGAGAACGGGACCCCCAGCAAGTGCAGCGGCCTTTGGCCGCTCCAACCCACCGGGTCCGGCACCTGGCAAAAAAACACAAGAGCCATCAGCGCGAGTCCAACTTTACTCCTGGATTAAAAGCCGGCATCGCGTTGCACGTGTTTATATCTACAAAAAATATAATAAAAGACCCCAATCTCCCGCGGTTTGGTCTGAGGGTCGAGCTGCTGATGACGAGGGAGGGCAAGGGTCTGACCTGAGGCCTGGGTCCTGAGGCCTCGTCGTTCAGGACCACGAAGACCCTTGTTCCGTCAGTCGAGGTCACGTTGATGTAATCTTCCAACACAGGGGGTCGTTTCCGCACTCGGCTGGGCTTCCGTGGGGAGGGAGTCACTCTCAGTGGTGCCATGTCACTGATATCCAGGACATCCTGTACGGGCCCCTCTGGAAACCTGGGGCACAATAATAATATAACAATAACTAACTATAATAATAACAATAATAACAACAACAATAATAATATTATTATTATGGGACGTCCTCCTGACGTGAAAGGCGCTTTATAAATGGAATCTTGTTGTTGTTGTTGTTGTAATATAATAAAATAATAACATAATGATAGTATAATAATAATCCTTGCATTTGATACAGCGCCTGATCAGGTCTTCGAGACGTCTCAAAGTGCTTCTCGGAATATACTGTAAAGTGAATTGACTGTATATTTTGTGGGTGAAACACAGCAGCCAATTGCGCACAGCAGCGTCCCACAAACAGATTGAGTGACCAAATTATTTATTTTTTTTGGATGGGATTATTACAGATCAATGCCAATGGGCAGCATTATTACTCTCAGCTCGTGTCTCGTTTTGCCTGGCGACTGTAGATAGCAGTGAGCACAATAGGTATTATTGATGAGTGAGTGGCGTTTAGTAGAGTTGGAAAGAACTTATTATTAATGATCCTTGCATTTGGTTTAGCGCATTTGGATTGAACGACCAAATTATTAATATATATAATATTTTTGGGAGGGTTTATTACCCCCCCCACCACTTCCTGATAGTGATCCACCAATGGACTAACAACCGGGTTCCTACTTACTGCTGGATAAACAGTACTCACTTGTGAAGCGAGTACTCTAACCACTAGGCTACAGGACTCTGATTCTTTCCCCGAGCAGACACAGCAATATCAGACTGTGGTCGTCACTAACCTGGGGTGCCGGCTGGAGGAGAGGTTTCCTGGTGACGCCGGTGGAGTTATGTCATCGTCAGGTGGTGGAGGTTCCCGGGCGGAGCTAACGTGTGACCCAAAGTCCAGCTTCTTCACGGCTTCCAGTTTGGGCCGCTTGTGCTTGGGAGCTGCTGCAATTAAAGAGACGACTGAGAGATGGAAACACCTCCCTATATATCAGCGACTAACGAGCAGCACCACAACCCAGGGTCCCTCAGACCCATTCCCTCCCTCGTCGGTTAGGCTGAGCTCTTCAAACAAGTCATAAAAAAGGGTTCGTTGATTACAACACAACAAATCTCTAGCATCCCTCAGTCCATTCGCCTCATCCCCTCCCTTACCTCATTCAAAGCTTGTCTGAAGACCTTCCTCCTCGACTGCCTTCACCCTCCTACACCCACCCTCCCTGCCCTCCACCCTTCCTGATCCCAACCCCCAGCTTGGATGAAAATGTTTGACTGTCCCTCACCTTGGGACGTCCTCCCGACGTGAAAGGGGCTATACAAATGTAATTTATTACTGTTGTTGTTGTCAACTAAAGCCTCAACGCTGAACCGATCTGCTGGGCAGCATATTGTTTTTGATCAGCCGGGTGTCTGACACAGGCAGAAACTCATCACTGTGCTATAAGGAACATCCAGACCTCAGGTCACATTAACGTACTCAGTTGCTGGTTTTGCTGCTGATCAGAGAGATCTTCCTCCTCGGACTGATGGAGAGCATCGACATCTCGTTTCCTAGTGATGGAGACTTGCTGTGGCTGGCCGTCATTTCTCAGCAGTTCGTCTCCAGCTGCAATCGCTTCTTCAAAGGTGCGTTTGCTGTCTCTAAACCTGGACTGTTTGGCCTCGCGAGCAGGCAGGCGGTCATCTGCAAACACAAGAGAAACATTTCAAACTGCCATCAAAACCACAGAGATACTTCAGAACGCAGCATGCATTATTCTCACCAGCAAAACCCGGGGTAATGATAATAATGTAAAGTGGAGTGACTGTATATTTTGTGGGTGACATGCGGCAGCCAGTTTGCACACAGCAGTTTCACTGTGCACAAAATATACAGTCAACTCAAGTTACAGTATGTTCTGTGAAGCTCTTTTGAGACGTGTTGAAGACGTGATAAGGAACTGTGTTAAATGTGAGGATTATTATTATTATAGCAGCGTCGCGCAAACAGTCGTGGATTGGCACAAGAACAAAAGAAACTTGAACCACGTTTACCACAATCAAGTTCATTAATCTCCGCCAGAACCTCCAGCTCATCAGCAAACTGGTTTTCATAATCATCCTCTATCCCATACAGAGCCTCATAGTCATCGGCCATCGCCCCGAGCCCCGGCCACAGTCACATCCAACTGCAGGAACTCCTCTCTGTCCCTGTGCCTATGTGTCTGTCGGTCGGTCTCTGTGCGTCTCTCTCTGTGTCTGTCTCTCTCTCTGTGGGTGTCTGTGTGTGTGTGTGTGGGGGGGTCTGTGTGTCTCTCTGTGTGTGTGTGTCTCTCTCTCTGTGGGTGTCTGTGTGTGTGTGTCTCTCTCTGTGGGGGTCTGTGTGTGTGTGTGTGTGGGGATCTGTGTCTCTCTCTCTCTGTGGGGGGTCTGTGTGTCTGTGTGTGTGTGTGTGTGAGGGTGTGTGTGTGGGTGTCTGTGTGTGTCTCTCTCTGTGTGTCTCTGTGTGTGTGTGTGAGGGTGTGTGTGTGGGTGTCTGTGTGTGTGTGTGTCTCTCTCTGTGTGTCTCTGTGTGTGTGTGTGAGGGTGTGTGTGTGGGTGTCTGTGTGTGTGTGTGTCTCTCTCTGTGGGGGTCTGTGTGTGTGTGTGAGGGTATGTGTGTGGGTGTCTGTGTGTGTGTGTGTCTCTCTCTGTGTGTCTCTGTGTGTGTGGGTGAGGGTGTGTGTGGGTGTCTGTGTGTGTGTGTGTCTCTCTCTGTGGGTGGTCTGTGTGTCTCTGTGTGTGTGGGTGAGGGTGTGTGTGTGGGTGTCTGTGTGTGTGTGTGTCTCTCTCTGTGGGGGTCTGTGTGTCTCTGTGTGTGTGTGTGAGGGTGTGTGTGTGGGGGTCTGTGTGTGTGTGTGTCTCTCTCTGTGGGGGTCTGTGTGTCTCTGTGTGTGTGTGTGAGGGTGTGTGTGTGGGGGTCTGTGTGTGTTTCTCTTCCTGTCTGAATTTCGCGCGAAACTCTTTGGGGGAATTCCTTCCGGCTGTGGGTGACGTCACCGGAAGGAAGGCCCCGCCCCTCGGGGGAACCCCCCATTGACACAGCGGCTCTGTGATTGGTCAACGGCGGCGTCAGTCACTCACACACACACTGGACACCCGGAACTGTCAGCAGCTGTGGGGGGTCAGTGGGGGTCAGGAGGGGGTCCGCCATCACCCCAACACCGGCCCTGGGGGGGGGTCCGCCATCACCCCAACACCGGCCCTGGGGGGGGGGGCAGGGGCTGTGGGGGGGGGGGGCAGGGGCTGTGGGGGGGGGGGGCAGGGCTGTGGGGGGGGGGCAGGGCTGTGGGGGGGGGCAGGGGCTGTGGGGGGGGGGCAGGGGCTGTGGGGGGGGCAGGGGCTGTGGGGGGGGCAGGGGCTGTGGGGGGGGGGCAGGGACTGTGGGGGGGGGGGCAGGGGCTGTGGGGGGGGGGGGCAGGGGCTGTGGGGGGGGGGCAGGGGGTGTGGGGGGGGGCAGGGACTGTGTGGGGGGGGGGCAGGGGCTGTGGGGGGGGGGGCAGGGGCTGTGGGGGGGGCAGGGGCTGTGGGGGGGGGCAGGGGCTGTGGGGGGGGGCAGGGGCTGTGGGGGGGGCTGTTGTTTACTGGCTTCAGAGCAAGACTGTCCTGAGAGGGTCAGAGAGGGAGAGAGGGGGGGACAGAGACAGAGAGGGACAGAGAGAGAGACAGAGAGAGAGGGACAGACAGAGAGAAAGGGACAGAGAGAGGGGGACAGAGACAGAGAGAGAGACAGAGAGAGAGGGACAGAGAGAGGGGGACAGAGACAGAGAGAGAGACAGAGAGAGAGGGAAGGGTGGGGGGACTTTGTAGAGAGAGGTGTGTAATGTTTCAACGGCTAAAGTAAAAAAAATCCCCAAAGAACACAGGAGGACACGGACAGGTTTATAATCGTGATATTAATAATAATAATAGCAATAATGATAATAATAATCCTCACATGTGACACGATGCCTTATCACACGTCGTTGAGACGCCTCAAAGCGCTTCACGGGATCTACTGTAAAGTGTAGTGACTGTATATTTTGTGGGCGAAAGGTTTAGAATTGCAATGGGGCCATTTCAGCAGAGACAAACCAGTGGGAGGGGTGGGGGTTCATTGTTACCCAGAGGGTAATTGACGACTGAATTGAGTTGCCGGGACGGCTGCTCGAGCCCAGGGCACTAGACTTAGTTTTTTTAAAAAAAACGCTTATTGCTTTGATGAGAGGACGGTAGAGAGATACCTGTCAGAGCTGTGAGATGGCAGTCTTGCAGCTCACTGCCTGGTGCGTATCACACCTCGATGGGGTGACATTGGTGCTCGACACTGAGGTCAGGGGGTTCAATGCTCGCTATCTGTTTTCTAATGTGAAGCAAAGAGAATCGAGACCCGAGAGCTCGGAGTAAATACTGACTTCCCAAAGAGTCAAAAGGTGTAATGACAACTTTTAAACAGCCGGATTAGTGAATTATTTCAACAATAAAGTCTAGTAATTAGCTCCAGGCAAGCTATTTCTCTCTCAGCACTGGGAGGACTTCTGCATTATTTATTTATTGATGTATATATATATATATATAGCTTTGAAATATAATGTTACTTCAGTTCCGCAGTCCAGTCAGGGCCAACAAAGGACGCACGGTTGCGATGCTGCCGGGAGACTGGTTTGAGACGTCTCAAAGATGAGATAAGGCGCAAGCACTCCGGGACGCTATCCCACGTGAAGGGCGCTGTATAAATGCAAGTATTATGATTGTTGTTATTGTTTATTATCACTGTATTACAACTGTGTTGAGAAATTGCTTGGCTTTTCTCCTGACTCCAGCGGTAAGGGCCTCTTGATATCATCCGGATAATCTGCATCGGAACATTATACTGTTGTCTGTGCTTGAATGAAACCGAGCCCCTCTGCTTATGTTTCCAGAGCAGAGTCGTGTAATATTGTTTGGTTACCCCACAGTCCGTGTATCTCGGTCTTAAACACAGGGTTTCTTTCCTGCCTTTCCTTTAGACCCCGAGTCCCAAGTGTCGCAGTGAAATGGAGCCCCCCAGCATCGACAAACTGTCCATCCTGTACCAGAGTGCTGACTTCCTGGTGCTCAACAAGCACTGGGACATCCGCATTGACAGTAAGATGTGGTACGAACAGCTGACTGTCCAGGGTCAACTGAAGCACCAGTTCCCAGAGCTGGCAGACCCCGACACTTACTACGGTTTTAGGTGAGCAAATGGCCTGTGCATTGTGGGTGGGTGAGCTGTAAATGATGTTCATAGAATTATACAGCACTGAAGGAGGCCATTCAGCCCATCGTGTCTGTGAAAAGAGCTTCCAATTCAACCCCACTCCCCCGCACTCTCCCCATAGCCCTGATCAACCCTACACCCCCGCTCTCTCCCCATAGCCCTGATCAACCCCACTCCCCCGCTCTCTCCCCATAGCCCTGATCAACCCCACACCCCCACTCTCTCCCCATAGCCCTGCAAATGTCCTCTCAGTTTTAATGTGCACCATAACAGTTCTGTCAGATCAGATGCTTTGCATCAATGTACTGTATTTAAGAGGAAACGTGATGAGTACATGATGGGAAGAGAATAGAGAGAGGTAGGGAGGTAGAGGTAAGGAGGGGATTAGGAGGCTGAGAAAGCTCGTGTGGACTATGAACAGTGGCACGGACTAGATGGAACTGAATGGCCTGTCTCCACGCTGTAACATTCAATGTGATTCTCCAGCTCTATTGATCTCGATGCTTCTGCTTGTCTTCCTGGGCAGGTTCTGTCACCAGCTGGACTTCTCCACCAGTGGGGCGCTGTGTGTGGCCTTCAGCAAAGCAGCTGCTGCCAAGGCCTATGCGTGCTTCAAGGATCGTCTGGTGACCAAGGCTTACCTGGCTGTGGTAAATCACAATCTCTTTCCCTTCGCCATCTTCTGTACCTTCCCCCACCCCACCCCTTAGTCCAATAGCATAGTGGTTAGAGCACTCACCTCACAAGTGAGAGGACCAGGGTCTGATTCCTGGGCAGGGCAAAACCTTAGGCAAGTTTCCTTACTCCACACACACATACTCTGTTTACGGAGCAGTAAGTAGGAAACTAGTTATTAGTCGATTGGCGGATCGCTTTCCGTGGGTAATAATCCCTCAAAAATGAAAAATTGTTCACTTCAACCCCCGCCTGTTTGTGTGGGACGCTGTTGTGCACAATTGGCTGCCGAGTTTCACCCACAAAATATATACAGTCAATTCACTTTACAGTATATTCTGTGAAGCACTTTGAGACGTCTCGATGATGTGATAAGGCACTATAATGAAATGAAGGGATTATTATGATATTACTATGATTAAACTTCTGAGCCAACAGGTTGCATTGATTGGGGGTACTGCATTCAACAGATAATAGACAATTCCAGGGGCATCGCCCCACATTCTTTCGAAGTTTTACACGACTTCACACAAAAGCGTCTCAAACCCCCTTCAAAGGAAATAATTGTCAATTATTCACCATTGGGGTTGTTCTGCCTGGCCTTGCTTTCTGTTGGTCCAGTGGATGCAGCCCTGCTGTCTAGTGCCTTGTTGGGGCAACCAATGTGGTAGGGAGAGGGAGGGGAATGTTCAAAAGTGACAGACCTTCATTCTAATATTATCTCAAGAATAAATTTGATCGATTTCCGCTAGAAAATAATACCTGGGGGGGGACAGTGTATCGTTTGGGACACGACATGTCAAACGACTGCTGGGGACGGTGGAAGGCGAAACTGGATGGACATTGGTCTTCTTTGGCCGAGCAAATTCTTATGTTGTCATCTCCTCGTTCCCTGCAGGTCCGAGGTCACGTCTCGGTGGATAAAGTCACTATCAACTGCGCGATTGGTAAAAACACCACGGAAGGGTTGACCCACATGATGTGCACGGAAGGAACCCAGGGTAACCAGTCAATAGCCACGGCTACTCACTGCACTTTCCACCACAGAACCTCCTCCACCCTGAACAATCGGGAGTGAGGCAAACCTGCCGTGCTGTGGGGGTGGGTGGAGAGAGAGAAATTAGACAACAGCAGCAACAACTTGCATTTATATAGTGCCCCTCATGCAGGTTAGCGTCCCAGAGGCACTTAAATTCCACCTCCATCCAGATTAACTCTGTTTATATGGGGTTCCGGAGCGTCCAGTCCAGAATTTGGCAAGTCCGTAAAAGCTGCCGAAATTTCCAAGCTGTTTTTCTGTAACGTTATATTTTTTAAGAGCTAAAGAAAAGCGACTTCGGAACTAATTCAACAAGTTGCCCAGTTTTGGACGATGTGAAATCTGGAGTCTCTGTAACTCTAGACACTCTGTACACTTATGGTCTGTAAAGGTGGATGCTGTTTGATGACACTAACTGTGGAGTTACAGACCCTTTTGGATGCCCATTCGGGAGGTAAATGCTCAAACGTTATCTTGTTAGTTAATCACTTGCCTCATCTGGCACGTGATTGGAGAGGATTGACTTGAAATTGACCTGCTGTCAATTTCATCCCTCATTCCCTTCTCCTCGCCCCCTCCCTTGCCTCCTTCAAGGCCCATCTCAAGACCCTCCTCTTTGACTGCATCTTCGGTCACCCCCCCGCCCTCCACCCCTCCTGATCCCAACCCCCAGCACCTTGGGATGTCCTCCCGACATGAAAGGCGCTGTGTAAATGTCATTTGTTGTTGTTGTTGTTGCTACCGATCCTCCTCCAATACCTCGCTCAGGTGAAGAGAGGGAAACGGACACTAAACAGGTTTCCTTTGTACATTTCCTCAAAGGTTGTCAAAATCCCAAACCATCTCAGACTGAGCTGATTGTTCTGCAAAGAGGCTTGTACAGTGGAGACCCAGTCACTAAAGTACTGCTGCAGCCTTTAACAGGTAAGTGACAGTCGCTGTGTCTTCACTTTGTGTCTGAAACGGAAACCTAGTACCCGAAAGGCACCTCAGGACACAGAGAGAGAGAGAGAGAGAGAGAGAGAGTGAAATCCCGACTTTTTACAAACAGCGCCACAGGATCTTTAACGTCCACCTGAACAGGCAGACGGGACCTCGGTTTAATGTCTCCTCCGAAATGTGATGTACCATGTGCTCAGAGCCTAGTGCGGGGAGAGAACACAGGCTGTGGATGTTTACCTGCAGCAGAACCTCTCTCCACCTCTCCCTCCCTCCCCCCCGCCCACTCTGCCCCCCCACCCCAGGGCTCAGTGTGATTGTGATCTCCCTGTGATTTCCTCAGGCCGCACACACCAGCTGAGGGTGCACTGCAGCTCACTGGGACACCCCATAGTGGGCGATTTCACCTACAGCTTCAAGACCGACAGTGAGCCGTACCGGATGATGCTTCACGCCTACTACCTCCAGATCCCCATCGAGGGGCAGCCCATCGAGGTGACCGCCTCAGACCCCTTCACGCCCGCCATCGACAGCAAGTGGGAGCCAAGGCAGAGTGTGAACAGCCTCGCCCTGATTATCGAGGGGCTGAGAGCCAGGTCTTTGAGGGCCGTCACCTCCGGCTCCCCAGCCCCCCCGAGCCAGGGTCCTGCTCAACCGAGTGAAGAGACTGAGGAACAGAGGGAGATGTGCGTGGAGTGGTTAAACGAATGGGCGGTGAGCTAACATCACTGAGCCCGGGTCTAAAGACCCAAGTTCAGTGATCTATTTATTTCCCTCCCCACACCCCACCCCTTCCTCCCTCCCTCCCAGCTCAGAAAGCATTTTGTCTACGTAACTGCGTCATGAGGTGACGCCTGGAGGCCGGAGCCCAGAGACATAACTTTGTGTCGGACCCGGCAGCAGCTTCAGCACATCACAGTGCCCGGCAACTGAGATATCAATGGTCAATGTCCACAGAGCAATTCTCTCTCCTCTCTCTTTTCCTCCCTCCCCTGACCACACGTGTACACACATGTACACTGCGCTCTCTCGCACACACTGACTAAAACACATACACGCTCTGGTGGTCACCATTATTCTTGAATAGGAATGAACGTGGTGGAGGGACAGAGTTTTTAATGGAAACATTGCTTTAAAAACATTCTTAAAAGGCAGGAATGCGATTTCCACCCCCCCCCCCCCCCTGCACACACACACACACGCGCACATCACGGGACAACAACAATTCAACAACTTGCATTTATATAGCAGCCGTCATGGTGGGTAGTGTCCTGGATCCCTGGAAACATCAGCCAGGGGACAGTCTGTGCCAGCCCAGCCCCCAGCATGTACCTTTTTCTCACGGCGAGAATCTGTGAAATGATGAATGATCATCCATTGCTGTGGTGGGTGAGAGTGATCCTTGTGTAGTGGCAGTGAATGTTGTGACTGTGTTGGTTTTCCAATAAATTATTCACTTTTAATTTTCAAGCAGATTCTGTGTATTTTGCGCCGAGCAATATCCCACGGACAGCCACCGAGCGAGTGACCAATTTTATTTGGGGGAATTGTTGGCCCGAATTAGCGCCACGGGATCTTTAACGTCCGCCTGAACAGGAGACGGGACCTCGGTTTAACATGTCATCTGAAGGACAGCACCTCTGACAATGCAGCACACTCCCAGCGCTGGAGAGTCGGCTTAGACTGTGTGATTCCAACATGGGCCTTGAATCCACAGCCTTCTACCCCAGAGGTGAGAGGGCAACCACTGTCCCAGGCTGACATCCTGTTGCTGCTGTTGTCAGTGAGGGAAAACAATTTGCCTTTATGTAAACGCCCTTTATATAAGATAACATCTTGGAGCCCTTTGCCATGAAAGGGTTGGAACGCAATAGGGAGGGGCAAGGCAGAGAGGCAGAGGTTACGGAAATAAATGCTCAGCCACTGATGGTGATGGAGATAAGATAAGAGACACACAAAGCCCCCGGGTTAGCCAAGCGGAGGGGGTGAGCAGACCGTAGTGTGGGGAGAGCGAGGGGGAGACAAGCACAGGCAGTGTGGAGATTCCTTTGAGGATAGACATTTTCACCAATAGATGTTTACTTACTCTTTTGCTACAGAAATGTCACCACACCCAGCTTGTCATAGATAAAGTAGAAGGTAGTGTCATCCTCTCAGAATGTGGCCCATCAGCTACTGGCCACCAGCTTGTGCAGCCGGAAGGATCAGTGACGTCCCTATCGAGAGGGCAGCCGCCGGATCTGTGCAAAGTTTCCTCTCGACTCGAGACAGAGAATTCTAGACATCAAACCCTCTCCCAGTTTATCATGTCCCTGCTCATAAAGGAGAATTATGAAATCATAGAATTATACAGCACAGAAGGAGGCCATTCGGCCCATTGTGTCTGTCTGTGCCGGCTCTTTGAAAAGAGCTATCCAATTCAATTCCACTCCCCCCACTCTCTCCCCATAGCCCTGTCAAGGCATTGGTGAGGGTGCAAAGGAGATTGACCAGGATGGTACCAGGAATGAGGGACTTCAGTGATCAGGAGAGGCGAGAGAAGCCGGGATTATTCTCTTTGGAGCAGAGAAGGTTAAGAGGCGACTTAATAGAAGTTTTCAAAATGATGAGGGGATTCGATAGAGTGAACAAGGAGAAAGTATTGGCGGGTGGGTCGGTAACCCGAGGACACCGATTTAAAATAGTTGTTAAAAGAAACAGAGGGGAGGAGAAATTCTTCACACAGCGAGTTGGTGGGATCTGGAATGCATTGTCTGAAAGAGCAGTGAAAGCCAATTCAATAACAACTTCTAAGAGCGTAGATAATTATTTGGGGAGGACAGGTTTGCAGGGCTATGGGGAGAGAGCGGGGGAGTGGGATTGATTTGGAAGCTCTTTTCAAAGAGCCGTCACAGACATGATGGGCTGAATGGCCTCCTTCTGTGCTGTATAATTCTATGATTCTATGATCTACTTCTCTCTTAAAAGTTGTTATTGAATCGGCTTCCACCAGCCTTTCAGCCAATGCATTCCAGATCCGAACAACTCGCTATGTGAAAACATTTCTCCTCACCGCTCCTCTGTTTCTTTTCACAACTATTTTAAATCATTGTCCTCGGGTTTCCGACCCACCCACCAGTGGAAATAGTTTCTTATTAACCAGTTAATGAGACAGAGTGAGCATCATCTCAGTGACTGAGCCCACTGGGTTCCTAACCTACCCTTCCACCACCTACTCTCTCTCTCTCTCTCAATCCCACTCCATATCTTGCTTTTTAATAATAAAACTAATCCTTATCTTTATTGTCTTCTGAGGTTTATACATTTAAAAAGATTTATTGCATTTGAGATCTTGGAATATAAACAAGAAACCTAGACAGCTATTATCATCATAATAATAATCCTTGCATTTGATACAGCGCCTTATCCGTCTTCGAGATGTCTCAAAGTGCTTCACAGGATATACTGTAAAATTAATTGACTATTTTGTGGGCGATTGCGCACAGCAGTGTCCCGTAAACAGTCGTGGGGTTGAGTGATCAAATTTTTTTTTTTGGCTGGGATTATTACAGATCAATGCCAATTAATACACTCAGTTTGTGTTTGCCTGGTGACTGTAGATAGCAGTGGGCCCAATAGGTATTATTGGCGAGTGAGTGGCGTTTAGTACAGTTGGAAAGAACTTGTGCCTCCAAGTTCAACAACAACGTGGATTTATATAGCGCCCTCCACACTGGACGGTGTCTCAGAGTGCTTCAAAGTAATGGATCCGGCGGGGGTGGGGGGAAGGTGGCCAAAGGTGTGGTCAAAAAGAAAGGTCTTCAGCAGAGACCTGAAAATAGGAAGAGAGGGGACGAGGCGAAGGGGGTGAGGAAGGGAGTTCCAGAGCCTCGGGGCATAGTGGGTGAAGGCACGGCCGCTGAGGGTGGAGCAGAGGACTCGGGGGTCAAGGAGGAGGCCAGACCCGGTGGAATGAAGGCAACGGGTGCTGTTTTGAGGAGAGAGGTCAGAGAAGTTGGGGGGTGCAGAGGAATGGAGGGATTTGAATACAAGTTCCTCAATCAGACTCGCCCTTCTTGTGCTGTTGGGAAGTTGGGGTGGAACGCATTTGTTTTAACAATAGAAAGTAAGAATTTATCCTTTGGTGGTGATTTACTGGGTTGTGCCTGAAATAACACAAACTGGCTTAGCTAGGTGAGAAATCTGTTGATGACACCTGCAATATGTGATTATGTAGAGGTAGTGACCGCTATGATGTGCAGGGCAAACAGAGACAATTCAACTGAACTGCTCGTCTCACGAGTTTTGTGTGTTGCGCAAAATCATATTGTTTTCTCAATCCCAGTTGCTGTCTTGCAGCTGTTTAGTGGCACGTCGCTGGGCGCAAATTGGCTGCCGCGTTCATCTAGGCGAGTGCTCTAACCACTGAGCTACAGGATTCCACATTCCTTCAACATGACTTTACTTCAAGCGACCTTGCGCAATTGATGTATTATAACCAGGTGACACTTGTTGAATAGTGGTCAGCTAAGTTTAACTTAATTAAAATTAATAGGCTTAACTCTCATTAGTTCTCAAAGAGTTTGAATTAAATACCCTGCAGGTGTTTTTGTTACAGTAAATAATAATCCTTGCATTTGGTTTAGCGCCCTGTGGTAATAATAATAATCAGTTGATTCACTTTACTCAATGGAATTCTATGTCTCCAGCATCTCAACTGAGTGAAACAATTTTAATGAAACATCACAATTAGTGTTGCCCACAAAATACAGAGCCATTCCGCCACTTTACAGTATATCGTGTGAAGGCCTCTGACATGTCTCATCGATCACGTGCTATGTCAAATGTGAAGGTTATTATGAGTGCAATTTCTTGCTTTCTTTACAAAACAATGATAGTTGAGAAGGTAAACATATTTGTCTCCACCCTACTACCTGTATTTCAATACCACTCAATCTCATTAACCCTGTTGAGCTGGTTTTGCTACTTGCTGTCTGTTAACCCTTTCACTGGGAGTCATGAAATTTCCCAGAAGCTGAGTAACGCAATACCTTAACATGAATGTGGGGTGTTGGCGCTGGCTTGTCTCCGGTTCAGAAGGTTATGAGTGTGCCCCTCGCTTCATAGGCTGGGCTGCCCCCCACCCCGTGTAGCGCAGTGCTGGTGGAGCGCTGCTGGACATAGTCAGAGGTACCGTCATCCAGATAAGATGTTAAACTACAGTTCCCTCAGCTTTAACAGCTTATCCGCAGCCCCATTTGCCTGTACAGGCGGACGTTAAAGATCTCCTGTGGCGCTATTCGAAAAGAGAAGGAAGTTTTTCTGTCTCCCAGTATCCTGGCCTCACCACCCCACCCAACCCAATAAAGTTGGTTGCTCACGGTTTGTGCGATATTGCATGTTGCATTTCCTATGCAGGAAAAACTTGAGGCTAAAGACACCAAACGTGACCGTAATATTGCAGTGTATTGAGATCAACAGCCACCCTCAAGGTTTTTACACTTGTCCTGTAGCTCAGTGGTCAGAGCACTCACTTTGCAAGCGAGACAGACGGGTTCAATTCCAGGCAGAGGGCCAAACCTTGGGCAAGTTTCCTTACTCCACACAGAGCCTAATAATAATCCCTCCAAAACAAAACAATAATAAATTGTTCATTTTCAATCCACGACTGTTTGTGGGGACGCTGCTGTGCGCAATTGGCTGCCGTGTTCGCCCACAAATATACAGTCAATTCACTTTACAGCATACTCTGTGAAGCGCTTTGAGACGTCGAGAAGACGTGAAAAGTGCTATATCAAATTTCACGATTATTATTATTATTACTACAACAGTGGTCAATGTTTATGTAAAAGTCTATATACAAGAGCGACAACTAACAATTATATAACGCAGAGTTGGGCAGGTCTTAAAGTGGCTTTTGAACGTGGAGAGAGGGAGAAGGACAGAGAGGAGGTGTTCAGCAGGTAAGTCGAGAGGCATGGTGTGAGTGCGGGGAAATCTGGCTGAAAGCTTGCTCAACAATGCTGGGGCAGATCCTGTGTGTGTGTATATAGATTTAAACACAAAGATTAAATATTTTGTCTAAAGGTCATGAGAAACGTCACTTATCATTATAATCCTTCCATTTTGATAATGCGCCTGATCACATTGTTGAGACGTCTCAAAGTGTATTATGGGATTTGACTGTACAGTGGTGTGACTGCATTTTATGAGGCATCACTTAACAATGCACTATCATTACTCCACTTCTTGGCCTGTATGAAACACAGCACCTCCTCCCTGGATCCCATCCCTACCCATCCCCCCCCACCCTCCTTACCTCCCAGCTCCACCTCCTTGCCCCTCTACTCACTGACATTGTTATCCCCTCCCTGTCCTCTGGTACTATTCCCACTTCTTTAAAGACTGCTGTCATCATTCCTATCCTTAAAAACCTCTCCCTGGACTCTTCTCTACTCGCTAACTACCGCCCCATCTCCAACCTCCCCTTCCTCTCCCAGGTCCTGGAACGAGTTGTTGCTTCTCAGCTTCGCTCCTTCCTCTCCCACCACTCACTTCTCGAACCCCTCCAATCGGGTTTCCGTGCCTCCCACAGCACAGAAACAGCGCTGGTCAAAGTGACAAATTACATTCTGTCCATCTGCGACCAGGGCTCCCTCTGCCTCCTCGTCCTCCTTGATCTCTCTGCTGCCTTCGACACCGTCAACCACTCTATCCTCATCCACTGCCTCTCTTCTCACCTCAACCTCCACGGCGCTGCCCTTGATTGGTTCAGATCATACCTCTCACACTACCTGCACTTCATCTCCTCAAACAGCTTCTCCTCTAGCCCCCGGACCATCTTGTGTGGTGTTCCTCAGGGCTCTGTCCTTGGTCCCCTCCTCTTCAACATCTAAATGCTCCCCCTTGGTGACATCATCTGCAGACATGGGGTCAACTTCCACATGTATGCGAATGACACCCAACTCTCTCTCTGCCTCCACCCTCGACTCCAGGACCCACTGCTGTCCTGACAGAATGTCTGTCAGATGTCAAGTCCTGGATGAGAGCGAACTTTCTTCCGTTGAACATCAATAAGACCGAGGATCCTGATTGGCTTCTGTCAGCACCTCCTCACCTCAGGCACTGGCGGTATCACTGTCCATGGTCGCACACTCCACCTTCCTAAGCCAGTCCGGAACCTTGTGGTCTTGTTCAACTTCAACTATCCTTTCTACCCCACATCTCGCCATGACCAGCTCTGCCTTCCCCCACCTCTGCAACATCGCCTGCTCCGACACTGGCTCACATCACAAGCCGCCTTCATTACTTCGAGATTCAACTAAGCAAACTCACTGCTTGTCGTCCTCCCCAATTCCTCCCTCCACAGGCTGCAGATCATCCAGAACTCTGCAGCCTGTGTCCTCTCCCGAACCAGGCTCCGTGACCCTATCACCCCCATCCTCACCCAACTCCACTGGTTTTCTTCAGTTGAACATCAACAAGATCGAGGCTCTCCTGATTGGCTCCCGTCAGCACCTCCTCACTTCAGGCGCTGACAGAATCACCATACTGTCGGGGTCGGGGTCCATGTGAGGACGATCCTGGTCCTCACCTTCAAAGCCATCACATAGAGGATACAGTTCAAGATCCTGGTCCTCACCTTCAAAGCCCTCCATGGTCTTGCTCCCCCGACCTCTGCGACCTCCTAACTCCCTACCATCCTGTACGCCCCCTCCGCTCGGTCTGCTTCACGTCCCTGCCTCGCTCTCCCCACTATTGGCGGGCGGGCCTTCTGCCACTCTGCCCCACCCTCTGGAACTCCATCCCACAGTCCCTCTGCCTCCCGCTCCCTCGCCACCTTCAAGACCTACCTCAACACTCTCCTCTTCGACCGTGCTTTTGATCTCCCTGCTTTCTCCCCTGCCCTCCACTCTCCCCCACCCTGACCCTCAGCTCAGGTCCGAAACTCTGTCTGTCCAGCACCTTGAGACGTCCTCCCGATGTGAAAGGCGCTATACACATGTAATTTTGAGGTTGTTGTTGATTTATCCTGTGTGGTTTGAATTCCTTATTGCTGAACCCCAAGGATGGGGTACAGTTTAACGATGAGGGGATTTCTGACTCGGGACTTTACTTCTGGCTTCCCAACCAAAGCACAGCACCTCCAACAAGGCAGTGATAGCATAGCACCAGCACTGACACAAAGGAATTGATTCGAGAACACTGATCGTAAACATAAGAGAACATCAAACTCTTTAAAACATTCTTCCACTTGGGCTGCGATATTAGGTTTGTTTGGGATCCACCTACAGTGAATGATAATGGTTTTACACTTGCATTGAATGCCAACATTAAGGAACCAAAGTACTAGAAGATATGTATAAAGAAACATGTAAGACGAGATGTCTCACTCCATTCAGTGGCAGTCACCTTTTTTTTAATAAGATATTTCTTCTCCCTCTCTCTCTCTCTCTTTGTTATTTGGTTACCTAACCTCCATCCAGCCTTTCCAGCCTCCTCAGAGATTTGTGGGGTTTTTTGTGACATTCAATACAATACAAACATAGGTTTTGTTCTGAACCCATCTCGTCATGGGCCACATCACTTTCGGCTACTCCTTTTGCCAGAATCTTCCACTCCTTTGCTCTATTCGCTGTGATTTTCCTGATACATTTAATGATCAAACATCAAATGATCAATGACGATCAAATGTAAAGATTAAACAACAACAACTTGGATTTATATAGCGCCCTTCACATGGGGCAGCGTCTCGGAGCACTTAACACTTGGCGGAGCCTGACTCCGAGCTGGGGGGAGTGAGGAGGTGACCGTAAGCACGGCCGAAGAGGGAATCTGAAAGAAGGGAGAGAGGGGGCAAGGGCGGAGTTGTGAAGAGCTGGTTCTGATAACAAGTCTGGTTGTGAAGGCAGTTCGTTCAGTTATAAGTTTCCAGGTTTATTTTCCTCAAATGGGATTTCATCTTTTTGTCAATTCAATATAGTACGGGAGAAACAACCACATTAATTCATATTGTGTTTTAGTCCCCCAACAAAATCTGTCGTTCACTTCAAGACTGGATAGTGCTCTGCGTATGCAACTGGCTGCTGCGTATGCTTACAAACACACAGTCACTACACTTTCAAGAAAAAACTCTTTGAGATGACAAGGCCCTATACCAAATGCACGGATTATTACAGTAAAACTCACATAGACCTAATCTGTATAAATTATATAACCGCCTAAATCATACATCTGTCCAAGTTCCGTTTAAGAGTTTATAACTCTGTAAGTTTGACATAACTTGTACTTTGCATAAGTCTTATTAAATATATGGTCCCAACTGATATGACTGTTCTACTGGTTTACTGTTGTATTTATCTTGTCAAATATTTCTAAAGCTGTTTTATTTATTCATTTACTATTTATCCTTAATATAAAATATAAAATAGTGCTTCTAAAGCACTCGTTTAAGAGCACAGGTTTGTGGTGGTATTTTTTGAAATAACAACAGTTTCGGGTTGATAGGGGTGAGGAGGAAGAGAACCGAATAAAAACTGACATCCTAAGAGAGATCTACGGTCCTTGCATTTGCATTCGATATCGCGCCCTATCACGTCTTCAAGCCGTCTCAAAACGGTTCGCAGAATATATTGTAAAGTGAAGTGACTGTGCGTTTTGTGGATGAAATTGCAGGTCTCTCTCTTTGTGCAATGTTAGCAATCTCATTGTCCAGACACTGAGCTGACGTAGAGTAACCACACCCAGGTGAAGGAAAGTGTACATTATACATTGCTTGATCATTAAACCTCCCATCACAGCTCTGGCTGGAAGGAAGGTAAGTGCACTCACTCGCTCACTCATTCACTCCTTTATTTACTTAATTTGATAGAACTTCTGCTTGTTTCTTTGTTTGATTTCTTTTTTTCTTGCAAAAGGTTGCAAGGAAAAAAACGAAAGGGACACAGAACTGTCACAGTGGGGTGGGCTGAGATTGTATTAAATAGATAAGGGTATTCAGTTTTGGCAGATGTGTGTGTTCTGTGTTCTAAAAACCAGGAGAAATAGGATTTTTTTTAGGGAAAACGTCCGAAAAAGTATAGGGAATAGTTAACATTTGAGAGGAAGTAATTGATTTCAGGTTTACTGAGAGCTGAGACATTTTCAATGTGTTTAAGAGACATTTTCTAGTTTTAAAAATAAGATGTATAAAGTGTTCTATCCTTCAATGAGTTTATAAATTGGCTAACCCTAAAAGGCTGCATGTTTTCTTAAGCTTGAAAGGAGATTATAAGTTATAATAATAATATAATAATAATAATCCTCGCATTTGATATAGCGTTTTCATGTCGGGAGGACGTCCCAAAGCGCTTCACAGAACACACTGTAAAGTGAATTTACTGTATATTTGTGGGCGAACGCGGCAGCCAATTGCGCACAGCAATGTCCCACAAACAGTTGTAGATCGAAAATGACCAATTTATTATTGTTTTTGGTTTTGGAGGGATTATTAACTCTAATTCTCTAACTCATGTTCTCTAACTCATGCATGTAGTATCTATGCTCCATGGGTTAAATAAAAGAACAGGTGCTTTTTGTATTTGGTCAACAAAGCTGTGAACTAGTCCCTGAAAGAGATCATTCCACTAATTCTATTCTCACTAGTTAAGGGTGCCTTGAAACAGCATCTCAGAGAGAAAAAAAGGACATCAAGCCAGACAAAGGCAAAAACATTTTCGCAGGCAACTGAAATCTCAGCTTTGATGTTGAACCGAATGGCTCTTCTTTTAGAACGGATTTTAAAAAAAATTCATCTGAACTTTTGCAGTAGAGGGTTTTGGAAAGTTTGAGTAACTTGTTAGCAAAGGGCAAGTTATGGTCCTCGGGAATTAACGGGAGGCAACATTTTCATGTCGAGAGACATAATTTGTCTCGAGAAACTAGTGCTGCAGAACAATAATAATAATATTAATAAAAATAATCCTTGCATCCGCTATCGCGCCTTATCACATTGTGAGATGTCTCAAAGCACTTCACAGAATATACTGTAAAGTGGATTGACTGCATATTTTGTGGGCAAAACACGGCATCCGATTGCGCACAGCAGTGTCCCACAAACAGTTGTGGATTGAGTGACCAAATTATTATTATTATTTTGGAGCGATTATTACCCCATTAATGCAATGGAATTGGCCTCTAGACCTTCTCATAATATGTCTTTTTTTTGCACTAATCTGTCCTTGTGATTTTTTTTGATTTTTTGGGGGGGAAAGCACAATATCAAAAATCTTAAATGTTCATCTACAAAAATGCTCAACTTTACAGTAAATCCCATGAAGTTGAGACATTCTCCTGACAAGTGAAAAGTCCTGAATCAAATGTAAGGATCAATATTGTTGCTGTCCTCATTATAACGCACGCTAACCTAAAGCAAACCTCCTGTGCGCCGGGGTCTGAGCTGTTTCAAAAACATTTAGGAATTTGTTTGAGTTCCTCTAAATTTCTAAAGTTTCTATTGTGTTGTGCGCTGCCTATAAGTCAATAGATATGATTTGGGGGGCATTTCATGTGAGTTTGGATGACATGAGTCATAGAGGCACCTGTGCCCCCACTGACACTCCTGCAGTGTTTTGAAATCTGACAACAAGCAATTGCATTGGTGAAAGAAAATAAGAACGTAAAAAATGTGATTTTTCTCACCCTCCTGTGTTGCAGTCAAGCCACCTAACCTGTTTGGCCAGATATTCTAGGTCCCTCAAGGTGACTAACAGATATTGCAGAGATTCCGCTGATTTAGAAAGTTTGTCTCTATTGTTCAGGGAGATCAAGGGTGGGAGCGAAATATTCCAGGGTACGTGGTGTACAGGACACTAAACTCGGTGGGAGAGTGAGCTCTGAGGATGATGCAAAAAGATTGCAACGGGATATAGATAGACGAGGGGAGTGGGCGAGTAGGTGGCAGATGGAATTTAATGTGGGGAAGTGTGAAGTTATTCACCAAGGTAGAAAAAATAGAAAAACAGATTATTTTCTAGAGGGGGAGAGATTAGATAGTGTTAGTGTTCAGAGAGGTTTGGGTGTCCTTGTACACCAGTCTCAAAAAGTTAGTTTGCAGGTGCAGCAGCAACTGAGAAGGCGAACGGCACGTTAGCGTTCATTGCAAAAGGTTTAGAGTACAAGAGTAGGGAAATCTTGCTGCAACTGTATAGGGCCTTAGTGAGACCGACCGAGAGTATTGTGTGCAGTTTTGATCTCCTTATTTAAAAAAGGCACATACTTGCCCTCGAGGGGGTGCAGTGTAGATTCACTCGGTTAGTGCCTGGGATGAGGGGACTGACCTCTGAGGATAGGCTGAATAAACTGGGGCTATATTCTCCAGAGTACAGAAGAATTAGGGGAGATCTTATTGAAACATATAAGATTCTTAAAGGGCGGATAAAGTAGACACTGAGGGTCTGTTTCCCCGGTGGGAGAATCTATAACCGGGGGTCACAGTCTGAAAATGAAGGGTCAGCCTTTTAGAACAGAGTTGAGGAAACATTTCTTCACTCAGAGGGCAGTGAATTTATGGAATTCGCTACCCCAGAAGGCTGTAGATGTCAGTCCTTGAACATCTTCAAGGCTGAGACTGATAGCATTTTTAAAAAATAGAGGAATTAGGGGATATGGGGATAGAGTAGGTAATTAGAGTTAGGTCAGAACATCAGCCATGATCTTATCGAATGGCGGGGCACAGGCTCGAGGGGCCGAATGGCCGACTCCTGCTCCTAATTCTTATGTTCTTATGTTCTTAATATCCCAATATGTGGCTTGAACCCGTAAGCTTCTAATTTAGAGGCCAGAGGGCTACCAGCTAAACCAGGCTGACAACAACAACAACAAAATTCATTTGTATAACACCTTTCACATCGGGAGGATGTCCCAAGGCTCTGTACCTATTGGTCTAATTTGCTTTTATTGTTGATGGTTTCTCTCATGTTATAGAGATCTTTATGGAATGGTTCCATCCTATTCTCATATAAGTCACAAATACTTATTAGTTCAAATGGTTCAAAAGCGCGGCCACCAATGGTGGAACGGTGGGCACGAGGGACATGCAGGAGGCCAGAGCCAGTTGAGCCATTTTGTTACAAGGATAACCAATGTTGGAATGGACTTGCCCACAATGGTGCCGCTTGCAATTAAGCTGTGTCTTGGGGGTTAACAAAGATAGAGGTTACTGTGTGTCTGGCCTGTTCTGTTGCAAACTAGGAAGTTTCAGTCCCCGCACTAAAAAACTCGCCATTTTTAGCACTGATGTCACTGATCTTTATGTGCACAACATTTCAACAACAACGGCAACTTGCACTTATATATATATAGCACCCTGCACGCTGGGCGGCGTCTCAGAGCTTAACAATGATGGAGGTTGAGCCAGGAGGAGGGGCAGGTGACTGTAGGCACGGTCGAAAAGTGCAACCTGAAGATGGGGAAGGAGGGGGCGAGGCCAAGGATTTGATGGAGGGAGTTCTAAAATTTTGGGGCATAGCGGCTGAAGGCCCAGCCACCAATGGTGGAGCGGAGGATTCGGGGGACGTGGAGGAGGCCGGACCCAGTAGAGCGGAGGCAGCGGATACTGCTGTGGGGAGAGAGGAGGTTAGAGAGATGGGGGCAAGGAATGGAGGGACTTAAACGCTAGAGTGAGGATCTTGAAGTGGATCCGCTCTGTGACAGGAGCCAGTGGGGTTTGGCCAGGACTGGAATAATCGGGGTGTGGAGTTTGGTACGAGTGAGAATGAGGGCAGCGGAGTTTTGAATGCGCTGGATTTTGTGAACAGTGGAGGAGGGGAGACCGGCGAGAAAGGGGTTAGAGTACCTTCCCACAACATTGTATTCTCTGTTTGTTTAATGAGGGCAGATTTAATGAGGGCAGACAATCAGTTTTGGTATTGCAGAGGAATTGAACCTAATCTACATTGCTGCATGTGGCAATAATCTCATGATTTGAATATTCCAGCATGTTTTGCTTTGAGCCCTGGTATAAATAAGCATTGAGCCCTCAATGTTTTGCATTCAACCCGGACATGATAATTATCAACATCTATCTCTTGTTGTGTCTTTTTTTTGGTCAGCTCGGAGTTTCACATTCACTCGGAAACACATCACCATGTTTAAGGGTATCCAAACCAGACCGAGAATGTCGTATATGTATGCTACTTACACGTGGGACATTTCCCTCTGTTTGGAATGGAATGCGCACCTTGCTTACCTAATTCAGGTTCACCAGCGCCATCTCTATTGATTCCGCCTCAACAGCATTTTCTCGTTGTAAGACTTTCACTTGTATTTTGAAGGTAATAAGGAATTATGTAATGTAAGAAGCGTAATATTTGTAATAATTTGGCAGTTTTCAATCTGAGCTGAGCGTTGTTTGTTTGCAAACTCAAGGCAAGTTTTGTTTTGGGTGATTTTTTTTNAAAAACCCATAAAAATGACCCACAATTTCCCTTCTCTCCAGATGAAGTGTTGAGTCTGACTTGGGATAGACTTACGTTTCTGAGCGATGGGGACAAAGACGGACACTTTGGGGTGGCCTTGTCCTGGGATCTTCATAGTCACCATTGTGTTTGGTAAGCATGGGCCCATGTGTTTGAAAAGTGCTGAACAATAACAGCAGCTGAACATAATAACAGAATCACTATATTCTGGGTACAGTAACAGGGATTTGGCAACACACACGCACATGGAAACCCATGCTCCAAAGAGTATTCAAACCAGACCTAGAGTTCCACATATGCCTGCCTCCTACACTCATAGGTTTCTCTGTGTCTGGATTAAAATTTATCCCTTCCTCCTCAAAGGGACACACCCTTCTTGCCTAATCCCGGAAAGTATTCGGCGCAGGTTAGCTAGAGCCGAGGGTTGCGGACACCGGAGTGCGTGTTGGTCAAGGCTGCAGGGAGGGAAGCCTGTGGCCTCCGTTGACCTGTCTCTGAGGGCTCTGGAGGTGGCTTCACTGAGACATGTCTATTTGCCAGAGTCCCTCACAACAGGAGCCGGAATGCGATAGTGACCACAGAGAGTGAACAACGTCTCGCCAATAAATCATGGCAAATCTTCTAATTACATTTCCCCGTCACATCCCTTAATTTCCCTGGCGTCCCCCAGCAGAACCCCATTATAAGGCAGGGGTTGGGTGTCCATACAAAGCCGAACCAGCCTTCTAGTGAGGCACAAATGCCAGTCAGTGTGGTGCCGACCTCCCCGATCATGTAACTGGTGACTCCAATGGGATTGCGAACCAATGTTTGTGCCTTCAAGAGCAGAAAGGAAGCTGGATGGTAAAGGACGCTGTCTCTTCCACTGTAATCCTCTGAGACATCGCCATGTGTTATGCTGACGGAAAGAAAGTGACGACTTGGTTTAACATTATTGTTCTGGTATTTTATTGCAGGTTCCTTAGTGACGGTTGCTGATACAAAGTTGGTAAGTCATAGCTTGTGTAAGCATTCACTCTATTCATCTTGACGTTTAAACTTATGGTTGGAAAGACATTAAAATATCTTTTTGGTTTTTTTTGGTTTGTCAGGTGGACGGCTTTCTGTCGGGAGGTAAGTTTTGAGCAATTTTTCTTATTAATACTAAATATCGTATTCCAGTTTTCAAAAACAATAGCAACACACTCTTTAACTGATCATCTCTCCTTAATATTTTTCTTTTTCACGTTCAACAGAGCAAGCAATATGTGCAGGAAATAACAGGTATGTATAAGTGAGAGACATTGACATTTCAACGGTGACAATTATATAATGCCCTTCACGTCTCTCTCTCTTTCTTTCTTCTGCTTTGTTTACTTACACAATCCACAGTCACTAAACTTTACAGTGAAGTCCTGCGAATCTCTTTGAGACGTCTTCCTAACATAAATGACATTTTAATTTGTATCAGCGCTGGGAGAAATACGGATCTTAGTTTTAAAAGCCTCTGATTGTTTTTATGTAACTTGTTATACTGTCAATGTAATTATACAAAAATGTCATTTGTTTTCACAGTACCCTACTGGAATCGGAACTAGATTCTGGCAACATCAAAGATTTCTGTAAATTTACAGTTACGAAATATGCGTGTGCTCAGGTACGTTCCTTACAGGTCAGACATGGCAAGCGTTCAAATTGTGAATTATGTCAACCAGTTCGGATTAACGAGAGACAATGCACTAATTTGAAACTTAAGACCTTGGGGACTTTCAAACCTTCAAGTTCCTTCGAGTACTTGGCACGTGTTGGTGAGAGTCCAGGCTTGGGAAACCTTGTCTTTGCCATGGGGTAATAACCGCTGGCATTTAAAGCCGCATTCTTTGCCATTGAAAGCAAGCTTCCTGCTGCTTATCCAACAAGAACCACCCTACTTCAATTTAATTTAATCTCCTTGGAGACGGACAATGTAGTAATGTTATTGAAAAGGGACTTTAAAAAGACTCAGTCGGCTTCTCAAGCATCTGTGTAATTTAAATGGTGAGTAACTGATAATATTTCAACCATTTGATAGTCAACAAATAATTTGTAGCTTGGTAAAGGAATCGAGGGAATTAAGGGCTCAAAGAACCGCCTTCACTCAGAAGGTAATCAGAAGCTGCTTTGTGCTAAGGGTTTACTGAAGCTGAAACCGGAACAACATTTAAAAGGAAATTGGATAAGTATTTGAAGAGGAATAATTTTGTTTTGTTAGCCAGGTGTCTGACACTTGTGGAAACCCACCACCATGTTTCAGAGTCTCCAAACCAAAGTGAGAATTCCATGCATCCCACCTACACATGGAAATCCCAGAGATAGATTGTTGGAATGGAATGCGCTCTCTCCCTGTGCAGCTCATCCTGTTTATTATCTAATTCCAGAAAGTATTAGACACAGGTTGGCAAGAGCCAAGGGTTGGGGAGACCCCAGAATTTGAGGTAACTGCTGGAGTCTAACCAGCTAAACCCCACAGCTTGACATTAACATCACTGTCTGGCAAGCTTTCCAGCAAGGACCACGCTACCTGTTAGGGCTTTGGCTTGCAGGATAACAGGAGCTGAATGGGTGGATTCCCTGAACTCAGTGGCTGAGGACTGCCAGGCCTCATATTGGGCCTTTCCTCATTGATTATTGCTCATTGCTGTTGCAGGATAAATATTCACTGCTGTTTATCCACATCAAGGCAAAGAATGCAATTCTGAATGGCTGAGTATTGTGCACAATTGGTATTTACATAGAGCACAACAGGCTGTTGATTACTGAACTCACTGACCTTGATGCAGTAGAAACGGGAGATCTGTATACCTTTGTGTTTCCTCTCAGCCTCCGCTGCTGGCGAAACTGACCCCCGAGAATCTGACCCTCATCCTCCACTGTTTTGTGGTGACGAGGCCAGTGGGCAGCTCGGAGCAGAATGCCACCATCCTCTTCATTCAGAAGCTCAGCCAACAGGAACTGGAGGACGCGCTGGAAAGACTGAACGGGAAGGTAACATAATAATAATAATTCTTGTGTTTTATCAAGTCGTGGAGATGCCTCAAACCAAAACCTGTTCACAGATGCCCAGACATGTCCAAACTCACCCTAACTGGAAATGAAGGGCAACACTCTCCTCTTTTGAAATAGATTCACCATTTCTTTTAACGTTCATCTGAATGGCAGACGATACCTTGGTTTAATGACAAAACCAAACAGGCGGCAGCTCCGACAATGCAGAGCCCCATCCGTGTCCGCAGTGCTGCACATTTTACAATTGAACGTATGTGTGTGGTGTGTGCATATGTGTGTGTGGTGTATGTGTGGTGTGTATGTGGTGTGTATGTGTTTGGTGTGTGTGTGTGTGTGTGTATATATGTGTGTGGTGTGTGTGTATATGTGCGTGTGGTGTATGTGTGTGTGTGTGTGTGGTGGGTGTGTGTATGTGGTGTGTGTGTATGTGGTGTGTGTGTGTATGTGTTTGGTGTGTGTGTGTGTGTGGTATGTGTGTGTGTGTGTATGTATTGGCTGTACCAGTACAGGCTTTGGAGGAGCCCTGGGCGACACTGCTTATGATTGTGGTCTTTGACCAATTAATGAACACCAGTGACGCTTGCTTATACTGTATATTGATAAACCGGATTGTCTGGGCCAACCCAAAATTGAGAAAAAAGGGTGAGATACAGTAAATGACAATGTAGACATAAGCATAGACAGCTGAGGATATGTTTGAGATCTATGGTCAGCAGAAGAACATGGATCCATCTGCAGGTTGCAAGTCAGGGCTTAAGCTCTGAGGTCAGAGCTGGCGTTGGTGGATCCAGTGATAAGTTTAAGGATTTCAGATCTTCCTGGTCTTGAGGTAAATCGATCTTGATTTTTATTACCTGTTGCAAACATGCCGCAAGGCATCATCACCCCTGTCTGTGGGCATGACTTTCCTGGGATCTGAAACAAACGTACAAAAACACAGGAAAAATGGAAAATTGAGAAAAACTATCTCCTACGAGGCAATTGTTATTTGCAAGGGATGTGTTGTGAAACGGTTTATTTGTTTTCCATTCACTGCATATTTCAAAACTATTTGGCACAGAGAAGAAATACCAAAATTGTTACACCAACTAATTGCATTTGAACAGCACTAATCATCAAAATACAAAGTGGAGTCCTGTAGCTCAGTGGTTAGAGCACTCGCTTTGCCAGTGAGAGACCTGAGTTCAATTCCCGGCAGAGGGCGAAACCTTGGGCAAGTTTCCTTACTCCACACAGAGCCTAATAATAATCCCTCCAAAACCAAAAACAATAATAAATTGGTCATTTTCAATCTACGACTGTTTGTGGGACATTGCTGTGCGCAATTGGCTGCCGCGTTCGCCCACAAATATACAGTCAATTCACTTTACAGTGTGTTCTGTGAAGCGCTTTGGGACGTCCTTCCGACGTGAAAAGCGCTATATCAAATGCAAGGATTATTATTATTATTATTATTATAAAGGACTGCTTGTCATGCTGCTGCTACTGGACTGATTTATTAACCTGAGGAAAGTGAAGTGAAACCTGCCTTGAATTTCCTGCTTCATACAGAACTAGGAAACTTGGCGCTATTAACATCATGAAACAGATGGTTGGCTCTGCAGGAACATTAAAGAATGGCCCGCCAGACAGACAGGCCGAGAGGGGGCGGGCTGGGGTGGGACAAGGAGCTCAGCTTGACGTGCCATGTCAATGATAGATCACTTCCCCCTCCCCTCCCCACTCAACTGAAACCCTCTCCTCAAGTTGCTGTCATCATAGTGTGAAATCACTTCCACACACACTATCCTTCAGGGTCACGTAAAAAGCAAGAGTGGTAGGTGGTTAAATCCACCACTAAGTGGTAATAGATACATCAGTAGCCCGCGGAGGAGTGTTAAGAGTTGCTAAGAGTAGAACGGAATTAAAGTGGTCACATTACGCTCGGAATGCTACGTTACTGTGCGATAAATCACATCTTTCTGTGGACTGTAACTGGACCAGTTAAAGTGCTCTGCGACGCTACCCCATGTGAAGGGCGCTATATAAATACAAGTTGTTGTTGTTCAGTGGGGTTTAGCTTCCTGGCTGAAGGACCATAATGGTTTGCTCTCCACAAACAATTGCTTTGTGATTTGCGCAGATCAATGATACAGCACGGATTCCGCTGGAGGCCAAAGAGGCCTTTCTCACTGCCTTGTGTGAGAGATGGAAATTCGACATAAACTTCAAAAACGTGACGTTTCTGGAGAACTTGTTTCAGTTGTTCAGACCATTCATTGCTGGCATTTCCCAACCCATCCTGGAGTCCTTTCACTCCCAGAACATGTCGTGTGAGAGCTTCCAGGCTGTGTAAGTAACATCTGTCTGCATTGCTAACAATAACCGAAATGTTCAAGAATCTCTTATAATACTTTTATCATCTTGCTTACGTGGCTATTCAGTGAAACTTGCATAAATCTGTACAAATCGTATGATCGCCTAAGTCGTACATCTGCCCAAGTCCCGTTCAAGAGTTTATATTCCATGCAAGTTTGATGCAACTCATACTTTGCATAAGTCATATTAAATGTACGGTCCCAACTGATACGACTTATGTGAGATTCACTGTATAGTATATGTATATCCCAGATCATGTCCAAATACATCAAAAGCCAATACTCTTCAATATAACATCAACACTTGAGAGTTTTAGGTGAATTAATATGATACAAGTGCATTCATTCAGCGCAGTGAATTGTCAAATTGCCATGATAATAACAGTATAATGTTATCAGCAATAACGCCTCTTGTGATAATCTTACACATTGATAGCGACCGTTTTATTACTGGAGTTCCTATGCTCTTATGACGTCAGAAGAATTTCTAGCCTGTAAATCATTCATTCCTCTCACTAATATCTCACTAATATCTCTCCCAAGATGGAAGATTGGGGTCATAGCAACATAGGAACAGGAGGAGGCTATTCAGCCACTCGAGCCAGTTCTGCCATTGTATAAAATCATGACTGATCTGTACCTCAACTCCAATTGCCCTCCCTTGACCCATATCCCTTCATACCCTGACCTAACAAACATATACCTTGGCCTTGGAATTTCATAGCACTTAATAGGGAGATCTTGTTGCCTGAACATCACAGCAGTTTTCAGCTACAGCAAACGTGATAGAAATGGCTTGGTGACCGAGAATCGTAGCTGATGGTATTTATTTCTGTTTGTGATACTCACCATGTTCACATTTGTCTCTTTAAATGTTTTGGGGGAATCAGTGTTCACGGATTCAATGCAAGTTTGTCTGAGATGCCGGCAACCACGAAGAGTATTGTAGAGACATGGATCTTCAGATCTATTGATGTCATAGGTAAGTCATGGGGTGGGGAGGTGGTGGAGGAAGAGAGAGCGTGGGGAAGGGAGGGAGGGAGAGAGAGAAGGAAAGGAGGGAGAGAGGGAAGGAAAGGAAGAGAGAGAGAGAGAAAGAGAGAGAGAGAGAAAGAAGGAAGAAGCGAGAGAGAGAGTAAGCAAGAGAGGTGCAGATGAAGATGGGCATTTGATTTTCAGAAAAAAAGTAGACACCAATTCTCAGTTCAACAGTAAAATCTCAGTTAGTGGTAGGTGTATTTTCAAAACGTTTTGCAGATTTAAGATGGTTACCTGAGTGAATTATAGGATGATTCATTGCAAATCTCTCAGCTGGTGCAGCTAACGTACTTGGTCTGTTACCCCCAGGTGCTGATTGCTTCACCAAGAGCAGTGGCTCCAGAGACTGGCTACTGAAAAACTGGGGTCTGATCAGCGATCTCATTTGGAAAGAGAATTTCACCGATTCCTACATGAATTCCACTGAAGTAAGTCAGATCCCAAAACAGTTTGGGGATTGTACAGGTGCTGGCAAATATTTTGAACTCACTCGTGTATAAAGAGAGTTTCTCCCAGTGTCCTGGCTGACAATGCTCCCAAATAAAATTGGTCATAAACTTTAAGGCTGTTTGTGGGTTGTTTCTGTGAGCAAATTGAATGCCATCTTCATGCATAAAAGTCACAGTCCACAGTTTTTCACCCTGATATTGTACACCTAATTGTAACCTTATCCTCACCATTGGGGTGGGGGGAGATGGGGACTGACATAGCAGGGAGATGACAATTAGGTGGATTGCAGGAGCATATCAGTTTGTCTCTGTTTAACTGAAGTCTTTTACTTCTACTGCGCCTGAGACAATGAGTGTTGTTGAGTGCCAGCTAGCTGGTACTAATGCCATGGTGATGCTTCATGCCCTGTTGTCTGTAAATTTGTTCCAGGTCGTGGTTCCAATCGTTCAGAATGACGTTGTGAGAGACACCATTCTGAGTGGCATATTCCAGCAATTGACACCCCTCTTTCAAACCTTCACCCCCTTGGACTTCACTGATTGGTTCCAGGTCAAGTTACCGCCGCTCCTACCCAGCATCAAGTCCGACGAGTTGGCCAACATTCCTACGAATATAACCTGTGAATCCTACCAAGCCATGTGAGTCTTCCCACAATGATAATAATCCTGGTATTTGATATAGCGCCTTATCAAGTCATTGAGATGTTTCAAAGCACCTTACAGGATATACTGTAAAGTGGATCGATTGTGTATTTTGTGGGCAAAACGCAGCACCCAGGTGCCCACAGCAGTGTCCCACAGACAGCCATGGAGTGGTGACCAATTTTTTTATTAGTGGGATTGTTGGCCAGGACACCAGGAGAGGGCAACTCCTTTCTCTTTTTGAGCAGTGCCATGGGATCCTTAACGTCCGCCTTGACAGGCAAACTGGACCTCGGTTTCACGTCCCATTTGTTGAACGATCCACTGAGAGGGTAATGGATGAGGCACTGATTGAATCTGATTCCTGCATTTATCTCCACAGAGTGAAAGGGTTGTCCAGTGTACACCTCAACCTGACAGTGACTCAGTCTCTGGACATCTTCAACTTTGGGAAAAACTTCCTGAGCTTCCAACTCAAATCATCAGGTAACGTAACAGCAAGTCACCAAAGCTACATCACCAAAACTGGCCGATGTGTTGAAAGCATTTGCTCTGTGTGTGAAGCATTGTTGTTGGGGGTGGGAGGTTAGTTATTTCATTGCGAAAGGACACTTGTGCTGTTTAAGGAGAAGAGAAAGGTAAATACTCTGATCTAGTAGGTTATCTGTCACCACAGTATTGTACAAGTACCAGGAGTTGGAAGGAGGTAGGAACTGCACTGCAGCTTCTGAAGGGGGAGATAACTTCATGTTTGGGCTTCAGCCTTCACCAGATCAATGCTGATCAGGTATCAGACACACAACGTTTAACTTGGGTCACGACGGAGACTGGGGAAGATAAGCCCAATTGATCTTGGGCTTTCAGACTACTCACTCAACTGTCTTCCCATTATGGTATCAAACTATTTCTTGAACGACTCCAGTGACCTAGCCTCTAATAGCCTTTACTGTAGCCTGTTCTATCGCTGTGTGGAGATGTACATCCCAGCTTTCTCTCTCAGATGCCCACTGACCTGCTTGTGCCGCGCCATCATACTCTGTATTGCTGAATGCCCACGGACCTCAGTGAGAATGATTCAGTAACAGACACTCTGCAACCTCAGGGACAGGAGCTTCTGTGCAAGGCAACCAGCAGTAGACTGAAACAAGCTGTTGTGTTGGGCGAATGGAGCGAGTAGCCGTATAGAAATGTGACTGTTGTGTTGAGACTGACATGTGTCCTTTCCCCCTGCAGATTCCCACAGTGCTGCATGTACCACCAACACTAACGGAAGCCGGGAATGGGTGTTGAAGAACTTTGTTGGATTCATGGCAGAATTCTCCATCAGAGACCTCTTGGCTCTCAACAAGAATTTTTCCGGCGTAAGTCATTTTTTGAATTTTTTTTCTTTGGCCAGCCGGGTGCTGACACCTGCGGAGACCCATCACTGTTGCTTAAGCGTCTACAAACTAAGCTGAGATTTCCATGCATCCCACATACACATAGTAATCCAGAGATAGATTGTTGGAATGGAATGGGCACTCTCTCTCTCTCTCTCTCTCTGGAGGGATGCCCCCTGCTTACCTAATTCTGGAAAGTGTTAGGCGCAGGTTGGCAAAAGCCAAGGCTTGGGGAGAGCCCAGAGTGTGTGTTGGGGTAACTGCTGGAGTCTAACCAGTTAAAACCACACAGCTTGCATTTGCTAACACTCTCTGGCAAGCTTTCCCTGCTGCGTTTCCAGCTGGTACCTGTTAGGGCTTGGGCTTGCAGGAGCTGATTGGTAGCATTCCCTGTCTCCAGTGACTGGAGACAGTATATATAAATACACTTTGTTTTTTTTGTTTGTGTTTTGAAGTCAGATTGTGGTTTCACTAGGAAAAAAAACCCTTTTGTCTCTCCAGTTCGAACTGTTGGACCTTCTGACCCCCAAGCAGCTGGGGGAGCTGACAGTGAACTCCAGTGCATTACACAACACAGATGATATCAAGATGATCATCGACTCACTTTCAAACAGGAGTTATAGTGACCTGGTGGTGTATTTGACCCAGTTTATCACTGATGCCAAAGCGGTAAGAATAACTTTTATTTAACTGTGAAAGTTTTGGAGTTTAAGACCGCTTCTTCCATTTCACTCGTAAGTGAAATGGCAGTTTATCTTCCTACACCTGCCCCAGTGTATATTTTGTGGGAGAAACATGACAGCCAATCACACACGACAGTGCCCCACAAACAGTCGTGGATTGAGTAACCAAATTTTTAATATCAAATGCGAAGATTATTATTATTACTTTGCGTGTTGTTTCAGATGGGAGTCACAACCATTCAGAACTCTACAGTGAGGGAAATGATGCTGAGCAGTTTCCTGCAACTCCTGAGACCCTTCTATCAGACATTCAAAGCCGCAGACTATGAGCAATGGTTTCAGACTAATCTGTGGCTCGTGCTGCCCAGCATTACAGGGCAGGACCTCTCTGCCATCCCCACTAATATCTCATGCCAATCATATCAAGCTATGTGAGTATATGTGCCGAATTTATTCAGCTGGTTCACAGACTCTTCGGCCCATCTGATCTCATCTCTCTAGATCACCCACCTTCACATTAATAGCATCGAGCTGCTCCTTAAGTGAGGCCAGGTCAGGACCACAGCATACAACAACAACAACAAGATTCCATTTATAGAGCGCCTTTCACTTACGGAGGACGTCCCAAGGCGCTATACAGTTGGGTCAGGACCCGAGCATTGGGGAAATGGTCAGGGTGAGGGAAGGGAGGGAGCGAGGAGGGGGTAGAGAGCCGAGAGTGGAGCTGAAGGCACGGTCAAAGAGAAAGGTCTTGAGACCGGCCTTGAAGGAGGAAAGGGAGGAAGCGGCGAAGGTTCTGACCACTGAGTGATAGTGAAACCTCTGCTTTGCATAAGTCTCTCGGTCAATACAACAACAACAACAACAAGATTCCATTCATAGAGCGCCTTTCACGTCGGGAGGTTGCTGTGCTAAGTCAACATTAGCTTAGTGAATTACATGATCACACTAGGCTCTGGCATTTGCAAAGTCAGAGTCAAATAAGATATTTCAATGCTTTAATTTCACAATACCTGTTTGTATCGTCTTAAGCCAAGCCTATTTACGTAAGGCTGTTTAACCAACTTGATGCAGGTTGATAACGCTTCTAATAATAATAATAATAATGTTTGCATTTGAGATGTGTAGGCAGAGGTGCCGTTCTTCAGGTGAAACATTAAGCTGAGGTCCTGACAAATACAGTCACTACACTTGACGACAATTTCCCTGTGAAGTGCCTTGAGATTCTTAAGATGCAATATTAAATTGGAAGGATTATTATTAAGGGTAGATCTCCAAGTGCATTGAATCATAATATTAATAATAAATAAGAACTAATCTTTACATTTGATATAGTGTCTTTCACACTAGGAGTGTGTCTCAAAGGGCTTCACAGGATACACATGCAAAGTAAATTGACTGTGTGCTTTGTGGGCAAAACATGGCAACCAATTGTGCACAGCAACGTCCCACAAACGGGGATTGAGTGACCCAACCACACAGTGTATCAATCACCCTTTGTAGGGATCAATGTAACTGCACAAGGCATCGAGGTGCCTCCACAAGGAAAATACATCAGTCTGAATATGTTGTTTTGATGTTCACAGAATGAAAGGTCTGGCCAGTGTGTACCTGAACCTAACAGTGTCACAGTACATGGAGATCTACAACTTCAGCAGAGCCTTTCAGGCCTTTCAATTCGAATCATCAGGTAAGGTGTCAGTTACGTGCCTGTCAACATCAGCTCTTCATTGTCAATGTAAACAGAGTCAGCAGGAAACCACGTCTAAAGGACTCTGTGAAGCAACGTGGGTTGGGAAATGAGGCACTGAATTCCAGTGAAACTCAGTGTTCTTAAAGGGCAATAATGCTTTCAGGCTAATCATCTCAGGCATAAAGGTTGCAGTGGAGATGTGCATCTGTCCAGATGGAGGCACTGTGAAGGGTGTTCTACAAATGCAAGTTGTTGTTGTTGTACCTGACTAGAAAGCATTTGACCATCAGCTCCGTTGATGGATGCTTGTCTTCTGTCTGGTTCATGAACTCCCTTAAGACTGCATCAGTTCTGTCAGAAATGTAACGTTGCTGAGAAACCACAAAGGCGTAACCCTTACCCTGAATGTTCTGCAGCTCTTGTCTCTTCCGCTAAGTTGAACAAATGCGGCAACTGGTCAGTGCAGCATGCCTTCACCTTCATCACTCAGCTCCTCAACAGCGCGGCCTTCACCCTGGACAAGCACGTGTCTGTGGTAAGTGATGTAGGATGTCACCGCGGGGCATTTTAAACCTGGCCGTGGATTCCTGTAGCTCAGTGGTTAGAGCACTCACCTCGCAAGAAAGAGGACTTAGGTTTGATTCTCGGACAAGGTGAAACCTCGGGCAAGTTTCCTTACTCCACACACACACACACACCTCTGTTTACCTCGCAGTAAGTAGGAACCCGCTTGTTAGTCGATTGGCGGATCCTTTTACTGGGGGTAATTATCCCATCAAATCAAATAACTAATAATAATTTTGTCACTCAATCCATGACTGATTGTGGGACAGTGCTGTGCACAATTGGTTGCCCCATTTCACTCACAAAATATACAGTATATTCTGTGAAGCTCTTGGAGACATCTCGAACACATGATAAGGCCCTATATCGAATGCAAGGGTTATTATTATTCTCCGACTGTCCTTTTCTCCCTCCCTCTCTGCAGATTGACCTGTTGGCCAACCTGACTCCACAGCAGCTCTCCAGCCTGACCCAGCTCGCCAATGCTTTGAACAACACTGCTGACGTCCAGATGATCATTGACCTGCTCACCAACAGAAACTTCAGTGACCTGATCGCCTTCATTACCCAATTCACTAAGGATTTCCACTCGGTGAGACAGGTTTCTTTCCCCCTTTACATTATCAGCTTGGTCAGGAGGACATCTCGATGTACTTCACAGGCTATTACTGTACACCGTGTCCACAAGTCCTGTCACCCCATGTTTTTTTCCCCTTACAGTGCGCTGACCAACAACTGAAACATGTGGAAGAATAATGATAATTGTATTGAGAAGTACTTAGTTAATTGTATTCAGGACAAGTGTTTAACTGTATTTACATGTCCAGAGGATCAAAGTGAGTCTGTGCGAGTGAGTCTGAGCGCCATCATTTTCAAGGCAGATAATGATCCGTTGCCATCATCAGTGCCACAGATTCCATAACATGGATAGAGTGAATGAGGAAGTGAAATGCAACTCCGACAGCTTGTTTCAGCTCCTCTGTGGTCTCATATTGCTGTTGTGTAACAGGGGTGTAAGGGGACTTTGTGGACACCCTGTCAAGTGTACTGATGTAACACCTCTGTGCATTTTATCAGCCACGAGTACACGACTGGTGTTTCTGTCTAGCATTCTGACTTGGAATGACAGCACCATAGATAGGAGTACTTCCAACAAGCTCAGCGCTGCAACAACAAGTTGCATTTACACAACACCTTTCATGTCAGGAGGACGCCCCAAGGTGCTGGACAGTCAGGGATTTGGACCCGAGCTGGGGGTTGGATTGGGAGGGGTGGAGGGCAAGGAGAGTGGGGGGGTAGGAGGGTGACTGAAGATGCGGTTAAGAGGAGGGAATTGAGATGTGCCTTGAAGGAGGCAGCGGAGGGGGCGAGGCGAAGGAACTGGGGGATGGAGTTCCAGAAGGTGATGTGGAGTTTCAGCGTAGAGATGTGTGTTGCTAAACAGGCAAGTGGAAAACTAGACATTAACAACATTAACATTGCTTTTCACACCTTGTTTTCAGATGGACCCTAATGGCTTCCTGAACCCGACAGTGAGGGACCTGATACTGAGGAGTCTCCTGGAGCAGCTCCAGCCCCTGTTTGCCACGTTTAACACCAGTGACTTTGTCGAGTGGTTCCAGATGAAGTTAAAGCTGCTGCTACCCGGGATAACAGGCCATGAGCTCGCCTCCATCCCCACCAACATATCGTGTGAGGCGTACCAAGCCATGTGAGTGTGCGGGGAGGGGGGGGCACGAGACAAGTGTGCGGGTGGGGGGAACCTGGTGGGTTGTCGAGGGGAAATTGGTCAGAAGGCGATCTTTCTGTGTGTGTCACTGTGTTCTAACACTGATAGCCCAAGCTGTTGGTCGCGCTCAGCCATGGTTTCCATGACGTGACAGAGATTGGAGCAACAGACAGAGTCCGATGCCTTCGTATATTAGTCTCTATATCGCTTTGCTATGAGCCCCGTTATAGGTCCCTTCGTTAGATTACTGCCTGGCTTAAAGCCCGTGTTTACTGTGGATCCATGCTAACCACAATGGGCAGGCAGTGTGTGCCTGAGCACTTGGTAATAATAATAATATTAATAATCCTTGCATTTGATATGATGCCTTAGCATGTCTTTGAGACGTCTCAAAGTGCTTCACAGACTATACTATACTGTAAGGTGTGGTGACTGTATTTTGTGGGTGAAACGCACATGGTTTATTTAGCACATTCTACTTTGCCCCCACAGATTGAAAGGGATGGATGACATGTACCCAAACTTAACAGAGTCACAGCTTTGGGACGTCTGCAACTTCAGTAAAAACGTCCTGATCGCCCACCTCAATTCATCAGGTAAAGTGTAAGCAGCGCACACCAGACTGTTCAAAGATTGCACCGGGTGCTTTTGTGAACAAGCTTTTGTTAAATAACAACAACAACAACTACTTTGTAATCTACAGCATGTAATAGTGTTGATCTTTGCTTTGTAGA